TTTATCTTTGTTAACGCAAATAGTCTGTCAAACAACACCCTCGCTTTTAAAACCCCGACACCCCTTACCCTGACCCAGGCCGCGCGAAAAAAAAAACAAGGGAATAATTTTTTTTAAAAATATAGTTTTTAAAAAATTATAATTATTGCAATTCAGATATTGCAGATTTGGAATAAGAAAAAACCCGTTCGATTGACTTATCCGGCGCCACAGCAGGAACGACAAAAAAAAAAGACACTGCCGCAAGTTTTATGGTAAATAAGCAGAACAGTTCAACACAGGACAAAGTTTTGACACGTTAAGCCGCTTCCTTATTGAGTCGCTCAAAAGTACTGTACTTACTATCAGCAAAAGAGCTGCCTGTCCACTTTTTATGTCCACGTTCGTCTTCCCTCACCACTTCCATACAATCTTCTCTTTGCAATTTAATAGTTTTCTCCTCTCGCCTTGGCTAAAGGCACAGCTCTCTCTATCTCTAAATGAGGCGAAATTTCGCAATGTCCCTGACTTGCAGGCTTTAGCTGTGGTATGTGCCAATTTCCTAAGTGTGCTCTCTCTCTCTCTCTCTCTCTCTCTCTTTCTCGGTCTCACTCACTCCTTCCCTCCCCCTCCCTCCTCTATCACTCAGATTAATGGTGCGTCTGTGTATGTTTGTAATCATCTTTCTGTAAATATTTCCAAAAGATCTCCAATCTATCTGCAAAACAAATGTTAGGCTGTACTTGGTAAATAAGAACCCACCCACTTTTTTTTCTCTTCATTTCCCATAAAATAAGCCCATTCCAGAACACACGAATGTATTTGCACATATGCGAGAGAGACAATCAGATTCCTTTACCATTCTCCCCCCATCTCTTCCCTACATCCTCACTCCTTCCTTCCAATTGCCTCTCCTCCTCTGACTTGTGTTAAGTGTGCGGTTCTGTACGTCCAGACACCCTCCTATCCCCCACCCACCCAAAGCCCATCATTATGTTTGAGTCAACAGGAACTTCTGGCCTCACCTGAAATCCTAATCCCTCCGCATTCCGGTGGGAGGCACTGCATAGCCATCAGAATTGAGGACTCCTATTGACTTTGCCCCTGGCAAATGGAAAGGTTCAGAAGGACCATGCCGAATGCGACCTCCTACAATCATTCCCAGCCTTCAGTTTGCCAGCCCTACTCTGTATCGCACCCTCCCAGCTCACAATTTGACTAATTATTCTCAGTTGTTCCTGTCACCAGATAGCATTTCAGGCTTTCCTCACCTCCCACCTCGATTGTTCCAATGTCCTCCTCGCTGGCCTCCCCAGCTCCACGCTCCACAAAATCCACCCAATTCAGAACGCCGCCGTCCATACACTCACCCATCCTAACCACCGTGTACCCCCATCATCCCGGTCCTCACCAGGCTCCACTGGTTCCCAATCAACTTCGAAATCCTCACGCTCGTCTTCAAATCCCTTAATGCCCTGGCACATCCCTACCTCTCCGACCTGCTTACTCCCCAGTCCACCACCCCCTGCCTTTGCTCGACTAGCTCTGACCCTTTTTCAGATCGCCTGAAGACTTTCCTCATCGACCATGCTTACGATCACCTCCCCCTCCCCCTCCCACCACCGACCCAGCGTCAAGCTCCACCACTGTTAAGCGCTCCGAGACGCTGCCACAAGTGAAGGGCGCTATGTTAATGCATTGCAGTTGTCACCAGCACAGATCTTGTTACATTGCTAAACAAAGAGACTGATTTATATCTGAAGCTTCATGTAGTTGAGGTCACTGTATCCTGTTGTACTACTGCTCTACAAAGACTATAAAATCTTTTGTTTTATTAGGAGTCCCATGCTTCATATTTACTGGGATTTAATCAGTGTTGTTATAGATAAGCTTTGTCCTCTTATTCCAAGTATCCTTCCAGCTCTAATTTCAGCTCCCACACATGCAAACCGCAGACTAAAAACAGCAACTTTTTCCGGGCATCTTACTGTTAGATTCAAGTGGAGAAAATTTTAAATCAGTCGCAAAGTAGTTTCGCTCGTACAATACAATACGTAAACGGCTTTCGCTGCGGGAACCCATGGAAGTCCTCTGTGGACAGCCTGATCTCTCAGCCCCCTCTCTCGCTTGAGATTTCACGAGGCTCCCTCGGAGATAGCTGTAAAATCAGGAATTTAAATTCCTATCGCAATCTCCCCCCCCGGCCACACCCGCCCGCCCACCACACACACATACACGCACACCCGTACAAACATACGCAATGTTATTGCTTGTGGCCTAAAAGTGGAGGTTTGAAGAAACATCTTTTACAGACAGGGTTACTGGCAATGTGGGAACATGTTGTTACAAGTAGCCATCGGCGCCAAACTAATTTACATCAGACAGTCTCTTGAAGAATGGACATATAAAAGCGTGTGTGCGGGGTGGGGGGGGTGGGGGGGAGGGAGATGGAATTCAAGTGAAGAACTTAGAAATATTTAAGGGGGGGGGGAGGGAGAATGAGGTTATGTATTTTGAAGAGGAACATCGTAAGAGAAATGGGGAGTTAGCGGGGTAATGGGGTTGGAACTGCCAGTTCCAGTCGGAGGTTGTCCGCAAGCCAGAAACCTGATAGGCTAAACAGCCTCCTCCCTCGCTGACATTTGCTGCTAACTCAACATTTGAGCAGTTTTAATTGCACAATTTCCGAGGTTCTTTTCTCGCAGCCACAATCAATAGGAAATAGGCTCATCTGATTAACAGATAGCGGGGAAGGGGAGGGAGTTTTTTTTTTGCTGGCCCCACCACAGAACACCAGGGACAACAAGATCAGCAACCTGGAGACCTGGTGCATTGCTAAAGTTGTGAGGCATTTCGTAACGTAGAACAGGGAAACATTATTCCCACCGGGGCGATGAGTCAGGAACTGGAGGATATAGATTTGCGGTGATGAGCAAAAGGTTAAAGGGAGAGGGTTAGTAGAACTTTAACAGAGCTTGACAGTTGTTGGGACTCGGAATGCCCTACATGGCACTGGGATTGAGGCCATTTCCATATTAGCTTTTAGGAGGGAACTAGATACACATCTGAGAAGGACAAATACGAAAGGTTAGAGAAATGGAAAGAGAATGGGACTAAATAAATTCTCTTTGGCACAGCCAGGCACGAGTGGGCACGAATGGCCGCCTGCGATGCTGTCAATCTCTACGGGTTCCGAGGGACTGGACTGGGGTCTGTTCTCTGCGGAGAGAGGAATAAAATGACATTTGATCAAACTTTTACTAAACTTTCCAATACACGGAAGCTATTCACCACTTATCGTGCCCCGAGCTGCGACTGAGAAAACGTCGACAGCGGCCCCTCCTGGCAGCACACAGCCACGACAGAAACTGCGTCAGTTTCACAATAATCCCTCTCCAGTATTTCGTTTTGCGTCAACAGGTTCGAAATCGCTCCGAGGCACGTCGCGGGACGTTGCTGACAATACCGAGCCGCCGGCTTCAGTTGGGGAAAGGGAGTAGTAGTCAGCTCACGATGAGCAAAATCTCCAAAGAACGAAGAGATAAGCAAGTCAGTTAGAGGGGGAGTGTTGGCCTGGACGCCAGGAGAAACTCTGCTCTCTCTCTCTCTTTTCAAATAAGTGTAACGGGATCTTGCACATCCACCTGAACAGGCAGTCAGGAATTTGTTTAAAGTCTCAGCTGAAGGGCAGGGGTTTGGGGAAATGCCTTGAGCTCATCACGACCCAAGATACTGATGTGAATTTTGTTTTCTTTCATCCCTTCCTTCGCTGTTCGAAATTCTACTGCCGTTCAACCGGGGTTCACGCGTGAAGAGAAGGGGGCACGGGGAGGGGGGGGAAGAGAGGGGCAAGGTACTGGAAGCAACTCCAGGAGTCATTGTATTCAGGGAGAGAAAACCAGGGCATTGGGGGGAGAAGAAAGATTTGGGGGGGGTCATCCGGGTGTCTGACACACGTGGAAACCCATCACCATTGCTTAACATAACATGTAGGAGCAGGAGTAGGCCATTCAGCCCTTCGAGCCTGCCCCGCCATTCAATCATGGCTGATCTTCTAATCTAACTCCAGCTAATAACCTGACCTGCCTTATCCCCATATCACTTAATCCCCTTCATCCCTGGTATTAAACCCAGTAAATCTACGCTGCACCCCCTCCAAGGCAAGTACATCCTTCCTTAAATAAGGAGACCAAAACTGCACAGTATTCCAGGTGTGGTCTCACTAGGACCCTATACAGTTGCAGCAACTCTTATACTCTAATCCTTTCATAACGAATGCTAACATACCGTTCGCCTTCCTAATTGCTGCTGCACCTGAGGACTAACGTTCTGTGATTGGTGTACAAGAACACCCAAGTCCCTCTGGACGCCAACACATTCCAATCTCCCCCCTTCTAAAAAATAACCCATTCTATTGCTTTTGCTCCCCAGGCGGATGACTTTGCACTTCCCTACATTATACTTCATCTGCCACCTCTTTTTAAATAGTGGTGTGACATTTGCGATCTTCCAATCAATGGGAACTGTTCCAGAATCCAAGGATTTTTGCAAGATCAGACATAAGGCCTCCACTATCTCACAAGCTCCCTTTTAAAGCCCTGGGATGCAAGCCATCCGGACCAGGGGATTTGTCACTTTTTAGTGCTAACAGTCTCCCGAGCACCAATTCTCTATAATGAAAATCTCCCTAAGTTGCTCCCTGTCCTTATCCCCTTGGTGCATCTCTATTGTTGGCAAACTTGTTGTGTCTTCTAGGGTGAAGTCAGATGCAAAATACACATTTAAGGACTCTGCCATGTCCTTATCCCCCATTTCAACTTCTCCCGTCTCTGACTGAAGTTCTCCCGTCTCTGACTGAAGTTCTCCCGTCTCTGACTGAAGAATCTCCAAACCAAACTGTGAATTCCAGGCATCCCACCTGAACATGGAAATCCCAGAGATAGACTGTTGGAATGGAATATGCTCTCTCTCTTTCCCTGGAGGGACAAAAAAGAGAAATAAATGAAAATTGGTAGGAATTTCAACCGAACGAAACCAAACGAAAAAGGAGGCAATACATTGAAAAATGGTTTTATTTAACATGAAATGCAAGAAAATGATGGAAGAACAAGCGGGATTCATAGCTGGCTCTCTAAATTGGTACAGTCACAGTTCTTACAGCTATAAATAGTTAATTTATACTTTGACAATTATTGGAATCAATTTCAATAACTCACTGGACTCAGACCAACACCCGGGACACAATCAATAATAATAATCCTTCCATTTGTTATAGCGCCTCATCAGGTCTTCGAGTCTCAAAGTGCTTCACAGAATACACTGTAAAGTGAGTTGACTGTACATTTTGTGGGCGAAACGTGGCAGCCAATTGCGCACAGCAGCGTCCCACAAACAGTCTGAGTGACCAAGTTATTATTATCTATTTATTTTGAAGGGATTACTACCCTCGGAAAGGCGATCCGCCAATCAACTAACAACCGGGTTCCTGCTTACTGCTGGGTAAATAGGTGTGTGAAGTAAGGAATTTGTGCCTAACGGTTCTCCCTGCCCGGGAATCGAACCCAGGTCCTTCTCGCTTGCGAGGCGAGTGCTCTAACCACTGAGCTACAGGAGTCCCCAGATAAATTAGTGAAGCCAGCCAGAAGTCTCCAACATTTAACAAAGAAACTCTCAACATGACTGCGAGCGAGAACACAAGTGTAAAACTGCTTGCTCTTCATCACCTCGTGTCCATTGTGGGGTGGAGGAAGACGAGAGCAGGTGATATCATCTCATTCCTTATTAAAGATTCACTGGTTTCCCAGTTCAAGTACAATTAAGTTAAATTAATTAATTTAATTCAGTTTAAATAAAAACTTAACATTATTTGTGCGCAAAAATTAATTGATCGCACACAAATAATGTAATAACGACGTACATTTTTATTTGAAAAAGCGTAACAAGAATTTTAAAATAAAACGTACATTATTTATGTGCAAAATTAATTACAATTCTATTAAAACTTCTAGAAAGTGCTTGGGCTCTCGACAGCCTTGTCGGATTGATGGAACAGCTCAGTAAAGCACTTCTCTATTATAACTTCTCCATACAGGGAACCAGCTCATGAGCTTCAAGTCCCAATTGATGGTGAGGTGGCAGTTAAGGCTACATTTGGCCTGAGCACTCCTGGAGGGAATAGTGGGAGGGACGGGGCGATTGGGGGGGTAGGGGGTAAATCAGCTGGGATTTCATTCTGTTGATCGTCACTCACAGTCCTCCTTACTGGAATGTGGAATAATAATAATAATAATCCCTGCATTTGATACAGCGCCTTATCACGTCGTTGAGACGTCTCAAAGCGCTTCACAGGATATTACCGTAGAGTGAAATGACTGCAAATTTTGTGGGCCAAATGCGGCAGCCAATTGTACACAGCAGCGTCCCACGGATTGAGTGACCAAATTTATTTAGGTCAAAGGCAGTATTACGCCCGGAAAGTGATCCGCCAATCGACTAATGACCGGGTTCCTACTTACTGCTAAGTTTGGCACTGCTCACATGGCATTACATTGCACCTAGAATCTCCTTTTATTTATTAGGGGGAGGGGGGGGCAGTACATGATCCCCATCTTCAATCTTCAGGAGACAAGTCCAAAGTTGCTGCCTCCAGCCTGCAATCGGAACCATCTTGTGCTTACTTTTTGACCAATCATCTATCAATCCATCGATTCGGAATCATTCAGAGCTGCATAACGTAGATGGTGTGTGTGTGTGTGTGTGTGTGGGGGGGGGTAGCTACAGTTCCTCAGCAACCCTCCCCTCCCGTGACTTCAAACTTCATTGCCTTCTTCCGTTCCTCGTTCTTGTCCTTTAGGAGGTAGTCACTGTTTTGGAGACTATTTCTCCAGGATGGTCTGTCAGGATCGGATCGCTCTGGTTATCCTCCTGAGGAGATTGGAACAGAAGTTGGGTCAATGGCCGAATGTTACAATCCTTGCACTTGATACAGCGCCTTCCACGTCACGTTTCAAGTATTTTACTGTGGAATGAAGTGCCTGTATTCTGTAAGCAAACGTGGGCTGAAAATTTGGAGGGATAACGTTCTCTCTTTTTTTTTGTCAGCCGGGTGACTTGACACATGCACAAACCCATCCTGTCGAAACCCAACTGAGAATTCCATGCAAATTCCAGAGATAGATTGTGGGAATAGAATGCACTCTCTCTCTCTCCCCCCAGAGGGGAGGAAAAAAATGCATAGCTTGCCATTGATATCGCAGATATGGAGAGATTTCTGCAATGAAAACTTCCCAAACCCACTTGGATCCTGAGTCCCGGCCTCCTAAGTGCTTTGCGGCAAAAGCAGCACCAAGAACCTAAGTGCTGACACAAGCCTAACCTCCTCCGTCCCCACACCCACCCACTCACCCTGTGTTTCAGGTACGACAGGTACGTGTCCCACCCAAGGGTCAGGACGTTCACGTACATGACCCGGAACTTTGGGGGAAGGAAAAGGAAGTTGATGACTTGCGCTCCCGGCCACACCATCCAGTCCATCTAGAGAAACAATAAAACTTAATTGATCTTTGAGGAATTGATCAACAACAACAATTTACATTTGTACAGACCAACTCACGGCTGATCTCCAACTCACACGATCAGGGCTGGTCTCTTGCAAGTGCAACTTGGAAACCACCAGTGAAACTGCATTGCCAACAGCTCCCCACACACACTGATCCCTCTCAGTTCCTCATCCCTGACACTTTTAGATGGTGGTGTTGGGAGGTGGGGGTAGACTTCTGGAGATGATCACATGCCCTCTGTGCTTGCATTGCTTGCATATGGTTCATCCCAGCAATGTTAAGGAGAGACTGTACAACTTGTCCCCTCAGATCTGGTGATACGCGATTAACATGAGCTCATTTGCCTACATTTTACAGTAATGTGAAATAAATTTGCATTGAAAGCAGAGTTATCACTACTGGAAATAGCTTCACGGAAATCAGCTAGCAGGAATGGGACAATGGTTACAGAAACAAGTACAGAAACACCCATCACATACAGAGCAGCCTGATGTAATAATAATCCTTGCATTTGATATAGCGCCTTATCACGTCTTCGAGACGTCTAAAGCGCTTCATAGAATACACTGTAAAGTGAATTGACTGTCTATTTTGTGGATGAAGTGCGGCAGCCAATTGCACACAGCAGCGTCCCACAGGCAGTCGTGGATTGAGTGACCAAATTATTTTTATTTTTTTGGAATGAATTATTACCCCCAGAAAAGCGATCCACCAATCGACTAACCGGGTGGAGCGAGGAAACTTGCACAACGTTTCACCTGCCGGGAATCAAACCCAAGTCCTCTCACTTGCGAGGTGAGTGCTCTAACCACTGAGCTACAGGACTTCACAGGTAACAAGCGCACAAGGTAACACCGGACCAATGGTTACCAAGCAAATCTTTTTGATGGCCTCAATGTGCATCCACCAACACTCACTGGTGGCCGCAGTGTGACTTTTCGTCACCTGTATGATGGAGCAGGCAGACATCCCTCAACCTCTTCCAAGCAATGAATCACATTCACCTTATAGAATTCCCAGAACTTCTCCTTAAATTCCATGGAACATTCTTGCAGTGAATGGCCTTCTAATGTTCCAATTCCTGCCGGGAAAAACACAGCATTAATGTACGTTTCAGAATTAGTCCCTTTCTTTAGACCCTTTCCCCATTAGCTCTTTCCTATTAGTGGGTGGGAAGCTTCTATCTGCTGGCAAGACCATCTCTTAGCATCTGTTGAAAGTAATAATAATAATCATCCTTGCATTTGATACAGTACCTTTATCACGTCATTGAGACGTCTCAAAGCGCTTCACAGAATATATATTGTGAAGCGGAGTGACTTTGTATTTTGTGGGTGAAATGTGGAGCCAATTGGACACAACAGTGTCCCACAAACAGTCGTGGATTGAGCGACAACATTTTTTTCTTTTTTTTTTAAGGGATCTTTACCCCCCCGGAAAGCGATCCCCCAATTAACAACTGGGTTCCTACTTACTGTGTGTGGAGTAAGGAAACTCGCCCAAGGTTTTGCCCTGCCCGGGTATCAAACCTGGGGCCACTCGCTTGTGAGGGGAGTGCTCTAACCACTACGCTACAGGAGGTAGATAAAGGCAGGAGTTGGAAAGGGGCATTAGGGAAGGGAGTAGTAACGTCCCCATGGAAAGGTCTGTGATGGTGATCGCTCCTGTTACTAAATTCTTATTGCAACACAGTCAGTTGTCTACTCCCCCCGAAACAGACCCAGCCCCACTATCAGCATGGTTGGGAGGTGCGAGGGGAACATACCATAGAAATAGATGACCCCAAACAGGGGAGAGGCTATGAGCTGGTCCAGCATAACTTTTTTCAACACGATCTTTGAGGTCCGTCCGGGAAACCTTCCGTCCAACCACGAGTACCAAAAGTGGGCGATAGGGCCCATAATAAAGCCGGTCGTGAACATGCAGCCTGCCGGAAACAGGAGAGGTTACACACACACACATATATAAAGGCACAAGTGAACGAGACAGAAAGCTGGGTGCGATGAAGGGGTATCAAGATCAGGATTTGGAACCTTTAATAATAATCCTAAAATACTCCTCGCATTTGTTACGGTCGAGACGTCTCAAAGCGCTTCACCCTGAATACACTGTATACTTTGTGGGCGTAACACGGCAGCCAACTGCGCACAGCAGCGTCCCCACAAACAGCGGTGGATTGAGTGACCACATTATTTATTTATTATATTACTACCCCCTAACAGTTAACAAGAGTTCCTCACACGTCAACCTCCCACAAGCGTCACCCTCCCATCAGCAACCTGCCACCTCGCCTCCTCGTTACCTGTCCGTTTCCAATCGCGTTTGAAGTCTGGGTCCTTCCTCCTCTCCAGGGTTTGTTGGATCATATCTCCTGTAGCCATCAACACCCCGCAACTCACTGTGTTGGTGACAATCAGGTACTTGCCTCTAAAGAACAGCTGCCAAAAACGGACCAACGGGGTCTTGCCCTGGCTGGGCTGCATACTTTGGCAGCCACTAATGACCCAAACCCTCCAACTCGCTCGAACCCACTTTAATCCCAGCGATCCACAGACAGCGGCTGAATTCCCAGTGTCTACAAATGGCGCCTTCGACCTTTTGTACGGGACCTTTCAGTTCGGGTCGCAGGCTTCAAATTAAAACCTGACTTTTTCTTTTTTTTTAATTAAAAAAAAAGAAAATTAACTTCGATTTTAAAAACTCTCGATGACGGCCCCGGTTCAACCCACAGAGGAACTTCTCAGAAGACCTGAAACCCTGACCCTCGCGCCCACAAACACGAGGCTGGTCTTCAGCGGTTTGCAGGCGTCCGCATTTTTTTAAAAAAAAATAAAAGTATTAAAAATACATAAATAAGGCGCTGGAATGAATGGTTTGTAATGGTTTTTTTTTAAGTCTCCTGATCTCTTGCCCCTCACTCCCTGCTCCAGCCCCTCACTCCCTCTGCCTCACTTCCAATTCCCTGTCCATTCCCAGTCCTACTCTTTTATTCCAACTCTTTCACTATCACTCTCTCTCTCCCCCCACAGCCTCTGTCTCTCTCTCTCAATTTATACCCTCTTTCTCTCTTAATACCCCTTTTTGCCCCTAAGTTTTATTCCCTGACCCTCCCCCACCCCCTCCTCTCTCTCTCTCTCTACCCCTCCCTCAGTCTTACTCCATCACTGTATCTCTCCCCCCCCACTCCCTCCCACCACCATTCCCTCTCTCTCTCTCATTCACTCTCACACTCACTCACTCACTCGCGTTGGTTTCAAATGGGCGGAAATGACGCGTTTCCCGTCGAAAAGGGGAAAAAAAGAGCAACATTGTTACCAATCGGGAGCGCCTTTTTGCCGATTGATAAAAAACGGACCAATCAGAGACGAGGGTCGCGGACAGTCGCATCCGCCGCGCACTTCTCCGCCAATCGGATTCGCAGCTGCGCGAAGGGGGGGCGGGGCCTCCCCCACACACCTGAGCACCGGCTGCACGTTTGGACCTGAGTCCTCTCTGTGTGTCTCTGTCTGTGTCTCTCTGTCACTCTCTGTGTGTCTATCTGTCTGTGTCTCTCTGTCTCTCTCTGTGTGTCTATCTGTCTGTGTCTCTCTGTCTCTGTCTCTCTCTGTGTCTCTTTCTGTCTCTCTGTCTCTCTCTGTGTGTCTATCTATCTCTGTCTCTCTGTGTCTCTCTCTGTCTCTCTGTGTCTCTCTGTCTGTGTCTCTGTCTCTCTGTTTCTGTCTCTCTCTGTGTGTCTCTCTGTGTCTCTGTCTCTCTGTTTCTGTCTCTCTCTGTGTGTCTATCTATCTCTGTCTCTCTCTGTCTCTCTCTGTCTCTGTCTGTGTCTCTGTCTCTCTGTTTCTGGCTCTCTCTGTGTGTCTTTCTCTGTGTCTCTCTGTCTCTCTGTCTGTGTCTCTGTGTCTCTGTCTGTGTCTTTGGCTCTCTCTCTGTGTGTCTCTGTCTCTGTCTCTCTCTGTGTGTCTCTCTGTCTGTCTGTGTCTCTCTCTGTGTCTCTCTGTCTCTCTCTGTGTCTCTCTCTGTGTGTCTCTCTCTCTCTCTATGTATATATTTATATATTTATTTGACTCTATTAATGGGTATAATAAAAACAACAATTTGGTTGTTTCAATCGGAGACCGGGATCGATTCGGTTTCTAGAGGGATCGAGGGATATTAAGGGGATCCTTATGGGGATAAGGGCGGGCGCATGGAGTTTAGGTTGGAAGATCTTATCGGCCGTGATCTTATTGAATGGCGGGGCCGGGCTCGATGGGGCCGAACCTCCAGCTCCTAATTCCTCACGTTCCTCGTCCGCAGCTGGTTTGCAATGACCCCACAGAACGCACAGTCGCGTCGCGTATTATCCCGCGAGACGCTTTTGAGACGTCTCGTAAGGCCTAATCAGGAGCCGTATCAAACGCGGGGATTACTGTCGTTATCGCAGTCAAGCCCCCCCCCAGCTAACGTGTCTCTCCACAACAAGAATATACAGTGGCCCACGCCCAGGGTGGTGTCCCGGAGCGAGCGCTTCATAATAATCCTAGCGCCTTATCACGTCGTTTGAGACGTCTCGAAAGGCTTCACAGAACATAAACGTAGTATAAAAACAATTCATTTACTTTCTGAAGCACTTTTGAGTCGTCTCGACGAGATGCAATATCAAATGCAAGGATTATTATCATTATTATCTAGTTCCCTTTCGAAAGGTAATATGGATTCTGCTTCAACCACCTCTCCTAGCAGGGCACTCCATACCTTTATCTCGCCTTTTCCTTATTTACTAGCTATTTTATATCGATGCTTTCTGGTTACTAACTCACCCACCAGTTAAAAATTTTGCCCCACTGACTCTATCAAACCCCTCATTGTTTTAAAGATTTCTATTAGGTCACCCCCTTCAACCTTCTTTGTTCCAGCAGAAAAAGTCCCAGTTGCTCCAGTCTTCATTGGGAAAGAGAAGGGAATTTCTTCTGCTGTCCTGTCCAAGGATCCTCCATGGCTGCTTATGAGATCTTCCTGTGTAAAATTTAGTGTTGCTGTGTTTGCCTACATTTACACAGCAATTACATTTGATAGCAATTTGCACTACAAATTTATATTGATAAGAGCGCCTTTCACGTCGGGCGGATGGCCCAAAGCGCTTATACCTGATAAGATCAAGCGAACGATGAAAAGAGGCAATTTTTTGGGTGTCGAAATAATAATTAAAAATAATAAAATAATAATCTTTGCATTTGATAGAGAGCCTTATCACGTTGCTGAGACGTCTCAAAGCGCTTCACAGAATATACTGTAAAGCGAATTGACTGCGTATTTGTGGGTGAAACACGGCAGCCAATTGACTAAAATAGTCTAAGAGAAAGCCAGAATGCTGACACACCTTCTCTGGAAGGATGAGATTAAGTTGAGGAGCTTTCTTCATCCAAATATCTCTTGCGGTCTCCTGAACAAGCACTCAAGAGGGTGGGGGGTGGGGGGGGTTCATCTGGAGAGTGTGTGTGTCAACTATGTTTGAGTGTCTTTTGTTCTGGAGGAACACGCCTTCCCGTTCTTCATCACTGTCATCCCTTTCCCTTTGAGCGTCATAAAGAAAATTAAAGTTAAACAGCAGGCACCAAGTTCTGAATGAGAAGTTTTCCTGTCTCACATTATTGTCAGGAGAGAGCTGTTAGTTTAACCTCTCCTGGCTTTTTTACGTTCACTTCCAGGAAGGAGCTAGGACGCAGAGTTCTTCTAAATAAACACGTATAATAAGTTGCATGATTCATTTGGTGGTCCCTTCTTGAAAGCTCCTCGCAACTACTAGATGTTTGTTAAACTCTTAAGTATTTCCCATGACAGGAAACCCTTCCTTTCCTGTTGGGAAGACATTTTACTTGGATTCATTCATCTTGGGGAGGTAGAGAGACATAGCGAGAGAGTGAGTGAGCAACGATGGAGCATAGCAGTTACCCCATGAAAAAGCTGGGTTACGACAACAAAGATTATGGGAAAGAAAAGATGAATAGCTGTAGCTTTTACGTCAAGTACTTTCTGTTCTGTGTCAGCATCATCCAGCTGCTGATAATTCTGGGGCTGGTACTTTTCATGGTCTATGGCAATGCCTATGGCAACCAGCAAATGCGGAGGCTGTTGGCTCAGAACCAGTCTCTGCGCTGCATCGAGGAGAAGATGAAGGTGCAAGCTGAGGCTGAGGAGCTGGGCAAGAAGCTGAACAAAAGCAGAGTTCAGGTAACCAAACTGTCCACTGCCAACAAGACCCTGAACGCACTGAGCATCTGTCTGGATACAAATGTAAGTTTGGGTTTTTCCTTTCTATCCCTTCCATAGATTAGACCTGCACTTTTGTTGTTTTTTAATATATGTATAAAAGGATATCGCTATGTGTCTATTTCTTTCTCCTCCTGCCCCCAAAACCCGCTGATATATGGCTCTGAAGTTGCCAGGTGCCCACTTTGGTTTGCACCTGAATGAAGTGCTCGTTCTGGGATGACTGGCACCAAATTGCTTATTGGCGTAGACATCGACATCGGGGCAAGTGACCATTCATGCATTTGGTCAGGTGGCCAGTGTTGGCAGGTTATGTGACTGTGAGGGCATCAGAGTTGAGCCTCAATCCTGACCTCATTTGGCACGCATACCTTTCACTTGGACAGCATTCAGGAGCGGATACTCTGCTCTGGAACTCTGCGCTAATGCCACAAAAGTAACAATGATAATCATCCTTGCATTTGATATAGCAACTTATCACAACTTCGAGACGTCTCACAGAATATACTGTCAAGCGAATTGAATGTATAGTTTGTGGGCGAAACGCGGCAGCCAAATTGCGCACAGCAGTGACCCACAAACAGTCTTGAATCGAGTGACCACATTATTATTATTATTATTATTTATTTATTTATTTATTTATTTAAAAAGAGTGAAGTGTTGGGGTGAAGCTGAAGCACAGAGTTAACAATGATCTGCTTCTCACACACAGGGCATTCAGTTTCACAGTAACTGCTCCACCATCAAACCTCCTCCAAACAAACTAGCGCCCACCAAGAATCCAGGTTAGTCCCATCGTTGAAACTGTACCAACGGAAAGAAAGCTGGTTTGGTTTACAACAACAACAACTTGCATTTATACGGCGTCCCTCACGCAGTGTGGTGTCCCAGAGTGGTTGGGTTTACATTCAAATTTTGTGGGGAAACTGTGTTTAATTATGCCGAGGTCATTAAATGCCATTGGAAGTTCGGGTAAATTTTTTTTACTCCGAGCCTCCTTGCTGGTTCCTAACCCTCAGCTCGGTTCCAAATCCCTGACTGCCCAGCGCCTTGGAACGTCTTCCTGACATGAAAGGCGCCGTGTAAATGTAATTTGTCGTTGCTGTTGTTATCAAAAATTACGAAATATCAAACCCACGTTTTGGCGAACATGTATCTATCTGTACTTCGCTCGACTTCGAGATCCACTAGCGACAGCCTTGCCTTGTGTATCGGACACGGGTTTACTCATTAAATTGGTTGGTTGCAGCCTGGGGAAGTGTTTCGCACAAAGAGAGAGATTTGGGTGAAACATGAGAGATGGAGTAATGGATCGCAACACGGGGAAATAACATTCAGTTTATTAAACTGAACTTCCCCTCGTATACACACAGACGCACGCACACACCTTCACGTGTACACGTACACAAGGTCATAAAATAATACCTCCACTTAGCCTGTGAGGATATTTTATCTTGCCATTTACGATTGTCCAGAAATTGTGGTAAAATTCTTAAACTCAGTCCTAATTTGGAAGCCGCTTTTTCGCCAACCTCTAAAGAGAACTAGGTTCCAAATTAATATTATTATGAATAATAATCCTTGCATTTGATATAGCGCCTGATCGCGTCGTTGCTCTTCACGGAATATATTGTAAAGTGGATCGACTGTGTATCTTGTGGGTGAAACGCGATAGCAAATTACGTATAGCGGTGACCCACTTGAGACTGAATTGAAGAATTTACCACAGTTCTCCTCAGTGTTAAACTTTGAGATGTCTTGGTTGGGTCTGGGAGGTTGAGACTAGCTGAAAATTTGAGCCTTTGTGTAACTGGATCTCGTACTGACTTCCACACCTTAGTTTCAAACCAAGACATCGCCCTGGAACTGATAATGTACGTCCTCAACCCGAAGAACGGAATCACGCAATTAAGGAATTGCAGTGGCGCACAAAATACGCTGAAATTAGCCAAGGTGGAAAAGGACATGTTGGAAACGAAACACAAGATAGACTTACAGAGCCTAATCAAACAGAAGGACAATTTGAACAGCCAGCTTCAGGGTTTGAAAAACAACTGTACGTCGATAAGCCAGGATTTCCAAAAGTTCACCAAAGATATCACCTCCAAATACGAAGCAAGTTTTAACAAACTGTTGAACGCGGATCACTCCAGTCTGAGGCAACAACTCTACCAACTGAAAGGCGACTGCACCCCACTGATCTCAGCCTTCAAGATGGAAGTTCAGTCCCAGCTGGATCAAACCAATTCGCAGATCAGAACCTACTTCGAGGGGGCAGTGAGCAAAACGTCCAGGCTGGCAAATGTGGAGATGCAGTACGCCGAATGCCAAGCGAAAACCAAGGCTCTCGAGGAGGAAATCAAGGCTAAAAAGACAGTGCACGAAAAGGACACGGAAGCACACTTGACCGAGAAGCTGAAGCTGCTGCAGGATTTGAGGGTTTTGATGACGAAGGCGGAGAACGTTTATCCTGGAGACGGACAATCTCTCTCGGCCGGCAGGTCAGTCAATCAAAAGGTGAGTGAGTTGACCTTTACTCTGTATTTAATAGCAGTAATAATAATCTTTGCTTCGATATGGGGCCTTATCATGTCTTTGAGACCTCTCAAAGCGCATCACAAAATATACTGTAAAGCAAATTGACTAATAATAATAATAATAATTTGGTAACTCTATCCACGACTGTTTGTGGACTGCTGTGGGCAATTGTCTGCCGGGTTTCCCAACCCAACTCTTCCCAATTCAGGTGTTGGTGCCCACAGGTTATGGATATCCGCATGAACATGCCCACCAAAATACGCAGTCAATCCACTTTACAGTAGATCCTGTGAAGAGCTTTTGAGACGTCTCAACGGTGGTATAAAGGGCTATATCAAATGCAAGGATTATTATTGTTGATTATAGCATAGAACATTTAGGTTTAATAGGATTCCTTCCCTTACACAGGATCCATTTACTATCTTGATGAATTCCTGCTTTTTTTCGGCAGAGAATCTCCTGCTGGCTGAGACATTTATTGGTTTGACTCCCACTGGCAGCTCTTGAATTACTTCCCCTTTTACACCATTTCAATGCACTTCCTTTCTGAAATTTGATCAAACTTTGTTGTGATCCCTTCGGTGGGTCTGTGTGCGTCATTGCTGTCTTCTGTTCCAGAACGTCGATGAGAGAAAAGGGGGTGAGAGAGAGAGAGGGAAAGAGAGTTCCCATCCATCAGGACCCTGTGTTTATTTATAGATTTGTAAACTATTGGAGGTGGAAACATTGGTGTTTGATCTGGATCTCGCTCGCTCAGGGAGGAAAATACGACTTGTGTTTATTTTGCTTTGTGATCTAACAATCTCTGTCTGCCAAGCTTCCTCCTTCCTCTCTGTGATGGCTGTTTACGTAACCTCTGATCTTCTCTCTGCTACGCACAGTCCATTCACCATGAAGTCTTTTCTGGGGAGATTGTTTTGTCCGCAGGCATACACTTCATTGCAGTTCAATTGTTTAATTGCAACGATGGAGTCCTGTAGCATATTGGTTGGTGCACTCGCCTCGCAAACGAGAGGACCCGAGTTCAGGGCAAAATCTTAGGCAAGTTTCTTTACTCCGCACACATGCCTCTGTTTACCTAACAGTAACTAGGAACCCAGTTGTTAGCGGATTGGTGGATTGCTTTACTGGGGGGTAATAATCCTGTCGAAAAAATCATCAATTTGGCCACTAAATCCATGACTGTTTGAGGGACACTGCTGTGCGCAATTGACTGCCCCGTTTTGCATTTGTGGACGCCTCGAAGACGCGATATCAAATGCAAGGATTATTAACTATTATATTTGCTAATTCCAGTTGGTATCACGATGCCCCAACCCAGTACTCAGGGTCAAAGCACAATCCTTCAATCCCCTAAAATGGTAGCATCCATGTGGAATCGTTGGTGTCCGTGGATCGCTCCTGTTGTGGTGAAATCTGTATCCAATCCCCGTGAGTGTGGAAATAAGGTATCTCCATCCTGACAGATTGTAACAGAATATTTATTCTCCCAAAACAGAAAGTCTCGAGCGATTTACTGAGTGAAAGGATTCAGCAGCTGCTGGGATCAAGGTTGTCCCTTCAAGGTAAATGTCAAGGGTCAAAGTCCCATGGACGGAGCTTTGAGCTCACAGTCTAGGCTGACACTTGGATGCACCATGGGGTGGGGGGGGGGGGATTGCTGTACTGTCAAAGGTGCCGTCTTTCAGCTAAAATGCTAACCCACCACCCCCCGACTCTGGCCCCAGCCACCCATCGCCTGTGGGTCAGGTGTGGTTCAGTTGCCCCATTAAATCTCTCCCCTCCAATACCCTAAGGGGAATCCCAAATCACTCTGACAGACTGTGCAAGATTGCGAGACGCGAGGGTTCAGATAAAACTAGATGAGATGTAATAGTTTTCGTTTCAGATAAAACTGGTTCTGGATAGAAAGCAGGAGGTGATCATTAAAGGAGAAATCTCCATATCTTGGTAATGATGATACATATCCCGAAGGACTTGTTCTAACTCTATCGAGGTCCTTGTTCAAATTATTCACAAATTTCTTGGAGGAGAGGACCGCTTGCAAAATTATGTCTCCTGATAGTATTTAGCACAATCTGGATCTGATCAGCAGATGGACCGTGGATTGAGTTTAATTGTAGGGAAATAATATAAATTGGAATAAGAAACAGCAAACAGTTACACAATGAAGGGAAGTCCTTTAGCAGAGGTGGGGAAGGAAATCTGGTGTGATTATTTATCGTTTAACTGACAGTTTCCAGTCCTTGCGGAGCTGCAATCAACAAAACTAATAAAGATTACGTCTTTCATTTGAAAATAAATTATTCCAAATTCACAAAGCTCAAGGCTACAGTCTACAGCCCCGAGTGTGGTTTTGAGTTTTCTACCTTCCGACGGTGTTTGGGAAAGTCATGAAGGAGCATTAAGGATGTGAGCTAAATGTGTCTCATGGAAAAAGATTTGAGTTGATTAAGATGATGAGTTGAGAGGTTTTTGACCAAACTATGTCGGTGGGCATTTTAATTTAAAACTTCAAAAGGACTACAGGGATATAGAAGAGACAGGTCTGGGCATCATTGGAGAGATAGACATGGCACAAGTTGTGAGAATTCTTGATTGTTGGAAAATCTGAGCCTGGGGGAACTGTATTAATTTAGATTTGTTTATATTAGGAAACAGGCAATCAAAATAAGCTGGTTCCTGACTGACTGTGTGAATGGAAGAAAACAGAATGCCTGGACAAGCAAAGCTGCAAGAAATGATTCAGTTTTCACTCGTCAAGAATGACACGAGTTTATACATTTCTGCAAGAGCGGACATCTTAAAAGTCCAATTAACTAAGTCTAACTCTATAAAGTTACCGTTAATATCACAATATCGTAACTCTAACCCTAGAAAAAAAACTAATAACTGGAGTTTACTAACCTTAACAATTAGTCCAGATATTACTGTTTGATGATACTAGAATTTTGCTCGAGGTAATGTTCCAACTAACATCCTACTGTGTGTTAAACGTACTTCCTTAATATTCTTTTGAAACCTTATCACATTCACTTACCTACCATTGTATTGTGTAGGGAGGATGTAAAAGTAATGGAAAATTTGCAGCATAACCTGAGTTGAAGTGGGTTTCAGTTATAAAGAGAGGCGAGAGAAGTTGGGGTTTTTTTCCACTAGAGAAGAAAAGATTAAGTGTGACAAGATAGAGGCCTTCAAGACTTATCAACGGTTACATTAGGGTAACTAGCAATAGCTTTCCACTAGTTGGGGAGACAGTAATAGGAATGTACAAAATCAAGATGAGCATAAATGGAAATAAAATAAAAGTTAGCGATAATGTCTGTTTGCAGAGGGTGTCTGGAACGTGTAATGTTCCTCCACAGACTTTTTTTTAGAGTAGACGTTTGGTAATAGAGTTTTAGACTCTTGAATAAGAGGAATATTAAAGGGTTTGGGAGGGAAGAGAACAGGAGCGGGATTAGAGTAGGAGATTTATGGGAAGAGAAACGTCAGTGCAGACATGATAGGGCAAACAGTCAGTTTTTGTTCTGTAACATTCTATGGTTTCAATGGATTCACTATGATGGATTTGATCACGTTGACCACTTTCCAATCACTGGCTTAATCTCATGATTTAACAGCTGCTCTCTCTCTCTCTATTCATTCTCCGGCACTTAAAAGAGTCCAGGGTGACAAGCAAGGAGTTTCGACTAAGCTTCTCATGAAAACCCAAGGTTTGTTTCGCATTATTGACTGATTGTTGATGTACCGTGAAAACTACATTAAAATAAAGTTCATCTTATTCCCTGGAAACAGGCAATGTTCAGTGTGTAAATACTGCCATGCGTCTCACATGTGGGCACGCACAACAACAACGACAACTTGGATTTATATAGCGCCCTCACACACACACACACACACACACACACAAGTGCGTGAGGGGTGCTATAAAGATACAAGTTGTTTTCATAGCGTGGGGGGGGGGGGGGGGCGGTGTGGGGATAAGGGGGGATAATACGGAAAAGGGAGGAAAATGGTTCTAGAGAACAAATTAATGATGTCTGAGTCACGAGAGGCCAAAATGTTTTCTGAGACATCTGTCACTGTTGTAGTGACTGGCGTTTGTTTGAAGAACAAAACAATGGACAACATTTGCGCGGGAGCCAACACAAATATTCCCAAAACCAAGCTATTCCAAGCTATTCTCTTACTCCCAGCCAAATTGGGAGATATCAAAATAAAAGTAAACATAATCTCTCCCCGTTTGACGTGACGACAAGTCAGCGGTCGGACAAAGACCATCACAAAGAACAGAAGAAGCCAAGAGTGTCTGGCGGAAATGAAGCTGGCAAGCTCTGCCTGACAGGTCAGACAAGGGCAAGCTCCTCACTGAGTTTCCCATTGTAATGTGTTGCCAGACATCGCAGAGGTCAGGACCTGGAGGAACATGTTCCTCTTCAGAAAGGGTTCTTTGATTGGAGGGTGTCGGACAGGATGATACTCAGGCTGGAGTGTGTTATATATATATATGTGTGTGTGTGTGTGTGTGTTACAGTAAAATTGTGAAACCAGGGAATTTACAAAATCCACCCAAGTTGTCATGTACAATCCCTGGTTTCACAATTTTACGATAACATAAACACACTCACACACTCAGAGATACACACACCACAGAGATACACACACACCACAGAGATACACACACACACAGATACACACACCACAGAGATACACACACAAGGGTATACACACACACACAGAGATACACACACACAGATATACACACACACACACAGAGATACACACACACACAGATACACACACACACACAGATACACACACCACAGAGATACACACACACACAGATACACACACTCAGAGACACACACACACACAGATACACACACACAGAGATACACACACACAGGTACACACACACACAGAGATACACACAGATACACACACACACACAGATACACACACACAGATACACACACACAGATACACACACACAGATACACACACACAGAGATACACACACACAGGTACACACACACACACACACAGATACACACACACACAGATACACACACACACAGAGATACACACACCCCACAGAGATACACACACATACCCCACAGACAGACAGACATTTGGACCTGCAGGTGCACACTGTGGCCACTGGATGGCGCCACCATTCAACACTTGGAAGTCAGACAGAGATGTTGTTTGAATCACAAACCACTTTGGAATTATTTTTCCACAGACTCAAGAGTTGAGATATTCAGTGAACGGCAACTTGTACTTATACGGCACCTTTCACGTGAAAATGACTTTGCTCAAAGCGCTTGCCACTCGTGGCTCTGATCCCGGAGCGAAGAGCTCAGGGATTTGAAAGATTTTGACCCAAATGCGAGGTCAAAGAAATAATATTAAGAATAATATTCCGTGAGGCTCTTTGAGACGTCCTGAAGACGTGATAAGGCGCTATATCAAATGCAAGGATTATCATTATTATTTGATATAGCGCCTTCTCGTGTTGTTGAGACATCTCAAAGCGCTTTACAGGATATATCGGAGAAGGAATTGACGGTGCATTTTGTGGGCGAAACGCGCCTTCGGGATTTTTTTTTAAGGCAGGGTAAGTAATACAAGGAAAAACGGCTTGGAAGGGAGTTTGAGAGGACAAGAGGAGGGTGGCTGAGGGCTTCGGTAAAGCTTAAGGTACTTCCATTAGGAAATACGGCATTTTGATGTGATATAAATGGAATCTAAACACGACATTGTGGATTCTTTTTTAAAAAAAAGTTGAAAAGATATACTTCATCTTTAAAAAAATAGACCAATTTTATGCTGACATTACGCACAGCACAACCTCAAACATCCTGTTTTTATTCGCTACCAATGGCTGACGGTTTTACCTTAACTTTCAATCCCTCCCCCAAGTACAAACAGAATGAAAATGTCGGTCACTCAATTCCACGGCTGTTTGCGGGAACGCTGCTGTGCGCAATTGGCTGCCACGTTTCGCCCACAAAACACACGGTCTTTACAATATCTTCTGCGAAGCGCTTTGAGACGTCTCAATGTGATGGGTGAGGATTATTGTTAGTATAACTATGTCACAAGTAAGTATTATTATTACTGGAAACAAGTTCAAGTCTATGTGTCCCCTCTCTCCCCAGCCTCCCCCCACCCTCCCCCCACCACCCCCTCTGAATATAACGTGTCTCTCTGTCTCCAGATCTCTTTAGCATTAGTTACTATAAGGCTTTCTGTCCTCTATGTCACTGGATTCTTGCAGCCTCTTGTCTGACACTATCTCACTTCCTCTTTGTTTCTATCTGGTCCTCTGCATCATCATCATCATCATCATTCATCATCAGCCTCTCTCTCTCTTTCTTTCCCTTTCTCTCTTCCTTCCTTCCTTTCTTTCTTCCTGTCTCTCTCTCTCTCTCTCCAATAACCTCTCTCTCTTCTCTCTCTCTCTCTCTCTCTGTGTGTCACTGCTCGGGCGGGGATGCAAACCTCACCATTCAGCAGAGCCAGTGAGTGAGTGAGTGAGTGAGAGTGAGTGAGTGAGAGTGAGTGTCTCTGTGTGTGTGTGTGTGTGTGATCTCTCCATCCTTTACCCCCCCCCTCCCCAGCAGTGTTTGTGCAGTGGTGCTGATGTGGTGCTGATGCTGATGGAGGTGCCTCCATCCCTGGCATCTCACCAGAGACCCCAACCACTGGGATCCCCAGTGCCCTCCAGGTGAAGGGGCATCAGCAGAGAACCCAACCCAACCCAACCCAACCCAACCCAGCCAAGCCGTGCCAGCCAAGCCGTGCCAGCCGTGCCAGCCGTGCCAGCCATGCCAGCCATGCCAGAGGCGAGGAGACCCTCACACACCAGCCCTGGGGGCGACAACCCCGACAGAGAGAGGAGATCGCAGCCCGAGGCAGAGGCTGGAGATGGAGCTGCGAACCGAGGAGCCTCCGCCGGGGTTTTGGGTGAGTTTTTCCCGACACGAACGAGGATGAAAATGGTCCAAATTCCGAGTCTGTTTTTTTTTTGCAAAACCCCCTCCTCCTCCTCCTCCTCTCCTCCTCCTCCTCCTCCTCTCCTCTCTCTCCTCCTCCTCTCCTCCTCCTCCTCTCACCCTCACCCCCCACCCAAGCGATGCAGCAAAAGCAAAAAAAAAGGAAATGCCACTGTAAAGGGACCGACCTTTTCTTATTCAGTAAAAAATAATAATAATAATAATAATAATAATAATAATAACGATGATGATAATAAAGCACTGGGAATCTGCTGCAGATTGAATGGGAATGTTGCAGGAATTACTACGGTGGTGATGTGTGTGTGTGTGACTGTGTGGAGAGAATGCAACAGAAATAAAGGTGATCATATGCTGAAGGTGTTTATTTGGTGGTGGTGGGGGGTGGGGGGTGTGGGGGGGGGGGTTGGGGGGTGGGGGAGAATGAGGGTATTAGAGAAATTAGCTTTTTATGTAATTTGGGGGAGTTTTCATGCCTCTCTCTCTCTCTCTCTCTCTCCCCCTCCCCCCACCCCCCCCCCCACTCCCCTCATTTTCTGAATTAAATCAGATTTTAATAGGAATTTGAATTTAAAACAAATAATCGGATCTCACAGACATGTGGGCAAATCAATCTCCAAAACACAGGAGAGAGAGAGAGAGAGAGAGAGACACACACACTGATAAAAAGGATGGGAAATGTTTTTATTATGGATTCACCTTGGCAGGAACGGGGAAAGATAGGCAGATAGATATAGATGTCATCTCAAAACCACCCCATAAACGCTGCGCAAAAGACTGGGAATAAATTCTAACCGGTTTTAGGACAATGCAACGTATTGGAAGGCAGGGAGTCAGTTGGAAGCGTTTCTTGCAACCCAGCAAACAAGGGAAGGATGGATGTGCGTGGAATTCTACTCACAGCCGGATTTGCTGTGTGCGGCGTTTGACACGGAATCTTGCAGTCCTGCTTAGTACCGTGAAGGACATCTATTGAACGCGAGTCTGTCGCGGAATATGTGCAGTCAGTTAATTCACGGCTGTGCACAATTGGCCCCCGTGTTTCTCCCACAAATATACAGACTCAATCCACTTTACAGTGGATTCTGTGAAGCGCTTTGAGACCTCTCAACGGCGTGATCAGCCGCTATGTTAAATGCAAGGATTATTATTATTATAATTATTGCACAGACTAACATACTGAGTAATACAGCAACAGCAATCTGTACTATTCCCATTACCCCACCCTCAATATAGTATCAGTCTATACTGTAGCATCATACACATTAATATAGATTAGTTTCAGACTATATTGTAATATCATAGTATATTAATGCTGTACATAATTTTTTGGGGTCAGTTGGTCAGTCGGGTGTCTGACACATGGAGAAATCCATCACCATTAAGAATATCCAAACCAAACAGAGGTCCACACATCCCATCTGCACATAGTATCAGTCTCTATTGTAGCACACACACTGACACTGTATTGTATTGTCTATATTGTAATAATCCTCCAGATAAAAGTGGTCATTCATTTCATGCTGGATATTCGCCATGTGGGTTTCACCCAGAAAACACACAGTGAATTCACTTTACAGTATGTCCCGTGAAGCGCTTTGAGTCTCCTCGAAGACGTGATAAGGCGCTGAATCAAATTCAATGATTATTATTATTATATTTGCTGTGGGTAAAGAGGCTGCTGCATTTGCCTATTAATACTGTACACAGAAACTTTGTGACGCACTTTGAGACTCTTGACATGATAGGTGCTATATCAAATACAAGAATAATTACTATCAGCGTGTAGCTCAACATTAAACACACTGTCATGCAGAGGATATATCATATCAAAGCGTATTGTAAGACATGATAATAGTAGACTAAGTAACATTATGGGTATAGTACCAAAGGAAAGTTTAGAGGAGCAATGATCACAGCAAAACATCAGAGCCTGTGAGGACCTCAGATGAAACGAGGAAGAAAATAAAAGAGAGACGATCTGATCGGCAGAACAGAGGAGTGGATGAGGGGAAGGTGGAAAAGAAAAAAATAACAGATGCGGCCAGGAGAGGAAGGGGTTGCTGAAGGGAGGCAGAGCAGCTGGGAAGAGAGAGAGAGAAAGAGACATTCTCGGTAGACGTGCTCAGCTGGAGTGTGGACCATGTGCGCTACAGATGCCAAATAATTACAAGTCTGCATCAGACCTTGAAATCCCTCAACTGAAACCCCACATCAGGTCAGGTCACGTTCAAACACCGAATACACAACACAGACAGATGGATATGTGCGCAACACACATGCAGACAAACACACTGAGCAACATCGTGGCTAATACTAACTGCAAGACTGGCTAATAATACAGTGACTAACTGGCCTTCAGACTCGTGGTGTCCCGTAGTGTAGTGGTCAGAGCACTCGCCTCGCAAACCAGAGGTCCCGGGTTTGATTTCCGGGCAGGGCAAAACCTTAGGCAAGTTTCCTTACTCCACACACACACACACACACACGCCTCTGTTCACCGAGCAATAGGTAGGAAGCCGGTTATTAGGCGATTTGGGGGGATTGCTTACCGGGGGCAATAATCGCTTCAAAAAAATCTAATTAATCAATAAGAATTTGGTCCCTCAATCCTTGACTGTTTGTGGGACGCTGCTGTGCACAATTGGCTGCCCCGTTTCACCCACAAAATATAAAGTCAATCCACTTTACAATATATTCTGTGAAGCGCTTTGAGACGTCTCAACAAAGTGATAAGGTGTTATTATCAAATGCAAGGAATTATTATTATTATCTCACCACTACATGTTGATGTGTCTCTCTTTTGATTCTGCTTCTTTTAGCCTTGATGGTGTGTTGCACTTTAGGTCGGTCACCTCTGGATATTAGGAACACAGAACACAGTAGTTAGTAGTTCAATTGGCCATTCAACCTATTTCTGCCTCTTTTTAAGAGCAGGTGTCTAATTTGTGGCATTTCCTCATTACGGAATCCCTTCAGAATTCCCTTCTACCTGTGGGAATGCTGTTCTGGTGCTGAAATGGAGTTGATGTGGGTCTTGTGAAGGATTTCGGAAAGGATTTCCCACTAACAACCTAACGATAATCCTTGAATTTGATACCGAGTTTCACCACATCATCAAAACGTCTCAAAGCGCTCCACAGGATTTTTACTGTAAAGCGTCGCGGCTGTATATTTTGAGGGCAAGGTGGCATCCAGTTTGAATTTGTTAGTGTCCCACCCCAGCCATGAATGACCAATTTTATTTGGGGGATTGTGGGCAGACCGGAGCTTGGTTTAACATCTCATCCTAAGGACGCCACCTCCAACAATGCAGCACTCCTCCCAGCACTGCACTGGAGTGTCGGCCGGGCTGTGAGCTCAAAGTGCCAATGTGCCAACTCCTGTGGCAGGAGTACTACCAATTGATCATTGAGAAGACTAAAGGGAGTGTTGACCTGGGAAGGCCAGTGACTGAAATCACAGCCAGCTTTAAATTGAATGTTATTTCAGGACCTAATTAAGAATAGCTGCTTCCCGATCGTGTAAATAATATCCTTGCCTCTTATTTGTTTTGACTTAACCTAAATTAACAGTTAAAGGGGTATCATTATTCCTGTAAGTTCACACTCTTTCTCTGTCTGTGTCAGCCCTGCGTGTGTGTATGTCAGACTGGCCTGAAGTGTCTCCTCCCTGCTTAAGGGGTAATGTCATTGGGGTACAATTTGCAATTCTCTGATTAAGCTTTCCGAAAGTTGCCAAATTTGAGATATTTACAGAAGGGGGAGAGGAGAGAAAATCTGGCAAAGTGCAAAAAAAAGCTAGAAAGAGTAAGGTCACTGTAAGGTCCTTTGTCGTCCGTGACAATACAGTATAATTTACAGTGATAGAGAGCCTTTCACATTGGAGAGATGTCACAAAGTGTTTCACACTGCTTGGCTGGGCGTCTGAGCTCGGGTTGGGGGTGGGAGCTGAAGAGGGTGGGGGAGCAGCAAAGATGACCCAAAGCATGGTCAAAGAGATAGTCCTTTCACTCCCCAGGCTTTTTCTTTCATTCTTTGGGGAGCTTTTCAAAATCTCCGACCCTCTATTCCAATCGACAAGGCCAACGCAGCTAAACTGAAACTATTGCTCCATCTCTTATGAAAAGACCCCCAAAAATCCCTCCCCCCCACCCTCCAAGCTCGTCCAGGCTCCTTCTTCCCTCTCTCTCCGCCGCCCCCCCCTCTCCCCTTAACAATCACAAGTCTTTTGTTTCTATCCTCACAGCGGGCTTGTGTGCAAAGATCAAAGCCAGCAAGCAGGCCTTGGTGTAGATAAGGAAGTTGGTCCTGTGCTTTGTGGTCTCATTGAGGGGAAAAACTCAGTCTTGTTGCCAACAGAATGTTTTTCGGTTGTTATGGTCTGGAGGATGGAACAGATAAATAATTGAGAAAGCACGTGTGTCCTGAAAACTGGTGCCTTTATGTTTAACTGAATGCATTTCAGTTCCCATTTGTTTATAGGCAAACTCAGCAGTACCCAACAAAGCCTGTTCCCTCCAGAAAACCTCATACAATTGGCTCCATTATGGATTCCAACCCAACCCACTCAGTCTCCTGAAAGAGGTCAGCGTCAAAGAATATAAACAACAACAACAGATTACACGGCGCCTTTCACGTCGGGAGGACGTCCCAAGGCTCTGGACAGTCAGGAATTTGGACTCGAGCTGGGGTTTCGGATCAGAAGGGGTGGAGGGCAGGGAGGGTAGGGGAGAAGAATGTCAAAGGTGTCTCAATAACTTACACCCAATGAGTTACTTTAAAGTGTAGTGACTCTTATGTGGGCAAACTATTCTGTCTTTGCTCTATATCCCTTAATACCCTGACCTAACAAAAATCTATCCACCTCAGTCTTGAAAATCTGAACGGATCCAGCATCCACAGCTTTCGGGGGAGAGTTCCAGATTTCCACTGCCCTCCGCATAAGAAAACGCTTCCTGATTTCACTCCTACTGCCCTTGCTATAAATGGATAAATGGACAAAATATCGCCGGAGAATCGATAGCCCATGCTTTCCAATCTGACCTCATTTTAATAACACAACTTTTGTTTGTTAGTTGATATAGCGAATTTTGAAAAGGATAAATGTGTCTGTTCGCTCCCCTTATGAACAAGAGGTATGTGGCTTCGAGGAGAACAGTCAACACATTGTGGGCTGTGCTTGGCCCAACTTGTTACTGTTGCTTTGAATGCTCTTACTGATTCATTGCTGGTGCAGTTGGAGGCTGAAAGGCATCCTAGTTACAGTCGTAGGTGGTGAGATGCAAGTGAAAGGATGGAATTTATTAAACAAAGTTGGCATTTCAGCCCAGCTGACAGTTGGGGAATTCTTTACGAGTTTTAGACTAACACGTGTACGGATTATTTCAATGGCTCAGATGTTAAGGCCATTGGCTGGTGGGAAACTCTGCAAAGACCCAAAAAGATCCTAGGACCTTTCTGGTCATCAGTCAGCCTGGGTTAGGGAGCGTAAAAAGCTAAGGTTCCTATCACTGATCATTTTCCATTGTCCTCCTGGCCCTCACTGAAAATTATGTGTATACAGACATCCGGTGAGGATTGATTTGGCTTTGACTGTGACGTAGGAATGCAGTTCACAGTCTAAGCTGACAATTCCAGGGCATTACTGGAGGAACGCAAGCAATGTTGAAGGTGCCTCCTTCAGACAAAACATTAAACCCAAGTTCCTGCCCCCAAAAAGTCACTCCATTTTCCAATATATCCTGTGGAGCGCTATAGAATGTCCTCCTAATGTGAAAGACACAATACCAATTGTGACAATTATTGAGATTATTGATAATAATAAACAAGTCTGTCTCTTCAGGGGTTTCTTACTGTCCAGGCCAAGAGTCCTCCAAGCTCCACTTTCACGGAGAAACAATGAATTGAACGTTTCTCTCACTAATGTTGGAGGTGTTGTTCATGCTGCAGATTAGCAGCTGCGTTTGCTGAATTGTAGCAGCTCATTGTGCGAGTGCTTTGAGGTGTTTTGGCTCTGTGTCAAGAGCGAGTCTCAACACAATGTACATGTACATTCAACTCACAGTGTTATTTATAAATTCAGAGTCTGCTAGGTTTATTTAAGGGGCAAACGTGTGAAATATGCTGACCGAGGCGGATCAACACTTTGCCCACAACAACAAAGCCCCTCCTGCAGGAGCGCACATAGCAGAATTTCGGAGTTTGCTCGATTGGCTGTGAATCCGCTCTGCAGTCTCCGTGTCCCCCGCCCGGCCGGCATCGCCAGCTAAAGTAAAGCGCTTCACAGAATTCACTATCAAGTAGCAACTGTGTATTTTCCAGGTAAAGGATGAGACCTAAGGAGGAGAGGGAACTCTTGAGTGTATTCTCTCAGAATACCAAGCAACTGAGATTACACAATCGCTACACTTGCATGGTATATCCAGTGAAGCGCTTTGAGACGTCTCGACGACTTGATAAGGGGTTGCGTCGAGCGCAAAGATTCTTCTTCTTCTTGTAAAACGCAGACAAAAATAAGGCAAAAATAGAGACAATGGGTTTGCGCTCTCTGCCTTTTCTGTTTCACGCTTTGGTTGGCGTCAGGAAGCCAGAGTGCGAGCAGTGCAGCCCGGAGCCACTCTCTTCAGTGGTGATGGGTGAGAATGCGGAAAGGTTAAAGGGGGAGAAATATCGGATTTCGCTCCCTGGGCCGTTCGCCCGGAGTTAGTTGACTTCTTTCAGGAGAGGGAGATGGCAGACACCATATCCCCAAGTGTGTTTTATTGCCCCGTGTGACAAGCCAGATTCACCACCGTAATCCAGAACTTCTGCGTTCCGTATTTCACAGCAAGGCACAGGAGAAAAAGGTCAAAAGGATTAAATCCTTTTGACGTGAAATGTTTGTTCCAGGAATATTTCTTCCGCCCTCGCCCACCCCCAATAAATTTAAAGGGACACCGTCTTTCTCACTGCCCGTCATTCCCTCAATTGGTGACGCCTTGAAAGGCACAAGGCTTCTCTCGTGGGATTGTTTTATTTATTTATATCATTTCTATTGGTTTTTATTTCGCCCACAAACGATACGGTCAATTCACTTTTTTTGGGGGGGGGTGGGGGCTGGATTTTTGCTCACAAAATACACAGTCAATCCACTTCGCAATGTATTCTGTGAAGTACTTGGAGATGTCTCGACGACACGATAAGGCGCTATATCAAATGCAAGGAGTATTATTGTTGGTAAACAGTAGCAATCCGATTTGGGACTTAAGTTCAACTCAGTGAAATGACACAGCTCATCTTCCCTCCGTCCTTTCCCCTTTTAAAGCAATGTCACTCATCCAAGAGGCATTCTTCAACCAATTCCACCCCCCAACTCCTCCCCGCCCCACCCCCCCCCCCACCCAGCCCCAGCCCTAACCCACCGCCCCACCCTGTGTAACTGAAAACCTAGCGTGTCTCATTGAGAGTAGGCTGGAGTTTTCATTCTGAGGGGCTGTGAAGTGAATTAATCTCAATGACTGTTTTTTGGAGTCAGTATATCTGGGTCACGATGAAGTCTCCTGTACCTGATTGGTGGAGGAACTCTGGTGCGTTACACCTCTCTCTCATGAGAGCGAGAAAAGAGAAAGAGAGTGAGATGAGGAAAGAGAGAGAGAGAGAGAGAGAAGCAGAAAAAGAACGAGAGGGAGAGAGAAGGAGATGCGGCTGATAGCCTGAGCGTTTCGAAGATGGCCCCTTATAGCGTGGAAGAGAAGAATTAAAAGCCACGGTAAGTCTTTATGTAAGACCCTCCAACTAGAGCATTGCTTAGAATATATAATAGAATAATCCTTGCATTTGATACAGCGCCTTATACGTTTTCGAGACCTTTCAAAGGGCTTCACAGAATATAATGTAAAGTGGAGTGACTGTGTATTTTGCGAGGGAAACGCAGCAGGCAATTGCACACAACAGTGTCCCACAAATAGTCATGGATTGAATGACCAAATTTTTCTGGTGGGATTATTACCCCCGGAAAGCAAGTCACTAATTGACTAATAACCCTGTTCCTACTTACTGATAGGTATTGAATGACCAAATTATTATTATTTATTTTTGAAGGGATTACTTAACAGCTGTGCAGCGGGTGGTTTGCAAGTAGTATTTATTATAGAACTGGCTGTGCGTTTCAGATAAGATTTGTTGTGGTGAGCTAGATATTGTGCGGCAGCCTTCTATCCTAAGCGCTGTACATTTTTCCCCAGTATCTTTCCCCCACCCTGGTTCCTGCCGGCATGAGGTTCTACCATCGTGCGAGAGTAGGGGGGCAAGCCTTCCATCCCATGCGAATGGTGAATGTCATTGGAAACACGGAACACATTCGTTTGCAGAGATAGTGAACAGCTTGTGTTAGATGCATGAATTAACGGCGCTGGGGAATACTGCAAAACAATTCTGCCCCCTCCACCCCCCACCCCAATCATATTCATATTCACAGGGAGAGGTGAGCGGTAGGAATTGGGGAACTGGGAATCATTGGCTGACATTTCCCCCTCCACCCAATGGGTACAGAGACCACTCATCTGCCCCTTACTCTACAATATGATAATAATAATAATAATTCTTGCATTTGATGCAGTGTCTTATCATGGCATTGAGACATCTTAAAGCCCCTTCAGTGGGTACACTGTTAAGTGAAGTGACTGTTTTATGGGTAAGAGGCGGCAACCAGTTGCCCACAGCAATGTTTTGAAATAGCCAGGAGTGAGTGACCAATGTTATTTGGAATCCTTACATTTGATACCACTCCTACTCTCACCCCACTCTCTACTCTGCAGTCACTTGGTGCTCTGCCTATGATCCATGTGCAATTCCGTGCCACCGTAAACTCATAAAATACGCAAAAAGGGGATCAAATGTCATTCACTTATTCAGTTGAATAAATTCTCTTTACTTTGTTGCAACCAAATGTCGGCACAAAATCAGGTTAGATGTTCAGTTCAGTGGTGACGATGTGGAGAGCGAATTAATAAAATGGCTTCTGTTGCATCGAAGTTGTTTTGTAAATTGACTTCATTAACTGAGAATGCCTGAGGTCAACAGTGAGTGGAACGCCAACAGAAACTTTATCAGCTCTTCATGTAGTTCCACCAAAGTTTTGGCGCTGAATAAGCCGGGGGGGAGGGGGGGGGTGGTTGGAAACTAGGTACAGTGAAACAGTGATGAATTACAGCTTACTCAATGCCCGCCCCACCACTCCTCAACCCCTCCCTCATCAACCCCTCCCTGTTCACCCTCCCACAGTTGCTTTTCCTTCGTCGTTCGCACGTTTAATGAGTTGATCTTATTTCCCAACATGGGCAGGAACACAGACACAACATCTCCCTCCCCCCCCCTCTCTCCCTCTCTCTCTACATTACCCCTGTCACTCTTAACTCTCCTCTTCTTTCTTCACAGATAAATTATTTGGCAAAAAGCTCCTCCAGGCTGGTCGTTACATCATGTCCCACAAATCATGGATGAAGACGGTTCCAACAGAGAACTGTGACGTCCTGATGACATTTCCAGGTATTATTCTTTGCTCTGTCCTGCCAGCACCAATATACTTATCCAGAAACCTCACACGAATCTTTTAGGCTCAATAGGAGACGTATTAGGTGCAAGATAAACCCAATGGACGCAATGAGACATTGTTTGATATCTCTTTAACCATTCCAATGGTCACTCAATTCATGACTGTTTGTGGGACGCTGCTGTGCATAATTGGCTGCTGCCTTTCGCCCACAGATATATAGTCGATTCACTTTACAATATATTCTGTGAAGCGCTTTGAGACGTCTCGAAGACATGATAAGGCGCTTCAGAACCTTGGGATGTCCTCCCGACATGAAAGGCGCTATACAAATGTAACCTTGTTGTTGTTGTTGTTGTAGATCAAATGCAAGGATTATTATTGTTGTTGTTGGGCATCATCCTTGGTTGATAGCAGTCTGGGAATAGGAAGTTCAAGGCCAACATTGGGTACTTTGAGCTCACAGTCCAGACCTGGAATCTGGTGCATTATTGAGGGAATGGACATTAAGATGGGACATTAAACAAAATATCTCTACTTGTTCAGATCAACATTAGGAGAGCACCTCCTGGCCAACAGACTCAAATAAATTGTTCTTTCACTTTCAAGCGCTCCAGGACACTACCCCGTTTGAAGGGCGCATCTGCAAGTTGTTGTTGTATAGCTGGTTATGACATGTTGCTGTGTACAAATTAATTGCTGTGTTTGTCTACAAATGCAGTCACTAAACTTGCTCACAATTACCTGTGAAGTGCTTTGAGACGTTGAGGCTGTATCAAATGCGAGAATTATCATGATTATAACCTTAGCCCTCCTTTATTCCCTGTTCAGGGCTGGTTTCCCCTCTATACACTCTGTGAAGTATTATGAGGTATTTTAATGGGTTACACTGTGCAATGTAAAAAGTAAAATGCGTTCATTCTTTGATTAGTTCATCGACCATTTTCTCTGGTATTTGAGCCAGGTCAAGAGACATGTTATCAATTGCAGGTAAAAGGTCGTAGGTCTATGTGTCAACGCGAGACCTTTAACTGAGGCACCAATGCCTGAATATGGGCCATTTCGTCAACAGGAGATTAATGCGTTGGCAAGCACGAAAATAGGTCATTGGGGCAATGACACATCTCACAGAGACAATGTTGCCTCCTGTAAGGGCAGCTTGATGCCAATCTGGAGCCAAGTCTACAGTCACATTGTGTTAGTGTTAGTTGAGGAGCTTTCACTCGGCTCCTGTTTCCTGGTGATAATCCCTGGAGGGGATAATAATCCCTCCCAAAAAAATTATTACAAAAATAATAATCATTTGGTCATTCAATCCACGACTGTTTGCGGTGCACCGTTGTGCGTTTCGGCCACAAAATATACAGTCAATTCACTTTACGATATATTCTGTGAAGCGCTTTGAGACAGTTCGAAGACGTGATAAGGCGCTACATCAAATGCAAGGATTATTATTGTTATTACTTACAAATCCCTTTGGGAATTAGATCCTGATGTCACCGCACTGCTGGCCTTCAAGGGTTAAATCCCCCGTGTTTATCCCAACCGCTCACACCAGTCACTGTCCATCACAGCACCAGCTCATGTTACTGAGGTCCAAGCTAAGCACAACCCAGCACAACATAAGCCAGAACAGCCAGTCCACTCCTGTTCCCCCCAACCTCCCCACCCCCACTTCAAACCAGCCAGAGCTCTCTGTGCAGACCTGAGTTTCTCACAGTCTCAGCCTTAAAACCGTTGTCTTAAGCGTTCAGATTGGAGTGGCCTTTCTTGGCATGTTATTATAAGCTATTCAATTATTTAAAAAAAANCTATTAAATTCGAGCCGTCTCAAAGCACTTCACAGAATGTACTGTAACGTGAATTGACTGTGTGTTTTGTGGGCGAAACGTGGCAGCCGATTGTGAATTGAGTGACCTAATTATTATTATTATTTGTTTCAAACCCCCACGTTAAATTCCCAGCGCGAAAGACGCAAAGAATCTCAATGATCGAGATCGCAGATATCAGTAATCCTTTCTTCCCCTACAATGCAAAGTCTTGTTATGAAGGTTTAGTGAAAGCATCTCTGTTTATAGACACTGATTTCTGTGACATTCCCAAAGGTCCTCCATGGTTTGTGACAGATCAGTCCTCAGCCCGTCACTGACCCTTGCCTTCTGCCTTTTCCCCCACAGATATGACAGACGACCACACATTGCTATGGCTACTGAACCACATCCGGCTGGGTATCCCGGAGCTCATCATCCAGATCCGACACCACAAGCACACCAGTGTCTGTGCTTTCTTCGTCACCGCCACTTATGAGAAGTGGGTCTGAGCTGGGGGTTACATCATCAGTCCTTGGTGCTGGGGAGGGAGTGTGACCTGGGCTGGTTACTTAGACTTACATAGAATATACAGCACAGAAACAGGCCATTCGGTCTATGTCTCTGTTGGTGTTTATGCTCCACATGAGTCTCCTCCTGCCCTTCCCAACTAAGCCTCTCAGCACAACCTTCCATTCCTTTCACCCTCATGTACTTATCGAGCTTCCCCTTAAATGCATCTATGCTATTCGCCTCAATTGCTCCTTGTGATGGCAGGTTCCACATTCCCACCGCTCTCTGCGTAAAGAAGTTTCTTCAGACTTCCCTCCGGTTGGTGCTGTCGGTAACGTGTGGTGAGGAATTGTCCAGGGAAGCAACCAGCGACGAGACCTCAAATTAACTGCCGCCAACGCACGCACGGATGAAGCAGGGCTCTGGCCTGCTGCCTGTCCCTCGCGCCCTCCGTTCCACCATCGGCGGCCATGCTTTCAGCCACTACGCCCCGAAACTCTGGAACCCTGTCCCTCAATCCCTCCGCCTTGCCCCCCTCCCCCCCCCCCCCCTCCTGCCCCATCTTCAGGTCGCATGTGAAGGCCTTCCTCTTTGACCTGGCTCTGCCACTGCCAAGCTCTCTGAGACGCTGCCCTGGTTGAGGGGCGCTGTATAAATGCAAGTTCTTGTTGTTCGGATCAGGACTCAATTAAGAAACAAGCCGACAAAGTAACAGGAAGATGAAGGATAGGTACTTTGATATAAGATGAGATTCAAAGGGGGGGGGGGCAATGTTCTCCTGCAACTGAACCTCTGGTGTGATCTCTGTACTGATCTCTGTCGGCCTCTCCTCGCAGTTTGCTTCGAGGAGCCGAGGAGCTCGGTCTACAAAAGCCTGTGAAACAAGAGTTTGGAGGGGGAACTCGATGCTTCTCCTGTGATGAGGATTATATATACGAGAATATCGAAAACGAAGTCCATTTCTTCACTTCTCAGGTGAGGAAATCTGCTGCTCGCAGTTTGATGTTTGGCAAAATTAATCCTTTTTCCACAAGTCATTGCTTCAGCATAACACAAACACCGTACATTACTTCACATACAAACGTTCTCAAGCTCACATTCTCTCTCTCTGTCTCTCCCTCACACTCATTCCCGCTGCTCTTTTTTTTCCTTTGTCTCTCCCTCTGTCTTCTGGTGCTAAAGATCCTCTCACCTCACAAAATATACAGTCGATTCACTTTACGGTGTATTCTGTGAAACGCTTTGAGGCGTCTCGAAGACGTGATGAGGCGCTATATCAAGTGCAAGGATTATTATTATTGCTGCAACCTTGAGTCACTGCACTTCCCATGTCTAGCACTCACTCTATTTCAGCCGTGCGTGCGTTTGCTGCAGTTAATGTGTGCTCTTACTCTTATTGCCTCCCTGGACATTTCCTCATTTTTTGAAGAAACTGGGATGAAAACAACAGTAACTTTCCCTCCTCTATAGCTCCTGTCACCTAAAAGAACGTTCTCAAAACGCTGGGCAAATACAGTGATAGAGATTGTTGGAGGGGTAAAGCGGTGTATTTCTAAGGAGAGTTTTGAAGGAAGGGAGAGGCATTCCAGGCAAAGAGAGTTTCAGAGGACCAGAGAGGGGATGATGGAGAGGAGAGTAAGCAAGGAGCAGAGGCTGGGGCATAATTGTGGAGAGGATTGCAGAGGGTGAGTGGATTGAAATCGTGGAAGGATCCGAAGTTCAAGGCCAGGATCCTAAACTCAACCCTCAGAGGTACAGAGGGAAAAGTACATGAGGTTTGCTGCTTACAGTCAGAGATGGGTCATCTCTACAACAAGGGCTCAATGGGAAACGAACCCTCGCCCCTTGTTAAAAGCCAAACCAAATGAAACCAAATGCAACGTAATGTCTCTCTGCAGGAACGACAGAGCATTATCAGGTACTGGCTGGAGAACCTGCGGGCCCGACAGGGAGAAAACCTCCACAACATCCACTTTCTGGAGGGGCAGCCAATCAGTAAGTAGCAAAACAACAGATGGGAAGAAACCAAACGGTTTTTGTTCGTGACGCGACAGTCAGAACATTTCCTGCCTGTTGCTCAGCATGTTCTAAGCACATCCAGTTTGTTACCTGCGCATTACCCAGCATGTGATGGGCAGGTTATCACCCAATGCGTTACTCAGGATGTAGCCTACATGTTGTGCATTGTGCATGCAATAATAGTGAGTGCAGTACCGTGTCTTCCTGCACCTCTTGTAACCTCACAAGAATCTTTCTCTCTCGTTCCTTCCCCAACTGGAGAGAGAGCGCAGAGGAGGTTTACCAGGCTGAAATCAGGGATCAGCGGTTTGGCCTATGAACCGAGGCTGGAACATTGAGGGACTGATAGAGACTTTTAAAATTACAATATAGTTGATCAGGAAACATTATTTCCACTGGTCTTGGGCAAGTCAGTGACTAGAGGGCATTTCTCAACACCGGTTCTTTGGGAGATTGACTGAGCATTGTCAGAAGAGGGAATGGGAGGCAAGGATGGAGATTGTTTCTTTTACAAAGAATTTGGTTTAGTTTATTGTGCGTTGACCACTTCTTGTTGTGTCCAGTTGCAGAGCTCGTGGCACGAGGGATTATTCAGCAGGTCCTTCCCATCCACGAGCAGAGAATTCTCAACCGGCTGATTAAATCCTGGGTCCAGGCCATCTGCGAGTCCCAACCATTAGGTGTGTATACACGTGGGATTGATCAATTGATTGAACGGTGTGCAATGTAGATACAATGATCATTTCTAGAGGTTGAAGGATTTATTGAACTACAATCAACGATATATCCTGGTGAGAGGCCAGACTCCCTAATCCTGACCTAAGGTGTAGTGACTGTGTTTCTGGACGCCTTTTTTTGCTTTGGAGTGTACCTTGCAGTCAAACACAAGGTCCATGTGATCTTTATCACATTGAATGGACCAATGTTGAACCCACTGAATCTTCCCCACCCCCAAACCCACCCTCACCAATATATTGTTCTCACTGTTGACAGAATCCAGCTGTGGATTCCGGTTCAGTTTAAGGATCTTTACTAAATTTTATTGTGTGAGACAGTAATATTCTGCAGACAAAATATACAGTCAATCTACTTTACAGTATATCTTGTGAAGCACTTTCAGGCGCCTCAATGACGTGATAAGACGTTAGACCAAATGCAAGGATTATTATTATGATCACTTCTGAAAGCATCGCCTCTTTCTTTTCCAGATGAGATCTGTGAATATTTCGGGGTTAAAATTGCCATGTACTTCTCGTGGCTGGGCTATTACACCTGGTGCATGGTCTACCCAGCAATCATCGGCTTCACATTGTGGGTGTTCACTGAGTCAGACCAGGTAAGGTGTCTGCAGGTGAAAGAACCTCCTCTTTGACCGAGCCTTCGGTAACCCTCCTAACCACACCCGCCCCATCCTCCCTGATCCCAATCCCTCAGCTCAGGTCCAAATCCCTGACTGTCAAGCACGTTGGGACGTCCTCCTGATGTGAAAGGTGCCATGTAAATGTAACGTGTTGTTGTTGTTTGATTCCCGCAGACCAGCCGCGACATTATCTGTGTGGTCTTTGCTCTGTTTAACGTGGTGTGGTCGACCCTGTTCCTCGAGGGCTGGAAGCGCCAGAGCGCAGAGCTGGCTTACCGGTGGGGGACGTTAGACCGACCGGCAGAACTCATCGAGGAGCCAAGGTCACAGTTCAGGGTGAGTAATGGTTAGATAATTACCGTGGGCAATTGGCTGCCGCATTTCGCCAACAAAATACACAGTCGATTCATTTTATAGTGTATCCTGTGAAGCGCTTTGAGACATCTCAACGCCATGATAAAGAGCGATATCAAATGCGAGGATTATTATTATTGTTATTAGAATATCCTATCGGGCAAATGTCTATCCGTATTTTTCATCAGTCTTCCAACGCCGGTTTATTTTTGTTTTGGCAAATCTGACTCCATTCTATAACGAGCTAAGTGCAATCTAGAGCGACTTTGATGGATTATTATTGCTTAAGTGTTTCAGAATATGATTCAATGTTTGCTTTACTTTATCGCAACTGGAGTTTGGCTAAGAACTGAAACGCTGCTATGTGTAATGGACAATAACCCTTCTTTAACCTTGCTTTTGTAGGGCGTCAAGAGAGTGAGCCCGGTGACGGGATGCGAAGAGTTTCACTACCCACCTTGGAAGCGGAGATTATTCCAATATTTTGTCAGTCTTCCTATCTGTTTCTTCTGTCTGTGCTTTGTCTTCCTGACCATGTTAATCTGCTTTGAGCTGCAGGTGAGTATCAGCCACTTGAACAAGCAGAGCGTTTCCACAGTTAAATAGCGCCTCGCAAGCTTGGTGACTTGCAGTATGCTGTGAATTGTACTATTGTTTTGTACATCCATTTACCAACGCTCAGAGTTACAGGATTGCAGAAGTCTTGGAACAGAGTTGCCCGGCGTTTCGCCCACAAATGTGCAGTCAATTCACTTTACAGTGCATCCCGTGAAGCGCTTTGAAACGTCTCGAAGACGTGATAAGGCGCTATATCAAGTGCAAGGATTATTATTATTATTATCAATGCAAAGCTGACCTGCGAATAGATTTTCAGAGAGTCATCGGCGCAGTGTGTTACACAATAGACCTTGACCACTGTAACCTGGGATCAGGTCTAAACCCAAATGATGAGTGAATGTATCTTCCATCTGTTAGGTGAAATGATCCTGAACCTTGAATTAAATTAATTTAGCAGATCTCAACTCAGTTTCTTGTGGATTAGAATAGATAGCTCCATGAAGGAGCTTCTGGCAGAACAGGCTTGATGTAATGAATGTAATCTCTGCTCCTCTACTCCAAATGTTGTGTTTTGTATTTTCTTTCAGGAATTTGTGTCCAGTATAAAAGAATTACCACGAGTAGCTACTTATTTTCCTAAAGTCCTTCTTGCTGTTGTGGTGACAATTCTTGATGATGTTTACAAGAAAATTGCCTATTGGTTAAATGACTTGGGTAAGTTTCTGGGTGGGATTAGTTAGGGCAGGATCCCAATTTGATTTACAAAAATTATTTCATTAAAGCCAAACACGCCTGTAATCGTTTAGCCCCAGGCCTAACTCGGGAACCATATTTCGTGACTAACTTGTGTTTCTGAAGTTTTTTTGCTTAGAATAACCTTTCATTCCAGAAATCTCTAATAGAATGGAAATAATAGAGAAACCTGTTCTGACAAATCTCCTCCCAGCATGTTTCCTATTAAGGCCCACACCTATCCCACTAAATTGTAAGATCAGACCCACTATATCCGGTCACATTTACACTGAAGGACAAATTGCTCACTGCACAAATCCACCCAAACTCTTGCACCACAGCACACGCTCTCAATCTCTTTGTCTCTACGTTCAGGCTGCAGCTCGAATAAAATAGGAGCATTACTGGATGCCTTTTGTCAGACCCAGAGCTCGATAGAGGACAGGATGGGTTGGGGCAAGGATGAGGTCGTGGCTGAGTGCCCATATTTGCTACGTTGCAGATGATTGTAGTCTGATATGCCAAGACAGCAAGACAGCAGGGCACAGGTTCATTATGTGTGAAGGGCGTGTTTAATGAGGAACAAGACTCGGGAGGCACAGAAAGGGGCTCCATACTTTGGGGATCTATCAATGTCTGTTTTTAAAACAATAGAGGAGGTAACATTAGAGCCAGCTGCTGTCCGTGTCTGAATCGTGCTCTCGTGTGATTTGCTTTCCAGAGAATTACCGCATACAGAGTGCCTATGAGAAACATCTCATCATCAAAGTAGTTTTGGTGAGTGTTGGTGGGCTGCGTTTGGACTCAGAAGGTGGGCCTTGTTTCAGACATGAATCTCCCCATTTGGCTCTCTCGTGACTGTTTAGGAATGTGGCCATAATGGACTCCTGGGTTGTAAACCTCCTGTGGAGTCTTGCAAGCGAGAGGACCCGGGTTCAATTCCCGATAGGGCAAAATCTTAGGTTTCCTTACTCCACATGCACCTGTTTACTTAGCAGTAAGTAGAAACCCGGTTGTAAGTCAATTGGTGGATTGCTTTCTGGGGGTAATAATCCCTTAAAAAATAAATAATAATTTGGTCACTCAATCCACGACTGTTTGTGCGACACTGCTGTGCACAATTGGATGCCAGGTTTCGCCCACAAAAAGGACTCACTAACTAACTAATTCCTCTTTCTGCTCCAGTTTCAGTTTGTAAATTCGTACCTTAGTCTTTTCTACATCGGATTCTACCTCAAAGACATGGAGCGTCTTAAAGAGGTAAGACTTTGCAAGGCTGCTTCACCTTGCAAAACCAGGCGTAGAAGTTGGTCAATGGGACAGAGAAATTAAACCCAACACAATACTTTCAGTTACGTCGCTTTACATGAGAAGAGGGCACAGGTTTCAGGATGTGAAGTGCAATGTTCATGAAGTGCAAGGAAGCGTTTCTTTACCCAGGGGGAAATAGACACCTGCATTGGATCACCAGGAAAGGTGTTAGGGCCTAGGACAGTGGACTTACTTAAGAGGAGGCTTGATGGGAAGATGGCGTTTGATGGAAGGATGAGATCAAATGAGCCAAATCTCATCTGAATCCTTCTTGTTATTCTGTTATAAAGAAGGTGACTGACAGTTAGTAGCAGACGTAAAAAGGGACGTTGAGTGTCATGCCTACAATCAAAGGAACTCATCTACACTTGCGCATCTCTGCAACTCACTGACTTCTTTCCATTCTTTATTTTGCTCATGTCTTCATTTGTCTTTCTCTTCCTTCTTCGCAGATGTTGGTAATCTTCTCCCTGTCCAAAAGCCTTGCGCGTCAGATAAAAGACTCCCTCTTCCCCTACATTATCCTCAAAATATATCTCCTCATCATCCTGAAGCGAAACGGGATCATCAGGAATTACTATCACTGCATTCGGTGGTTCCGGTGCAAAGTACAAATGGCCTCTTTCTGTGGCTGCTGCATGCTATAGGCTAGAGGCAAGTACAAGGTTCAATCTAGGCAGGAGTATCTGAATATATACACACTCATACACCACTTTTCTTCCCCTGATCTCTGGATAGAAGTTGACTGGCGCACACAATAACCTAATGCTCCAAGAAAACCTACTTGTTCCCTCTGGCTTCCAGCGAAGGAACATGGTTTTGAGGAAGTCCGCGCCCACAAAATACACAGTCACTCCACTTTAAAGCTTATTCTGTGAAGCGCTTTGAGACGTCTCAACAACGTGATAAGCTGCTATATCAAACGCAAGGATTATTATATAATATTTATTTTTTACAGTCGACCTTTGCTCGATCACGAGCAGCTAAACACTGGTTAAGGCGACATTAGTGTTGCGTTTTCTCCAGGAAATGCTTGGAACTACATGCAGAGTCACGAGACCTCAATTTGGACTCGGGTATAATTTGAGAGGAAAGGCCTAGAGGTGACAGATAAGGACAACAACACACAATCAGCTTCTAACAGGAAGACTCGACACTTTGCCTTAAGATGTTGCAGAATTGGACAAAAAAATCTCCCCAATTCAGTCTTGAATTGGAACCCGATTGATCTACGAATGGCAGATAAGACAGATTCCAATGGAAGACTGGATTGGGAGAATTTTAAGAATCTTGAAATTTTAAGACCAAGATCGATTTGCAAGCTAAGACTAGGTGGAATTCCGGGCCTCGGCTGATTATAAATGGAGTTGTCCGACTTGTGGTTCAGTTGAATCCCATTCCTTTACTAGAAACGCATGGAGAAACACCCTCACCTCCTCACCTCATCTTCAGCTAATACTAGATTGAACCTTGGGGGTGTTTGGTGCATGGGGCCACTCACTTTTTTTTTGCAGTGTGTGTCAGACCGTATAGATTGTGAATTCATCTGTCGGGTGAGTGTAAAAAGGTGGAAGTGTGACGGACTGAGACCGGCGCTGAGGCTGACGAGGGAAGCATGTCCTGATGCCTCTCCTTAGCTAGGTCACGTGTGGGGGCTGCAGGCTTTATGCTGGGACGACACTAGGTTTCAATGGAGAACGCGTATCAAAGTGTCCGGTAGCATTCAGAGAGGGCAAATCATTCTTGCATTTGGGCTCTACCCGTCAAAGACTAACACAAATGTTGGCATCTGCCAGACTGGTACTTTTGTTGCACGAAAGAGGATGAGGCATTAACTGTGTGCGTTTGGGTCTGTAGTGTGAGACTGAGCAATGCTGTGTGTGCCTTAGTGTGTGCCTTAGTGTTGCACCCCGTCGTGCTGGGAGCTGCAATACAGAGAGAATACGGGGTTAACAGCGGGCCGTTGAGTATGTGATGCATTCATTTAGAGGACAGATCAAAGAATGACGTAAAGGCTAAATCGAGAACCCCGCAGCTTTATTTACAGTATTTCTGAGCAGAATTTCTCACAAAGCGGTGTTCCCGCGGGGTCGGTTGAGGGGGGGGTGGGGGGTGATGTATTTTCAGCTTCCAGACGGAGTCTCTATCCGCGTCGCTCGGATTTCTCAGTAAGGAAACCCGTTAAGAAATATTGCAAATCAGGCCACTTCGAGAGTGCAGGTTCTATTTCGGGAGGTAACTGAGATGGAAAGGGGAGGAATGTGTAGACATCGGGGTGAGGCTTTCTGCTGATCAGTAATTATTGTAAAGCTTAGCAGCTTGTCTGCGGAACAGGATTCCTATTGTAAACGAGCAAAGTCGTTATGTTGTTCACCAGAAGCAAAATAACCTCCCACATCTGAGATAATGATCGAGCTCAGGAATAATAATACATCCCCACCCTGGGTACTTTCGCAGCGATCTAAGAGCAAAAGCGACGCCAGAATGTTTTTTGTCTCAGAAATAATTGACTGCAGACTTGCATCGCTCCTCTACCTCTCTCTCTCTCTCTCTCTCTCTATCTCTCCTCTATCTCACCTTCTCACTTCTGTGACATTTACTTAACCCGTTCCGGTTCAGTTGCTCACAGCGAGTTAGCAGGTTGATTCAGCGATTCATTTTGTACAAATAATGCAGTGATTTCTCAGTGTAGTATTCTGAGCACAAAGGCGACGGTAAAGCAACTGCAATACTTTTGCATTGGAGTCTAAATTGTGGCCATTCCTTAAATGGGATTCCTTAATAAGAGGTGTTGGCCTGGTTCAGTTAGTCACCCTCTTGCCTTTGAGTCAGAAATAATCCACTCCCCATGTTAGAGCTTTGGCTGACACTCCAATGCAGTGCTGGGGAAGCATTGCATTGATAGAGATGCCGTCTTTCAGATGGGACGTTAAACCAAGGTTCCTTTCCGCTGAACTATGCCACCGTACAGAAAGAGAAGGGGAGTTTCTCCCAGCGTCCCGGCCACAAACCCCTTCAGATAAAATGGGTCAGTTACTTCATGGCTGTTCGTGGGACATCGCTGTGCACAAATTGGCTGCCAAGTTTGCAAACAAAATACAGTCACTGCACTTTTCAGTATATCCCGTGAAGCGCTTTGAGAGACGGTTTAACAACCTGATAAGACAATATATCAAATGCAAGTTATTATTATTCTTCTCATCAATATTATTAAGAAAAATTGATCCCACGGGCTAATAATAATAATCCTTGCATTTGATATATCGAATCGTTCAGACTTCTCGCAAAAGGCACTTCACAGAATATGCCGTGAAGTGAATTGACTGTATTTTATGGGCTGAGACAAGCGGCTGAATAGAGAAGGTCGTAACTTTTGCTGTGTGTTCAGAGGGACTTTTATTGGAAAGGTTCTGCTTACAGTCACTGCGATGAAATATTGCTGTCAGGGCAGTGCTGGGAATGTAATGCACTTGCAGATATCAAGCTCCGCGCTCTGTTACTGCAGTGCAGTCAGGAAGTGAGTGAGTCAGCTTTTCAGCCGAGGGGGAAGGGGAGAGGGAGAAATGTCAATTCCCATCTCAATCTGTCCTTAAATACATGATGGATAGAGAGTGAAATACGCTGCTGGGTAAGGGAGAAGCACAGAGGCATCCAGTCTGCAGCCCGGAGAAACCGTGGGCACAATGTACTGTGATTTACGCCTGCTTTGAATTCAAATGTGTCACTTCTGCAGCGTGTGTCCGCTCCAGCTCTCGTCCCGGCTCACAGCCGCACGCTGTCTGCTTTGGCAATGTGACCTGAGTCAAAATAATACAGCTACCTGCTGGGCAGTCAGCGCTGACACACACAGTGTGTCTCTCTCTCTCTCTCTCTCTCACCCACACACACAAAGAGTCAGTATTGTCTCTGCTGTCTCAAACACATCACACAGTTAGTGCTCTCTCTCTCTCACACACACACAATGAGTGCTGTCTCAAAACACACAGTCAATATTGTCTCTGCTGCCTCATACCCACACAGAGTCGATCACAGGCAGTGCTGTCTCATACACACGCACACACACATACACACACAGAGTCAGTGCCCATAACAGCATTGATGTGCCTGAAGCCGCTGCTTGCGTTGCAGTCGGTGCCTGTGCCCGGGCTGGCACCAGGGAGAGCCTGCGTGTGGCGAGGGAGGGAGGGTGTATGTGAGCAGCTGCTCACTCACTCTAGTCTGGTCTCTCTCTCTCCAGATGTTGGCGGCGCTATTGATCACCAGGCAGATTTTGCAGAACATCAAGGAGGTGATGCAGCCACTGCTGTACGAGAAGTACAAACAGGGGCACCTGACGCTGCAGACCATGTGGAAGGTGCTGGTCAGTATCTTCAAGTACTCGCCCCACGTGGAGAGGGCGAGTCCGGGGGACGAGGTGGAGGAGGGGGGGCATGTCCCGGGGGAGGGGTCGAAGCGGGAGAAGAAGTGCATCAACGGGGGCTGCGGGGTGCCCGAGGAAGAGGAAGATGAGAACGAAGAGGAGAGGGAGGAGGAGAACGTATTGGACTGCGGGCTCCGGCTGGCCAAGAAGGTGAGCTTCGCGGGGAACACGGACAAGCCGAGCAGGGAGGACAAGGAGTGCGAGATGGACGCCGTGCTGGAGAGCGTGTTCCTGGAGGAGGGCAGCCCCATGATGATGGAGAGAGGCCCGGGCGGAGACATGGTCTTCCAGCTGTGCGAGGACTACGAGAGCACGAGGTCCGAGGGCGAGGCTGCAGAGGCAGCCGCGGATGGCAAGGAGCTGGGCTGCGCCCTGCGGCACAGGAGGAGGATGACCAGCGAAGGGGACGCGGAGGCCCCCGAGCCCGTGGCCAACAGGCTGTCCTGGATGGACCCCCCAGAGGAGGACGGGGACTCGCCCCTCACCCAGGCCGAAATCGAGAGCTGTATGCAAAAATACGAGGTACCTCGTCAACTCCCACTTCCCCCTTCACCCCACCGGGCTTTACACCTGAGACACCGTGATTTTAATTGGGAGTGGGGTGGTGGATGGGGGGGGTGTCAGCCGGGCATCTGACACACACGGAAACCCGTCTCCGCGCTTTTAAGAGTCTCGAAACCCAACTGAGAATTCTTTGCGTATCCCACCTGCACGTGGAGATTCCCGAGATGGGTTGTTGGAATGGAACGCGCTGAAGCTCTCTCCCTGGAGGGAGGCCCCTGCTTAACCTAATTCCGCAAAGTATTAGGCACAGGTTGGTGAGAGCCAAGGCTTAGGGGGTGGGGGCCAGAGTGTGCGTTGGGGGTAACTGCTGGAGTCTAACCAGCTTAAAACCACACAGCTCCGCCCGTTGATATCTTTACACGCACATCCTCACGGTCATCGCCGTTACACAATCAGTAAAGTCACTTTTACTTAAATACTTTTCTTCCAATATTCAGCATCTGAAACGTGCAATTAAACAATGCTCTGGAATGGAAACCCTTTCCCCCCTCCCCCCCCCCCCCCCCCCGCCCCACCCCGAACTGACCAGACCCCTGGTCACTTTCGCCCTCTGTAGGTGAGAAGCGGTAATTTGATAGAAGTGAAGGCAGACATCAAGTCTGTGCTGATACTACAACAACAACTTGCATTTATATAGGGCCCTTCCCGCGGGGTAGAGTTCCGGAGCGCTTGACAGTGGCGGAGTCTGACCCCAAGCCAGAGGGTTGGGGGGTGGAAGGGGAAGGTGAAGGTATCATCTCCTCATTGAATAACTTTGGTGAAACATGTGGAATATTGAGCACAGTTTGGGCATCGCTTCTTCTCAGGACACCTTCCAGGATTATCAGGAGATGTTCATTCAGTTTGGCTATGTGGTGCTCTTCTCCTCGGCCTTCCCCCTGGCAGCTATGTGCGCGCTGATCAATAACGTGATCGAGATCCGTAGCGACGCTTTCAAGATCTGCACCGGCTCCCAACGGCCCTTTGGGCAAAGGGTGGACAGCATTGGCCAATGGCAGGTAAGAGAAAACAACCTGACTGATACCTGTCTTCATTTGTAATGTGGTTACACCATACTGATTCACAGCGTCTTCGTAATGTACGTAGGAACTGATATTTTATAATAATAATAATCCCTGCATTTGATATAGCGCCTTACCACATCATCTCAAAGCGTAGATGGTAAAGTGGACTGACTGTATTTTTGTGGGTGAAATTGCGCACAGCAGCGTCCCACAAACAGTCGTGGATCGAGTGACCAATTTAACTTTTTTTTTGTTGTTTCCATTTTTTTGGAGGGATTATTCCCTCCCCGTAAAGTGATCCGCCAATCAGCGCACAGCCCGGGTTCTTACTTACTGCTAAGTAGACAGAGGCGTGTGGAGTAAGGAAACCTGCCTAAGGTTTTGCCCTGCCCGGGAATCAAATACGGGTCCTCTCGCTTGTGAGGCGAGTGCGCTAACCTCTAATGCTATGGGACTCCATTCTCTGCAATGTCCACAGTGCCTGCTATCCTCTGTAATGCACACAGCACAATCTATTCTCCATAACTACCTACGCCTTTTGTGTTTTGCCCCTTTGCTCCTGATTTACTCTCTTTCCTCAGAACGTGATGGAGGCGGTGGGAGTCATTGCGATCATCGTGAATTGCTACCTGATCGGCCAGTGTGGGCAACTGCAGCGCTTGTTCCCCTGGCTCAGCTCGGAGATGGCGGTCATCAGTGTGGTGATCCTGGAGGTAAGAATGTTTTTCCCGGCCCCTCCCAAACCCACCGTCAGTGAGGAGGAAATCAGAGAGTGTTCCAGTGATGGGCTGAGTGGTGTATTGGAGTGGAGGGGTGCTGGGGTATCAGTGATGGCTCTCTCTCTCTCTTCGCAGCACTTTGCCTTCCTCCTGAAGTACGTGCTCACCAGCGCAATCCCCGACGTACCTGCCTGGGTGGCAGAGGAAATGGCCAAACTGGAATACCAGCGTAGGGAGGCCTTCAAGGTAAGGTTTTCCTCGAGGACGTTCTGGTTTAATTTCCTTTTCGCTCACTCAGTGTCTTTTCCACAGGCCGGAGCTAACGGTGGCCACTTGCTTTTCGAACCCGGGTCCTCTCGCTTGCGAGCCGAGCGTGCTAACCACTACACTACGGGACTCTCAATAAAGTAACACACACCCCCCCCCATTGCTGCGCCGATGTGTCAGCCGAGACTGTGAGATCAAAGTCCCTACGTGGGGCTCGGACGCACAACCTCATACCTTTTGCTTTCTATCTTCTCAGAAGCACGAGAGGCACGCGCAGCAACACTACCAGCAGCAGCAGAAGCGCAAACAGCGGGAGGAAGAGGAGAAACATCGACAGGAACAGAAGGAACATAACCAGTCCAGGAAGGACAGGGAGACGGGAAAGGAGGAAGGGAGAGGTTCGGGGTCTGAGCACGCTCAGGAGAAAGGTCACGGCAAATCCAAGTCGTCCAGCGGTTCTTCCCAAACGCTGGAGAAGCCCAAGCGCCCCAGCTCGCTGCTGGCCTCCAACAACGTGATGAAACTCAAGCAGATAATCCCGCTTCAGGGCAAGTTTCTGTCGGGCAGCGGCGGGGCAGCTAACTCCGCCAACTCCACCACTGCAAAGTCTCCTCAGTCACCCACCACGAGCGAGAGCAAACTGCCGGGGTTCCTGAGCTTCAAGTTTCTCAAGTCGCCGGCCGACGGGAAGAAGGAAGCAACGGCCGAGAAGGAGAAGGAGAAAGTTCAGTCGCCGACCAAGCCCTTTAACCCCGGGAAGCTTTTCAACTTCGGGAAGTCGGACATAAGCGGAAACAACGGCGCAAACACATCGCAGCCCAAAGCCAGCGGAGCGTTTGAGAGCGGTGACAAAGCCAGCAGCAAGTCAGACCTGAACGGACTAACGGAGGCAGCGAGCGCTGAGGAGCCCAGCGCACACTTCTCCGACGAGTCCAACAGCCCCAAACGTTAACGCATTATACTCAACAGAGGGCCACGGATGGCACAATCTTCAAGGGCTCCTCGGGAGAGTGGAGACTGGGCCAAAGCATCGTTTAAAGGATTTTTTTTTTTTTTAAAAAAGAAAAGCAGAAGAAGTTCCGGTTTTAGTTTTTAAGTAATAACAATCTGCAGGGATAGAGATCTGTATCTGGAAACAAGGTTCTCAACGTCTTTATATACAGTGTGTAGTTTGGTGCAAACTCCTTGCTTTTACACCCCGCAGCCAACGCCAGGAATTTCTGGCACTGACCTCTGTTTCCCTCCCCACCCCCACATCACCAATTCCCCCTCTCAGCTTATACTGGAGTGTGGTTCAATGGGCGCTGGACGCTTCTCACTACCTCCCTGCAGTGTCATTGTGTCGGGCCCATGGACAGCTAAGAGTCAGGAAGCCTATTTGAGCGTTGGAGGTGCGAATAAGGACATGGCAATTACAGTTGATCCCGATCCTGTCCTCACTCAATCTCAAAGTTTGTGCACTTGCCAGATGAGCAGCCAGCCGCAGGAAGTTACCCCTCTTCTCCTCTCCCTAGCTTCAGATTGCTGCCCCCCCCACAAGAGATCAACATATTAAGTAAGCACAGGTCAAGCCAAGAACATTCCTGGTGTGTTCACCTCTGTTTCCGACAGTGTACAATTCTGTTGGCCATTGGGAGGGAAGCTCTTGACTAATTTACTTCAATATTTTATGACAATGTTTTTAAATAACCCTTTTCCTCCCACCCCTTTCCCCACACCCACAGTTTTGAGTCACATCGATTGACAGTGGCAGTTGACATCGCTCTGCAGAATCTCACCAAATCCGTCCTGATAAACTCAGCAAAAAATAGATGAAAATCAACGTAAACGCTTTAGAATCATCGAACGGCACATAAAACAGTTGCAGAGGTCACCGCAAAGATGCCCAGCCAATAAGAGGCTTTAGAGGAGAGAGATTTCCTCATCACAAACTGTTTCCATCAAATACAGTTTTAATGGAGTATCTGTCACCTGATTACCTACATCTTCAAGTCCTGTGTCTTACTGATTTTTGTCTCGCTCATGTCCCACTGTCTCCACTGCGCTCAGCACACCTGTCCAGAAAGGTAAGGCAAATTAAAGGCAAACATTAGTGAGGAGAAATTAAATCTCAGTACTATTGTAAGGAATAGTAACAGCTACTAATGAGACAAGGCCATTGAGTCTTTGACACTCGACAAACATTCCCAAAGCTTATTAGCTTTGTGCCTCCTGGCCTATCACTACCACTCAATTATCTCCTGACCTAACCAGCTAACTCTCACCCCATCTGTGTATATGGTGAATTAGGTTTCTCTGCTGTATATGTATAGATGTATATATGTATATAATCGGATATAATCTTCACTGCGCCAGGAAACTCTTTCAACATACATGGATAAACAAGTTCCAATCTGGATGTGAATAACTTCTGCATACGGCTGGGATCTTCATTCAAATTATTATGTGTAATTATTCAAATTATTCGAGTGTAAAACTGAACGTAACTTGCCAAAACATTCACTACTTGACTTGACTTGACTGCACTGGATTGTGAAGCTCTTTGAGACATTTCGACGTGAAAAGGAACGGGTACAAAAGCAAGTTCTTTCTGGAATGGCTGATCTGTTGGGAGCGACAGATGGCAATGTGTCTGTTGAGTTATAAAAGACCCTGTTCAATATTCTCCAAAGAGAAAGGATTGAAGAGGACCCTTTGCAGTAGATCAGTCAGGCTGCTTGGCTCCAGAGTTCAAGGGTCCTATTTGAGACACAAAGTTTAAGAATAAAGTCCACGTTTAAGAATTGCCTTCCAACGTGAAGATGTGCTGAAGATATTATTATTGGAACCAAGATGGCTGCCACACCCTTCATTTCAATGCAGAGCTGCTTTGGAAGGCTATTATGTATTTGTCACACTTCAGTCTTCCTGCCTCAAAGAAAAGTAAAATGGTCGGTCGTTCAGTATTAGCGGCTTTGTTTCCCACTGAACAGGAAGCTGAGCGTGTTGATTTGATGAAATGCTCAGAAGGAAATTGTGCCCTTTCAACAAGTAATCTCTTCGAAAACAACGAGAGTCAAAGTTAAAATGTTTTCAGCAACCCATGCTCTTTGGATAATCTCCTCTACTTACCTTCTCTCCAGGAGACTTGAGTCAACCCATCTCTGGTTAAACATAGTCCCACCGTAGTAATCCTCTACTTGAAGATTGTGTCCACCAGCCAAAACTTTCCCCTTGCATGAGATGATGAGATTGCACTATTTCAAATGAACCTGTTCCTAATCTTCCTTCATATATATATATACATATATATACATATATAGAGGGCTTATTATTCAAGGCAGGGAATGGTTAACCTGCATTTTAACAGTAGGTGGTTGAAGCGCCTGGCTTTACAAATACAAACTTTTGTTTGACTGGAGTATGGGATCTTGCCAAGCCATCCTGAAATCTCTTTGACCTTCCTGTTTTACCTCTCTGTGTCGATACTGTTTCCCTGTGTACATTGTTTGTTTAACGTATTAACATGACATTTTTTTTTGCCAAAGCATTTGAGGTCCAAGCAATGCATGCAGCTGGTACGACTGGAAAGGATGAAGGGTGAAGCTACCTCCAAGGCCCTGTTAGCAGCAAATTCCTAATCATTTCCATTCCATTTCCATAGGTTGCCTGTTTTTCTAAGATTATTTCCATAAGGCTTTGACCCAACGAGCAGAATGTACTGGAATGATATATTATCTTCCCTTATTTATCTCTTTTAACAGGAACTGAATATAAGCAACCAATGTTGCTTATATCGTGTATTGAAGCCATTGATTAGAGCCTATTTGCGGACACATATTTGGTGTCTCTACGCTTTTCCTCATTGACAGGTTATCAATATCTTTTTTTTAAACAATATTTTGAATTGTGTGACCATGCGATGGAATGGACTTCCGCTGTTAAAGGCTGTGAACTTCTCCCATAAAGTCCAACTTGTGGGTAATGATTGATTTCCTATCAGTTCACTAGCTGCAGGTGCTTGGAGATAACTGACTGAATCCCTGCAGAAATGACTGACTGCTAAGATTGGCTTAAGTTCATAGCACTCTCATCTCTGTGAAAGAAGGTCACAGGTGCACATCCCAAATCAGGACCTGAGCTTATATCCCAGGCTGACACTCCAGTGCAATCCTGGGAGAAGTGCTGCGTTATCAAAGGGGTGCTACCTTTAGGAATGAGATGTTAAATGGGGATTCTGTCTGCATGTTACAAGTGAAAGTTAAAGATCCCGTGATAAAAGAGAAAATGAAAAGGGAATGGCTTTTCTCCTGGTGTTCTGACCAACAGTCCTCCAGATAAGTTGCTTGTTTGCCTCACGGTTGTAGGAACTTGCTTGTGCAAGCTGGTGCCACGTTTGCCTACATAACAACAACAACAACTTGGATTTATATAGCGCCCTCCACGCCGGACGGCGTCTCAGAGCGCTTCACAATAATGGATCCCGGGGCCGAGCCGCTAACTAGACTTGCCAATTATTATAAAACACAAAATGTTTCAAGTTGAGAAGCCGTTATGATAGTTCCTCTACTTTCACAGATGTTAGGCTTTGAAGTGAGCAACAACAACAAATTACATTTGTATAGCGCCTTTCACATCGGGAGGAACTCCCAAGGAGCAAAGCCCCAATCTAGCCTCGTACCAAAGAAATGACCAGAATTCTGCAGATTGCCAATGATTGACTGACATGGGAAACGGAAATGTCCACTTTGTGTAGGAAGTGTTACTCTTAGGTTGAGTATAAGGTACTTTGATGGATCAGAACAGAATGAGCTTCACAGTTTTCACTTCCAATGCTACTGACACAGTCACCAGTCTCCCCAATCATGCACATTTTCAATCAGTGACATTACTCATCTAATGAAAGCAAAACTCCCCCTCCCCCCAAAAAAAAGTATTAGTAGAGAGGTTTGTTGTTTAAAAGGGATTGGTTGCAATCTCTACTCAATTACCATCACATTGGTAGTCATGACGACCGATTAGAAATGGTCCCTGAACATATAGGATAAGTCATGGGGATAAAAGCCCTTTATACTGGTGAAGGGGGTGTACATTGCAATGTAAAAGCCTCAGTAACATGTGATTTATTCACAATACACACAGTATTCCTACCTTTAACGAGAAGATTCATTGAAAATCTTTGAAGCTGCTTCTGAAGTCACTGTGTCTTTTCCTTATTGGTGTGTGAGAGTGCCGTATTCTATCAATCTCTCTCATTTTGTTCTATTGGTTTCATGAAATCAGGCTCCTACTGGTCGGCTCAATTGGTGAATCACATTCACATCAATCAAGCAATGTCCTGGATTTGCTCAATCATCATTAATGTCCCATCAGTTGTTAAGTCCACTTTCCTCTCCATCTTGTTGAGGGCTCGACTCCTGGCAGCTGAGGTTTTGTTAAGTTGCATTTAGACAGCGAATAAATTCTACACCCTTTTGCAATGTAAGAGTCAACCGTTCCGAGAAGAAACACGGTTACCAAAATTTCCTTTGCAAAAAATGTCACTAAGTTGATTTCCTAAATTGATGCACCACAGTGTTGCTGCTTTAACTCTCGAGTCAAAGGTATTTTAGAATATGGGGGAGGTAGTTAGCTCCAAGGTGTTCAGCATAAACCCCTGTGTGGTTGTGTGCACATCAGGTCAATCTCATGCAAACTCATTGAAGTAGTCTTGAACTCTCAATGATCATTTCCCACTTTTCCATCATTTGCTACATAGTGGTTTGTGGATATCTCTCCATCGTTCAACATTTGGCTGCATGACCATGAAAGTTAGAACTGACAAGAGTACTCAGTTCATCTGATTGATAGGTGCAGTCACTTGTATCCAGATGGAATGCAATGGACAATATACAGTGGCACCGTTTACAACTGAATATTGACCCACTGAACGGTTATTCGAACAAAGTGATGCAGGTTAATGCAACGTCCACCCTCAATGCCGTTCCCAAACCTCTCCTTGTCCTGATGAGGCTAACGAGGGAAATCAGGAAGAAAGGTCTAAAAGACATCAGTACTGAAATGTTCTTTTTAAAGTGAGTTGACGATTATATTTTCTGCCATTATAATCCCCCCCCCGCCCCCAGCACCACTTACAAAAGGTTCTGGTTTCTGATAGTTATCGGGGAACCTGTTATAATTCACCCATTGTGAATATCTGGTGGCTTTAACACAGAGTCTTTGTTACCTCAGTTTCTGACCTTGGTATGCCGATAGGATCGTCTTATTAAACTGATCCAAGTTTTCTGCTCTGGGTTCCTGTGCTCAGAAAGGAGCCATCGGTGAAGTGATGAAATTGTAAATGGAGGGAGGGTATTTATAGACTCATTGACATGGAAACAAGGTATTTGTGAATCCTGCCTCCTCAACATCGTCTGTTCTCCTGTTTTCTTGATGTTACGAGGGATCCAACGGGTTTCCTTTACATGCAAAAAGGGTTCTATTTTTTCCTTTAATTTATTTTGTCATATTTTTGTAATGCTGCATAAAACAATTCAATAAAATCAGTGTACACAGAACCAAGAGGTGTGTTTCCTGCCCAAAAATAAGAAAAACAACACAACATTCATTTATATAGAGCTCTACAGGTAGTGGTGGAGCATGACACTGAGCCAGGCAAGTGACTGTAGGAATGGTCAAAGAACCTTGCAATGTGCATTGAAGATGGGGAAGTCGGGAATGAGTAAGAGAATTACTGGAGTAATCCTTTACAATGCAAGTTACTGGTTTATTTCAAGAGGACATTATAGTGTCTCAATGTGGCTGGCAGGGCAGTGTGTATATTTTGTAGCTGTGTCAGGCTGCGCTTTAAATACATTTGCAAATGCTCCATCTGACAGCACGTCGAAAACTGAAAAGCTCAGCAGAAACTCTAAAAGGGAAATTATGTTTTTTTCTTTAAGAAAAAGAGAGCAAGATTTTACCCATCGCTGGATTCAACCTATTCAGGAATTACGGTGGTCCTCGGCAAATACTGTGATGATGTCCCTAGCCATAGGCCCAAAGAAACACTGCTGAGCCCTGACTAGTCTCAATGGGAGACCTTGCCTTGTCCCAGGCCTTGCATTTCTCTGTGCGACAAACTAAAACGACAGCAAACAGCAAGCAGGTGAAAGAGGAAAGCCAACCACAAAGGACAGACATGAAAGCCCAATTATTCACTCTAACAGCTACCTGCTCAGCTCTCCACGTCCCCACCTTTCATTTCAATGTTACATCACCGACACCCCATTTATCATCAGACCCGGGAGATCAGAGCAGGCTGGTTGCCAAAATCCTGGATTGACTGGGGCAGGACTGCTGCCAACATTCTGGTTGCGTTGTCAACATGTGACATGGCCACATGAGAGTGATATGGATTGAATAGATGTTCGGGGTAGGAGAATGAAGCTATAGCTGCAAGGGAATTGCACGCAGCTTCCAATAAGGGCTCCCATCAGCATAAGAACATTGCATCAACACTGGGCTGGAAACCACTGTAACAAGGACAGTATAAATAGTATCATAGAATCATAGAATTATACAGCACAGAAGGAGGCCATTCGGCCCATCGTGCCTATGCTGACTCTTGAAAGAGATATCCAAATGAATCCCACTCCCCCCCTCTCTCCATAGCGTTGTAAATTTGACCTCCCCAAATAAGTGAACGCTAGCAGGGCTCAAAACCAGCGCCCACTGCATTGCATCGATTCCTGAAATCACACAAGTCTTAACTGGAGCAGAGTAAAGCATCTTTGCGATTGTGATGGGGATGGGAAGAGGAGGATTGCCGGTACTGGAGTAGAATGTTCCTCCCCTTCCCGAACTCAACGCCACACCTCAAACTTGCAGACCAGAGCTGTTTTGTGCTAACAGTCTGCCTTCATTTTTATATTTAGAAAAGCACCGTAGTGCAGATAAGTGGGTCATTTCCAGTCTCCTTACCAGCCTGTCAGCCTGCGGTCCCTAATCCGACTGACCATTCCCGTGTGTGAGAGTCACAGTGACTGGCAGCATGCTATTTGACTGTGAGAGGAATCACAGCTGAGCCTAATCCTGTCCTCGCCTGACCTCCAGAAACTCACTCGCACTTTGCAGTAAGTTTAACTGAACAGCAATCCCAGGCCAGGAGGTGCAGAATTAAAGCGTCCCCCACCCTAAATATTTTCAGATGAAATTCATATTAACAATAGCAAGGGTGAGGGGGGGGGGGGGAGCGTTGAGCTACAAACTCCACAGCTTTGATCAGAGCAGCTTACACATGATTTGGCCCACGAATCTACAGTCAATTCACTTTACTGTACGATCTGTGAAGCGCTTTGAGACATCTCGAAGACTTGATCTGTCGCTATATCAAAGGGAAGGATTATTATTATTATTATCAATGAGGATGTAAACAGCTTTGCCGTATAAGAAAATGGAAAACTAACCACCTTATTTTAACCCAAGGTGAACTCGGCTGTTTTCCTACCCACAATCAAGAGATCAGATTAAGGCAGCTCAATAAATGATTGTCGAAGTCTGAGAATAGAAGGCGAAGGAATGAATCACGTAGGGATTGGTTTCCACACACATCTTGTTTCCCATTGGTTAAAGGTTCACTGCCGAAGGGCTTTCCTAAGTTACTCATTACTCTTACAACACTTTCTTGGTTGGTGTTTTTGTTCTAAGACATGCAGCCAAGTACTGTGAACAAACAGATCAGGAAATCTCAAGAGTCCTTCAGATATCACTACTTCGAAGATACCAAACGGACGTTACCAGCAACACTTCACAGCCATTGAAGGACAGGGCCACATCTATATTCCTCCTCCCTTCCCAACATGGCGGTCATGATTAAGAGCACCTTTGACTAGATGATAGGGCGTCGCTTCTAGGCTATTGACCATAACACCCCCACCCAAGGCAGGTACCAAAACTTGTGATTAGGAGTAAGATTGGTGTAGGCAGTCTAATAGGACACTGTTCATTTCAGCTAGGGATTGCCTCTCCCCCCCCTTGCTCAATAGCAACACACCTCTTCCAGGAGCAAAGCCAAGTCCAACGTATCAACTAAGATCATGCCAGACCTGAGATTTCATTGAAATCTTTTCCTTCTGGTAAGGATCAATTTTCTTTCACAATCTCAACAGAAAGAATTGCACGTCCAGCACCTTGGGATGTCCTCCCGACATGAAAGGCGCTGTACAAATGTCAGTTGTTGTTGTCGGATTGTTTTTTCTGCTCAGGATAATGTCAAGCTTCAGCTGTATTCCTCAACACAGGAAGTTGGGTCTGGAGCAGAGTTGGTCTTGGCAATGCCTCCAATCAGCTGTGCTCAGCCTGGGCTCCAATACTGCCTTAGAACAGGAATCGGGAAGGCACGTGTTCACTTTCAGGGCAGTGTGACAACCAATTGCCTTATTTGGTTCACCAGAAATAAATCAATCTGGTAGCATTTGAGAACTGATGAGGATTGAAACAGAGGTCAGCAACAAAGCATTGTCCTGAATGGGTGGAGTGCCCTGTATATAATGCAGCAGGTCAATAACTCTCCCCACTCTTCATTGTGATTCTCTACTAATAAGCGAGGCACTAGCAGCTTGCATGGCAGGAGTTCTGGTTATATAAAAGAGCTACAGCAAGGGAAGTGGGTGTATCTGCGAACCTTTATATACAAGGTACACAAGTGTGTGTATCCAAAGGATATACCTCGCAAGTGAGAGACCTGGGTTCAATTCCTGGCAGGGTGAAACTTTGGGCATGTTTCCTTACAGCACACGCCTGGTAACAATCCCTCAAGAAAAACACATTAACAAATTTGGTCACTCAATCCACGACTGTTTGTGGCACGCTGCTGTGCGCAACTGGCTGCTGTGTTTCGTCCACAAATATACAGTCAATTCACTTTACAGTATATTGTCTGAAGCGCTTCGAGACATCTCGAAGACGTGAAAAGCGCTATATCAAATGCAAAGCTTATTATTGTTGTATTAAAAGGTGTGGGATAAACAGAAAAGGGTATAGCAGTTATGAGGTGCAATTAATAGTTATACAGCAAAAAGGGAAATTATATGAAATTTATCGTGAAGCTGGATTACTGGATCAACTGTCAACATACTCCTTGTGGTGGGGGGAGTGGGGGGAAAGCTATAAGCTAAAAATACCAAACAGCTCTAGCATTTTCTAACCGACTTGTGGACCACATGACAGGCTCACTCTGCTGGCTCTGGGTGGGGTTCCAACCAGGCTACACAGCTCAGTCACGCCCGTCCTGCCTGAATTAACCCACTTGAGTCTCCCCCTCGCCACTGGCTGAATATGGGGGATATTCATGATCAACAGCAGCATGCAAAAGCTCTCTCTACACATCAAATACATTAGTTAGGCAACTGCACCTCACAGTATTATGAAATCAGGTGAGGTAATGTCTGATCTCTAACCCGAGATGTCGTCATTTATATTTGAGACTAGTTTAAAAAACAATAAGATAGTTTCTATATCAGCCCCACTCCTGCCCCCAAACTCGCTCCCTCCCAAAATCTCTAGGGTCCTCCCATTGATCAGATGCTTTCTTTTATATATACATTATATATGCATATAAAAAAACAGTCCTAATCAATTATACAGACCGTGTCCTTAAAGCGAGTTACCACCTCAACACAGCATAAAAACCTAAATTGAATCCACTCCCCTCTCCCCACAATACACTATTATTATACATAAAGTTTTCTTTTTAAAAGTCTAAAATACTGCAGTGTCATTGGTTCTGAGGGTAAGCTCAGCTGATGCCAACTACTGTTCCCAAAATATGGGGCGGGGGGGAAAAAAAGAACTTTTAATTTTGAACTCTATAAACTCGCAAGGTTTATTAAAATCAAGCACAGCCATCACCGCAGAAACCTCAAAGGTCCTCTTGTTAGTCAAGGCTGCAATTGGCAAAGGCGATTCAATCCATCCACGCTACTCCGCAGAACACATGCCTAAAGAATCACCAAAGCAGCTTTTTTTTAAAGGGACCAGTTCTCCTTTATGGTGAGGGCATGGGGTAATCCAACAGTGGTGACATTTGTTTTACATTTGTTTTTTTTTTTAAACACAGTTTTTTTTTCCTGCAAATTTGTTTCGGAAGTTGTGCATCTTGTAGTGAAGAATTCATTCATCCACATCAAATACGCTGGGAATATAAACGACAAGTGATAGACAGGTGGAGAAACGAGAGTGCGAGAGAGAGAGAGAGAGAGAGAGAGGTGGAGAGAGTGCACGCAGAGGTAGTAACAAGCTGTTGCTGGCAAACAGTGGGTTACAAGTAAAGCATTCACTGTACGTGCCCCTGTGTGTTCCTAACTGCAAGGTTCAGACTCCCACTCTGTTTTAAACTTTAACCAGATATCCAGCACGGACTCCACAGTAAAGCCTGTAAAGAGACCAACCGGTCTATCACTAATCGGAACTTGTTTGTGGCAAAGGGTTTGGTTCAGTCCGCCTCACATACCCCCTGACCACAATTTTACACGGAAATAAATAAAGGTGCTCCTATGATATACAAATGACGGGCCGCATGGTGGAGACTGTAAGACATTACATGATGAGAAGGGAAGCACTTGCATCGGGTCGACAGGGAGCTAAGTGTCTTCAATCATGTCTTGGCTGTCTGTCCTGGCGATCTTCCGTGGTGGCGCTGAGCTCTCGCCTTCAACTTCCACCTGCTCCTGATCTCTTTTCTTCGCTGCATTCTACAAAGAGATCAAAACGTTTCAGTGCGAAATACAGTCCGAGTAAGACAACCAACGCAAGCACGCAAACATTTGAAGCGGAACAATGGAAAAGGTTAAGAAGGAAGAACAATAGACTGGGATTTGAGTAAGGCAACTACAGTAGAGACGATACCATCAGCACAAACAACATTTATTGCATTTATGTACAGCCCTCCAACTCAACAATAAACTCAATAGATGGAATAGTCTTCTCCTGTGCTGTAATTTCTATAAATCTAGGTTAGCTCATAAATCAAAGCAGGAAAGCTCCACGTAAAGAGAAAGATGGGTTCAAGTTTTGGGTGAGAGCTTTCATCAGAACCCTCAAAGCATTAACCTCTCTTCTCTTCCACAGACCTATAGACCCGCTGTACATTTCCAATCTTTTGCATTAACTGAAGATTCCCACCAATTCTAGGTTTGGCTTTAAGCTCACCTTTTTGTCCCATTGCTGGTGGAGGTACCGCAGCAAAATGTTGGTCTTTTCTGTTACGATGACTGTGAAATGCAAAGAGATTAAAACGTGAAATTATTGAGGAACAGTTTAATGCCACGGACTTTAATTACATTGTACATTTGGCATCATCAGTGCTACTGGGATAAGTAGGAGCAAATTTAAAAAGGTATTGCTTTCATATTTGAAAGCTATTTTCAGAACATTTGTGCGTGGATGTGATTGGAGGATGATACTGAACTCAGCTACAGGATCTCTCGCTCTTATCCCGGACACACTGTCTCGCTCACCCTTTAAAAGAAGCAGATTGGGCAATGCAGCTGTGAGGGCTGCAGTATAAGTCAAAGGCAGAACAGGCTTGATGGGCTGAATGACCTCCTCCGGTTCTCCTATCAGTAGAGCGGAAGGAGAACTGGAAGGGAGTAAGGAGAAAGGAACTATTCCTTGTTTAGGGCAACTGATAATTACATGCAAACAATTATTTTCTGTGGTAGTATCGTGGCTAGATTTAAAAAAAAGTTTGTAACAATTTCAGGTTTTATTCAGAAGCCACGACAACAACACCTTGCATTTATATAGCTCCATTCAGGTGAGGAACATCCCAGAGTCCTTCACATCTTCTAATTATAACAATTGAATTTAATATAGCAGCTTAACATATTGAAAAGTCACAAAGTGCATCACAGGTAAACCTTAACAGGTAACTGTTGTCAAGTGTGACAACTTTATATTCATAAGACAAACTCAGCAGCTGTTTTGTGTATGTCAGGAATCCTGCAATAAGCATTTCCAGTGAATAATGAATGTATCTGTTTGACAGGATACCAGGAGAAACTCTCTTCTTTGTTCATATAGTGCCAAATAAGAGATTTTATCAAGGTCAGATTTTTACAGATGATTAATGACAAGCTCAGATGGTATTTTCCCTGGGCATTGGGGGAAATCCTCCGATTCTGAATATTCTACACTCTGAATACATACTCTGTTCCGATGGGTATTCTCGCGTTGGCAGGTACACCGACGGTCTTCTATTCTGCAAGAAAATACTTCATATGAGTCTTTCGCAGTCATTTAAAATCTGTTAACTGTAATATCCCAGAGTTGACTCCCTGCTGCTCCCACTGTGGCAGGCTGGGATCATGGAACTGATATTCCTTTGAGCTAACACAAGTGTGATTGCTGTGTGCAATCCTGCACCACCTAAAGCTTGTCAAAGGTGTAGGAGGGCCTTCCCACTCATTCCTCCAAGTAAATAATTTGATAAAGTAAATGGAAAATGACTCTTCCCTTTTGCAGCTGAATCCAGAACAAGGAACATAATCTCAGAAATTAGAGTCAAGCCAGCAGACACCCTGTCAGCAACCCCTCCCCCACTCCATCACCCAAAAAAAATTGGCTGAAGAGAGAAATACTCACCGAGGCTTTACAGACAGAATCGGCATGAAACCTGCTGAAATTGCTTTCGTTATAGACTGGCAAGCCCTTCAGGAAATCCGCCTGTAACCAAACACAACAGTCAGGAGCACATTTGTTTCAAGAAAATCTCCAACCAAACTACATCCTCCGCAAGCAACAAAGGGAGAGGATTCAGCCTGGAATGACCAACCACAGATTCTTAGCAGCTTGGAATTGGGGAGGGTTGAGGAAAGGAGGGAGCTTCAGGCCGCCAGCACTCGGACAATGTGTGCTCGATGGAAAGTGGGCGAAATAAAGCAACGCTAGCCAGTGCCAAGCTGGCAGCAAACTAAAGGAGGGGATAAATGAAGGGTTTGAGACAATACAATCTCTGGTAAGGCAGGAGGTTGAGAAGGCAGTAGAATTGTGATGAAGCAGTGGAAATCAATCTGTCTCTCCCTCCTTATGCCTCGGATCATACAGTAGTTATGTATGGGCCTGACAAGCTGCTACTGAGCAACCTGGAGACAGACTGATCGATCTTATGACATCAAAAAAGCTTTCATCTCTTTTTTAACATACCAAGGTCTCTGACACACAAACATTTATAATAACTGGGGAAGTTTTCTTTGAACGCAGAAAATGATTGAACTATGAAGTTCAAAATCAGAATCCAAATATCTTAACTATAGAAACTACGGTGTAATAAAAATGCAACTTTCCAAAACGTTGAAATTAAGCCAAACCTAAACTCCTCAAATTAGATTAAAAATATCAGCGTTACTGGAGAGTTTCCATCCCTATCGCTTGTATGACTCAGTCATGCACTTGGCTAATCCCTCCAAATAATAATAATCCCTCCAAAACCAAAAACAATAATAAAAAATGGTCATTTTCAATCTACGACTGTTTGTGGGACATTGCTGTGCGCAATTGGCTGCCGTGTTCGCCCACAAATATACAGTCAATTCACTTTACAGTGTGTTCTGTGAAGCGCTTTGGGATGTCCTCCCGATGTGAAAAGCGCTATATCAAATGCAAGGATTATTATTATATATTATTATTATTACTGGCTGTGCTTTCAGACAATGAGTCTTTTAGAAGCAAGCCTAGGAGTCAACAACATGTTGAGCTTGAACCTCCATCCAGGATAACACTTTGAAGTGTTTTACAAAGACTAGCAAGAGGGAAGGCTTGATTACTATAATAATGTAATAATAATAATCCTTGCATTTGATATAGCGGCTTATCATGTCGTTGAGACATCTCAAGGCGCTTCACAGAATATATTGTAAAGGGAATTGACTGTGTATTTTGTGGGCAAAAATATGAAATACTTCTAGGGAAATCTCAGCTTTAAATAGAAACTTTCTGGGTGACAGTTTACCCCCGTAAAGCAAGGCAGATTCACTCCTAAGAGTAAAACAATCAAAAAAAACCACTTGGTTTTTAAATCACTCCTGACAGATAAGCATGGTGCAGATCACCAAGAGATTAGCATCTTGCAGCCCCACCTATCACATACTCACTAACATAATTGTAACATGTTTGCAAGACAGACCTAACTGCTAAATTCCAATCAAATTAAAGTAAAATAACCAGGATTTATATTTCAGGTGCCTTAGACTTAACCTTCGATCCAGCAATATCCCACGCACTCAATGCAACCCAGTGACTCTAGATTTACAGCAGTTCAGCTCACACCTTTCCACGTCCGTACAATAAGCACTGGCAGAATAGAGGGTCTGTAAAAGCTTCAGCGTAGTAGAACCCCTACCCATTGTGTGATTTTTTTTTGATGGCTATGATAAAGAGATTTCCAAGCAGGTTCTGATACGCACTGGAGACAACCCTGGTCTTCCTATCGTCAACCTAGACATCTTTTACTTACACCTCTGACTGAACCCAAACACCCCAGCCCCCTTACACCTCCCACCGAGGCCCCCGGGTGAATCCCATAGCTCAGGCTTTCCAATTCACACCTCTCTGCTCTGCTGACCGCCTCCCCCTCTAATAATATAATTTTGGTTACTCTATCGTTAACACATATTTTACAAAAATCCATTCAGCTCGGGCTGCAGAGTATTTATTAAAATGTACAGGATTCCGATTCTGAATGAACACGAGGTCTGTCATGAGTTGTTTTGCTTTTGATGACGACGATAATCCTTACGTTGGATACAGCGCCTGATCGCGTGGTTTGAGACGTCTCAAAGCGCTTCACAGGGAATATTGGAAAGTGTGGTGACTGCGTATTGTGGGGGGGGGGGGGGGGGGGGCAAAAAAACACGGCAGCGGTGTCGCGCAAAGCAGGCGGCGGGTTCAGTGACCGGATTTTTTTTTTTCCGGGTGTGGGGTCGTTAGCCCGGGAAAGCGAGCCACCGATCGACCAACAACCGGGGGGGGGGGGGGGGGGGAGAGAGAGAGGAGAGAGGGGGGGGAAGGGAAGGGGTTACTACTTACTGCCAAGTAAACAGAGGGTCTTATGTTCTGTGGCAGTGAATCCCAGTCATGAACCCCCCGTAGCCGCTGCTAACAGAAAGGCTGCTCTGGGGGGGGGGGGGGGGGATGGGAGTCTGTCTGCGGGGCCTCTGCCCCCGAATCTCCTCTTTCAACCTCCCTTCCCCCAACCCCTCACTCCTCTCCCCCTCTCACCCCCAACCCTCGTCTCCCCCCCCCCCCCACCAGTGCCTCTCCTCCAACCCCCCTCCCCCAATCCCAACCCCAACCCCAGGCTTCTTCCCTCCCCTCAGGCCTCTCTGCCCAACCTCCTCCCTCCCTCTCCTCCTCCTCCTCCTCCTCTTCTTACCGTCTCCTGAGCTCCATCGCCCCGCACTCTAACCCCAGGCCTCTCCCAATCCTCCTCCCCCTCCTCCGCGGCCTGTTCCCTCGCCCTCCCCTCCCCGAGGCTCACACACACACACACTCCCCCCCCCCCAACCCCCACCTCGAGCCGCCACTGAATCGCGTCGAAAAGCCCCGGCGGCGCAAAACACCTACCATCTTCCCCGCTCCGCATCACTCTGCGCCTCACACTAACTTGGGCGCCGACCGCCCGCCTCCCCGGCCGCCGCCTCATTGGTCGGTTTGGAGCCCACGGCCGGAGCGCGTCCTCCGATTGGACCCGACGCCCGTCACTGATTTCCGGCACTTCCGCCCGGAGGTTAGGTTGCGCTCACCCGACGGCAGTTCCTGCGGGCCACGTGATCGCTTGCCGCCCAGGCATTGGTGTCCGCGCGGCGCACCCTGGGCGTTGTAGTTCTTTTCGGACGAAGACCGGCCTCCGGGTTGATCGGAAGAACTACAACTCCCAGCAGGCGTAGCGACTCCACGCCAGGTCTCTCTCCCCCCCCCCCCACCCCTCCCCCCCCATACTCATTAAATCCCAGACTCCCAACAGCTGGTCAGTCTCGGATTTGTTGTGCTTTGAGGCCAAATGTGGCTGATGTCACAGATAATATTCCTTACGCTTGATCACAGCTCCGATCACATCTCAAAACGCTCCCACCGCTCATCGCTGTGACGTGTAGTGACTGTGCGCTCGAGAGGCAAATCTTAAGGCGTTTCCAATGACGGACCCGAGCGTCCGCACGAGGAACAGACGCCGCGCAAATGTAAGTTATTGTTGCGGTGCTGTTACCAGGGCCTCCCGGGGGGGTGAGCTCCGAAAAGGCAAATATAACGATCAGCAACTTACAATTTTTATAGCGCCCTTCGTGCGGGGTAGGGTCCCGGAGCACTTTTAACATAAAGTCATTGTAGAAAACAGTCCTGCTATTAATAGCACTTTATTGTACATTACAGATTTATTCACGTCCTTAGTAAGGTTGAAGCAGTAAAACTTCTTGCGAGTCTTGTTGACTGCCTTGTTCAGTATTCAGGCACCTTCCCTCCGGGGACCCTGTGTTTTCATTGCTGTCTGGTTCATACGGTGAGCATCAACATTCCCCTCAGCACTCCCATATTACAGGACAGCCCACCTGAAGCTGTGCTTGGACACCATTTGGGGCATTAAAACCTAAGTGAAATGAGTTGACTGTATATTTTGTGGGCGAGACACGGTAGCCAATTGCACGCAGCACTGTCCCGCAAACAATTGTGGATTGAGTGACCAATTTTTTTTAAATATATATATTTTTTGAAGGATTATCCCAGAAAAGCGATCCACCAATCGACCCAACAACTGGGTTCCTACTTGCTGTGAGTTAAACAGAGGTGGACTTTTAGTAAGGAGTAAGGAAACTTGCCTAAAGTTACGCCCTGCCCAGAAATGATATTTAATCGAAAGAATTCTGGTACCATTGCCTTTGCTGTGGAGCAAACGTAACAATCACTAAACTCTTCAGATCTCACAAGTTACGTGCTACAACACTGCTCATCAGCCTATCAATCACTTCCCAGGCACAGTTTGGTAAATTGATCACTTGACTGACCTCCAGCAAACATCTTAAGCTCTGGGTTAATACCTAAAGCATATTCATGTTTGATAAAGCCACAAGATTTCAGAGCAAATCCTGGCCCAACAGAGTAATAATAATAATCCTTACATTTGATACAGCGCCTTATCACATCTTTGAGACGTCTCAAAGCACTTCACAGAATATATTGTAAAGTGAATTGACTGTATGACACTGTTATTCTGAGAACCAATAGGGAATGGACTTCCCCCCCCCCCTCATCGATTCCAACATTATTTCCGAAATTCCATTAACTTCTAGTTTTGTAAGGAAAGTGGCGATGGATGATGTCAGAGGCTGAACAGGGAAGTAAAGGAGCACAACAGAGATTAAACCCACGGCCCCATCAGTAGAACAACCACTTTGGATTCACATGTATGGTTATAGGAGTGACAGTTTATATTCGGGATTGAAACCGAGGAACATTCGGATGTATCAAGGGGCCGGTTACCCTCGAGCAGCCCATAGTTTGTAATGAACTCTAAACACCACAGCTGCTGTCCGGATTAAGGCCACATGTTCAGTTCCAACTCAGCACAGAGCAGGTTGAGCAGGCTTTCCCGGTACTACAGCTGCAGTCACGGTCCCTGCAATGAAGTCTCTTGATGATTAGGTAGCTCAGCGATTGAGTCAGTGACCAGCTCCACCATCAGAATAGGAGTTTGCAGATGGAAAGAGCGTGAGAGTTCGAGAGAGAGGGGCCCCTCTGTCACACAGTCGCCTCCACTTCCACCGCCTCCTCGTCCTCCAGCAGGCTGTACACAGCGTGCATCTGAAACGGTCGCTGCAGAGGGTGGGCTAACAGCTTGGCCATACAGTTGTGCAGTTCCAGAGCTTGGCCAGTGAGCGAGACATCGTATTTGTAGCTGGTTCCCTTTGTGTCCAGCTGATTGAAGAATGAATAAATTTCCTGTGAAGCGAAAAACAAATAGTCGAGTAGTTTGCTTTGCACCCTACAAGTCTTTCCTCCTCCTTTCCTGGAAGCATTGACCAAACATTGTTAGTTGAGAATCCCCCACCCCCCCCATTCTTATCACTGGATGTGAGGGCACAAGATAGCGTACATGTGTACAACAGTGTACACACACAGAACAGACTGCCACTTTGCACATGGCACTCAATACTGCCACATATTCTGCCACGTTACCCACCTTGTTGTTAGATGTTTCCTCCATTTCTTCGGTTCCATTGTGAATATAAATCACGTCGAAGAAGAAATAGGCAGATTGTAGGATCTTCTGAGGGAAGAGAAAACTCACATCACTGAACAAATCCCCACCATGTGCAGACAAGAGTGCTCATGGTAACCGTTAACACCTTTAGCAATGGGGCAATGGGCTAGTGTATAAAGCCTGCAATGAAGGGCCAGTGCAGAAGCCCTAGATTGATACGCATGCATGTATGGGAAGCAACATTTAACTAAAGTCAAAACCTACATTGAGGCGTTCCATCGAGGCCAGCTGCGGATGGCAAGATGCCCGAATGTAGATCAGGATCATGCGGACAATATAGGGCGGTGGGATAGTCTGAATGTTCTCAGTTATTGGCAGCTCAATCTTCTGCTGTCTGGAGCACAGAGGTGGAAAGAGCAAAGAATTTTACAGCACAGGCAGATACCACTCAGCCCATCATGTCTATGCTAGCTCTCTGAAGTGTTTAGTCCCAGTCCTCTGCCTTCTCACAATATCCTTTTATCTCTTTATGTTCATTTCAAACATTTATTTAATTTATTTTTAAAACCTATTATGGATTCTGTTTCAATCACCATTTCTATGTTCCAAGTCCCACTACTCTCCAATCGATCAAATTTATTTAGTCAAAGCCTCTTGAATCATTTAATTGGATCCCATTTTCCTTAATCCCACAAAATTTCTCCAACACTAGCAGACAACATTTCCCAACAACAAAGCCTGGACATTACATAGCACTGAGATCTTTCTCAAGAGGCAGTGCAGATACCGATTTACCCACATGAATCATCACTTACATCAGGTTGAAGAGCCCATCCAGGTCTGATGTATGGTTATTAAGGAAAGAATATGCTTGCGTTATGTCATTCAGTTAGCAGTACCAGCCCTGGTGAAATAGGGCATTGATCTACTTGGCACCAATTCAGGCAATCACATCATCCTTGAATGTAGCTCAGTAGGATGTACTCGGTATACTGGTCCCAAGGACGACAGAAATTACACTCATGTAGCTCTTTTCACTTAAAAAAAATCCCATCAAAATCACCGATGATGAAAATCATTACAACAACTTGATTTATACAGAACCCTTCTCGCGGGGTAGTGTCTCAGAGTGCTTAACATTAGCAGAGCTTGATGCCAAGCCATTAGAAATTAAGTGAATATTGACATGATCCATGCAACATCCCAGAGACACACCACATACAGCAGTGGCTGCACTGGTGTGCAGACATGCAGCAACTGCATCTCACGTTCGGGACCACTCACTCAAAAGCGATGTGGGGAATAGTGAAAGAGTGCTGCGTTTGTGTCAGATTGCGTGCTGGCCCTGATCCATTTCTAATTCATTCCGGGGTTTCCCAGCCTCCAGCAGGAAAGGATACTGAAGGAATCGCACACGCTGGTGTCCAAGTCATACAAGCAACTGCAGACCTCACGAGGGTCAGAGGTGAAGCCAGATAGCTAGAAACAGAAAGGTTAGTAACTTGTAGAATGTCCAACATGATTCAACGTTGTCAGTACATTATTAGAGAATTCCATTTTTTTTAAAAAAAAGTCAAATTGTGTTCATTGTTTGAATTTAAAAACAACAATTGTATCCTTTTGGTCACAAGGCATCTGATGAAGGCAAGGAAGGCAAAGTCTGCCTCTCACCTGAGCATAAAGTACATGCACTACCCTTGCTGAGTTAGGCAGTTGTTTAAGGTGCAGTGTGGCACCTGTCTCTTACCCAGGTAACCTCGTCATTCACCACGACCAGAGCAAACTCGTGCCGCTTGTCAATCTTGTGCTTTGTCCGGACAAACATCTCGATCATTTTCTGGGCGATGTTCAGTGCATTCGTTTTCAGCCTGATCAAAAGGGGAAAGAAAGAACCAAATACAATCCTACTGATAGGACCAATGTCATGGTCATACCCATTCAACCCAGCACTCAAAGCATCCAAGTCAACACACTCAAACCCACTGTAAATGAACACAATCAAACCATCCAATCTAGCACTTAAACCATCCCACCCAATCCTTAAACCCATCACAACCCACCACTCTCAAACATCCATGTCAACGCACCGAAATCCACTGTAAACAGACTCAAACCACCAACCCAGCACTTGAACCATCAGTGACAGCTTTGATCACAACACCGTTACCCAGAACACATGTCACGTTGATAGACAAATGGTTCAGAATATAAGTCCTGTGACCATACCCATTCAACCCAGCCATTCATTGGTTGCATAATTGAACCAAGAAGATGTAGAACCATTTACAAGCATTTACTCTAACCCATTTAGTGACTCCAGCTTCTGCAGTGACATCTCCTCTGACAGATCCAAGCAGATAATCTGTGAAGAAAGGAAGAAACATTTCAAACATTTTCTGTTATCAGTAGAAGTTTGCCAACCACCTCGCCCAATAACTAAGCGAGTAAAGACACTAGTCTGGCCGATTCCTTCCTCCAAAACCCGCTCCAGAAATCAACTGCAGTACCTGAACTGTTACCCCCAGATTGACATCAGCTAACTCAGGAAATCAGACTGGCAATGTTTTCGGTCCTGTGCGCTTAAAAAAGTCAGGCAGATCATTAATCGGGAAGCATCCTGCAGCCCACTTCAGTACAGCAAATCCCACCCGCATTTACTCAAAATATTTATATAAAAACGCAAGGATTATTATTATTATTATCATCATCATCATTACTCAGCTTTATTGGGGGGAGGGGGGGGAGAAAGCCGCTTCGCCCACAAAATGCACAAAGTCAGTCGAAGAGTCTCGAAGACGCGATGAGGCGCTGTTACCAAACGAAAAGCATCACTGGAAGGGGAGAGGGTGGATGGGGTGGGGGACAAAAAAAAAAGAGTGTCACCTGAGGACCAAACAACCCCCAGCCGAGGCTGGCACTCACCACTTTCTCGGGGCAGTTAACCTTGGGAGTCCTGAGGAGGATCTCGGGCGGCGTTTGGAATTGAAACGGACTCTGGGCCTGAGGTTGGGGCTGGAGCTGAGGTTGAGAGTGGGACTGGGGCAGCGCTTGGCCCTCCTGCTCCACCTGCCTCAGGCCGCCATTGCTCCTTCCCGCCGCCGCTCCTGGGCTCTCAGTCCCGGCTTCCCCGTCCCCCTCCCCCTGCCCGTCCCTGACGCTGGCCTGGGGCGCCTGGCCGGGCGGGTCCTGCCTGTCCTCCGCCCCCTCGGGGTTGGAGCGGGTGCTGGGCCTGTGCGGCGGGCCCATATCCTCGGGCTCGGGCTCAGAGCCGGCCGGAGCCTCTCTGCCTTCCTCGACGGCCGCGGACATCTTTGAGAGCCGGAAGCGAGCGGTGGGCCGAGGATGCCGGGAGCTGTAGTCCACCCCCGGTGGGAGGGGGCGGGAGTTTCCGGCAGAAGGACTACATCTCCCAGAATGCTTCGCGGGCCTTCCCTTGTGAGGCATTGTGGGTGATGTAGTCCCATTGTTTCCATTCCATTGGACCCAACGGAGGGAGAACTACAACACCCAGAGTGCTGTGCGGCGTGCACCACTGCCATCCCATTTATCCCTTAAAACACCTTTTTCTTATCTTTATTCACCCCTTTTTCTTTAAAACCCTTTATCTCCAACTCACTCTCTCCTGAACGCTCTTTCTTCATCCCGACGTCCCCGCGTCGCGCGGCGCGAAACAATAGTTTTTTTTAAAAAGAAAAAGGGAGATGGTGTGAGCAGCAGCTGTTTCTCGGGCTTCACTGCTGTCGATAGTGTTGAGGAAGGGCGGGTAAAAAAAAAACAACCCCCCGCACCAATTCTACAGTCAGGATAAGAAAGGGAGGATACGCACAAGATTCTCCATGCAGCGCGACTCAAGCAAAGTCCTCGCGCGCGCTCCCTTCACTGAGAGATTCACCCTGCTTTTCTGATCCCAAGGGAATTTGGGTGGGAGTTGACAAGTCCCAAGTCTTGGGGACGCCAGAGTGTGCTTCTGGTAATAGTTGGGGTACTATTGGTAATCAGCCCAAACTGCTGCTTGTCCAGCTGGAGCTCGCCGACCCAATTATAGCTTTAGTTTGCAGGGTTCAATCTTAGAACCTTCGAATTATACAGCACAGAAGGAGGCCATTCGGCCCATCCTGTGCCTGTTCTTTGAAAAGTGCTTTTCCGAATCAATCCCGCTCCTCCGCTCTCTACCTATAGTCCTGCAAACTTGACCTCCCCAGATTGGGTTATCGGAATCTGAGTGATCAGAATCCCAGCTCACATTGATTGGTCCACTGCTCCAACTCCTACCAATGAGCCAGGCTGGCATCAACTGTGCCCTTGAGTTCTGCGGACTTGCCCGGGCCAGAAGTCGGATTTCCAACTCGATTCCAATATTCCAGTGAGGCATATCAACTTAGAGCCCGCTGAGCTCCAAAGAGATCCCACTTACTTGTCCTTACTTGTCCTTGTCCTCCTCCCCCAGAGAGGAATGGCACTAGTTGGTTGTTGGGCATCAAACAAACAGGTTTGAGCCCTCACTAGCTGGATAGCAGATATTAGGAACTTCTCGCAGACAGTACAGCTCAGCATTAAATGTTGTGAGTATATTGCTGTCACCCAACAACCTGAACACAGACCCCCTACCCCCTGAGCAGGGGTTTCACCAGTTGGAGGTAAAACAATGCTTTAGTTGTCTTTACAGTTTTAGCTTGATCCTGTCCTGTCACTTCTAAAGCAAAACATCAGTGACTATTGTTAACACTTCCCGTTGCACAGAGGGGTGTGGGAAGGAAACTGATGTCAGTTACATTTCCTCTGGATTCAACCTCCCAGGTACAATAAACTGTAAAGCCTTGTAACCCTTTCAGTGCTGCACTACGGCACAGAGATATGATGCACATGTTGGCGTGGGGGGCGGGGGGGGGGTGTGGGGGGTGGTGGAATCTGGAGTAAAATCCTCAGAATCTGGAAACCAGCGACAATATTTGATAGGTCCCACGCTTCTATAATAATAATCCTTGCATTTGATACAGCGCTTTTCACGTCTTCTCGACGTCTCAAAGCACTTCACAGAATATACTGAACGCGGCAGCCAATTGCGCACAGCAGTGTCCCACAAACAGTCGTGGATTGAAAATGACCAATTTATTATTGTTTTTTTGTTTTGGAGGGATTATTATTAGGTGTGTGGAGTAAGGAAACTTGGCCAAGGTGTCGCCCTCTGCCTGGAATTGAACCCAGGTGTTTCGCTTGCAAGGCGAGTGCTCTAACCACTGAACTACAGGACTTCTCATAATATTGTCCATTTGAGTCTCTTTCCCTTCACCTCAGGCACTCACAGACCTGCTGCTCGGATGTGTCACCTAACCATCTGTGGGGACAGGCCAGATGTGGGCTTCAGTGCTATTCCCTCCAGTCAGAGAGAGCAAGAGGAGGTTATTAGGAGTCCCAGCACCAGCGGAGGCAGGTCAGAGATCTCGATTACACCTATAGTATCCACAGCTTGAACAGAACTCTAAATCGTGATGCAATTTTTTCTCCCATCTGCCTGTGAGGACAGGACAGGCCTCTGTTTGGTAAGTGCCTAATGGTGAAGCATTTGGAATTAAGAGCGTCCAGGGCTCTGGGGGAACCATTCCTTGAAGCAGTCCGTTTGGGATTGTGGCAGTGCCGAAGGGCTCAGTGACTGCGTTAGTTCGTGAGGGTTAAACATGACAGAGGAAATCCACATCCAACGGATGTTGGCTTGGAGACAGCGCCAGGAGGAAATTCCACTTCAGGAGGGTGGCTCTGAAATGTCAAGCGCTCTCAGGGCTGTGTACGTCCGAGGCTGGACACTTTACCGCGAGGTTATCAAGTAACATTCCCCCTCAAGCCACAGCCACAATCTCCCCCGCCCCCCGCCGCCACCACCCCACACCCCACAGGGAAACAGCTAGTGAAACGGTGAGATCCACCAGGATCCCGAGCTGTGTTGCCCAGGATGTAACCGAGCAGCAACGGGAAGAGCGTGAACAGCAACGGGAGGAAGTTCCTCAGGCAGGATTCCTGGCGTCAAAATGGAGGTAACGAGAGCAGCCGTCGATGGCTTGGCTTCACCTGGAAAGAACTAATCGCATCGCGGAATGTTCCGGAGAGAAAGTTTCTGATCGCTGGGAAGGCTGGCCCCATCTTTGAATGGGGGGGGGAGTTTTGGGGACAGACATAACTCTATTCGGGGAGGTTATGGAGAATGGCTGGGGTGGGGGTTGGGATGGAGAGGTTGGATGGAGAGTGGAGTGTCATAGTGGAGGGATGGGGGTCCCCCGGAGGGGGGGACGAGGGGATGGGTTAGGAATTGGATGTTACAATGGAGACAGTCACCTTCCTGTGAGCTTGAGCCTGAGTCACTCGTTGCACAGTGGCGTGAATAACCCTGTCCCCCTCTGTCTCACAGCGTGGCCCCCACTCACCGAGCCAGGGCGAGTGTGCGGAGGAAGAGGAGGATGAGGCGGTGCAGGTGCTGAGGTATGAGGGACGGATCACAGAACTGTTGGTGGTGATCGCAGAACTGAACAGGAGGATCAACAGGCTAAAGTACTCAACCTTCAGGTGTGCCTTTATAATATATATAATTAATAATAACCCTTGCATTTGATACAGCGCCTTATCGCTTCTTCAAGGCGTCTCAAAGCGCTTCACAGGATATGCTGTAAAGTGAATTGACTGTGTATTTTGTGGGCCAAACGGGGCAGCGAATGGCACACAGCAGCGTTCCCCACAAAACAGCCGCGGATCGAAATTATTATTATTTTTTTTCACCGAGTTTTATTTCAAGTTCTTTTCCGGTTTCTGTTACGAAGCATAAGTCGGTATGGTGCGCAGGTGGGATTGGTTCAATGGTACCAAAATAATTCATAGAAAGCCGTGCTTTTGTTCACCTGCAGATAAAATGTGGTCATTGGCTCTGAGGCTGTTTATGGGACCTTCTGTTTTTTATTCCACAAGGGTCAAAGGAACCCTCAATGTCTGAGGTAACACCACCCTCCGGTGACTGACTGGAAGTACTGCAATGCCCCCACATTATTGATGCCTTTAACACTAAATCGCGTCAAGGAGCTTTTCACAAATTATTGCTGTCAAGTGTATACTTTGTCGGCCAACCCTGGCAGCCAGTTTCCGCATTTCAAGGAAACGCAAAGAGCCATGAATTGCCTGCCCCATTTGTCTGGAAGATTGTCGGCCAGGACAATTCTTCTCGTCTGCAGCAGTGCCAAGAGATCTTTAACATCCACCTGAACAGGCAGATAAGAACTGGCAGTGAAACAGCACAGCCAAAGGATGAAGCCTCTGACAATGCAACACTCCCTCTGCATTGTACTGTACTGGAATAACAGCCTCGACTGTGAGTTGCGTTCTCACGAACTCCAGCTTAGAAGCGTTTCAGCACACAAAGCCTGACTGCGGCTGTGTCTGTTGCGGAGCTATCTGAAATCACTTTGCTGACACAACGCTTATTAATTTTCCTTTCCCAGGGAGGAGGATGAGGATGAGTACCAGGACGAAAGTTCTGATCACAGCGACAGTTCTTGTGCTCTGGATGTCACGAATCGGTGCGAGAGTCAGGATCACTCTGCAGCCTCCGGGGTTGATCAACAGCCTCGGCCCATCTCCCCAGACACAGGTAAATTTAAGAATATAAGAACAGCTAGACGGAAGAAGACCAAGGTCCATCCAGTTTGCCTTCCACCATCCTGGCAGTCGCTCGCATGTGTCATGTCCCAAACTATACACTGTCTCTCTCAGATATTATTTCCTCACAATAAACCTATTTAGTTTGTGCTCGACACAAATACCTTCTGTTGGTGCTAACATTTCTCACTTAAATGCTGCAACTTTTAACTTTCAAGTGCTCCGAGACGTTCCCTGGCTTATCACGTCATTGGGACATGAGTCTCAAAGCGTTTCGCAGAATATATGGTAAAGCGAAGTGACTGTATATTTTGTGATTGAAAACACTGCTTGGTTTCTATGGTCCCAGTGGGTTGTGTTGATCCCTGTCCTGTGCTGGGGAGATGAGCTGGGTCCACGCGTTTCACTGATGATTTCCTCTCCTTGTCTTCTCCAGATGTGTCTCAGGGTCTCTCCCCGGAGCTGCAGCGGGTGCTGGCTGAGCTGGAGGCTTCGGTCCACAGAAGGAGGCGGCAGATCCCACTGGGAATGCCAGATCCCGAAAAGTACAGCCGGGAAGCGAAGGCAGCCCAGGAACACTGGTCACTGGTCACTCAGGTACTCAGGGGGCAGTGACTGAACTATACTGTGTGACAGTCGGTCATTCTGAATTCTCGTTCTCAGCCTCCAATCCTGCCCGCAGCGCAAGCTCCTGACAGATGTGGATCTTATTGATATGTCCTTTCTGTAGAGTCCTGTAGCTCAGTGCTTAGAGCGCTCGCCTTGCAAGCGAGAGGACCCAGGTTCGATTCCTGGGCAGGACAAAACCTTAGGCAAGTTTCCTTACTCCACACACCTCTGCTAACCCAGCATTAAGTAGGAACCTAGTTGTTACTCGATTGGCGGATCACTTTCCGGGGTTAATAACCACTCAAAAAGAATATGCAATTGGCTGCTATGTTTCTCCCACAAAATACACAGTCACTCCACTTTACAATACATTCTGCGAAGCACTTTGAGACATCTCAAGGACGTGATAGGGCGCCATACCAAATGCAAGGATTATTATTATTGTTTTGTTGCCTATTCTAACCGTAGGCTGTAGCAGAAGTGGAGAGGGAACTTGAGCTTGAACCTTGCCCCGATTGGTCGGAGGAGAGGAGCGCTCGGAAGTCGGAGATCAACGACATGAGGGAGAGGAACCGGTGTCTTGCTGCGGAACTCCAGGAGAGAGAGCAGGAGCTCAGCAAAGCCAAGGTCACACTCACCGCCTTCCAGGGGGAGCGGGACCGAATGCGCCAAAGGGTACGTATCACCAGACAGTCACTACACTCTCGCAACACAAGCAGGACTCACTCCCACATCACATCAGAGCCATTTTTACAAAGAGTCTGGCAATCCGTGGCCTGGTGTAACACAGGGAGAAGTTGTATTTTCGTAGCGCATTATGACATCAAAGCGTTCTCGACAGCTTCACACGTAATTGCTCCCAAGTTTAGTGCCAACATCGTCTCACCCACCCGTGGGGAGAGTGAAGGATTTTCTGAGGCTATGTTTCTCCCTGAACTCTGCGCTGTTTTGTGTCTCAGGTGCAGGACCTGTCATCCTGTCTGCAGAGGATGGAGGAGGAGACACAGAGCGACCAGCATCTTTCTGACGTCAGAAGCTCCGGCACTGACAAGGCCGAGGCCGTCGCGAACAGAGTGAGTCTGCAGAGAATCCAGACAGCGAGAGGATAATAAATAATAATCCTTGAATAATCCTTGCATTTGATATCGCGCCTTATCACGTTGTTGAGCTGTTCTCAAAGCGCGTCAGAGGATGTATTGTAAAAAGTGGAGTGACTGTGTATTTTGTGGGCGAAACTCGGCAGCCAATTGCGCACACCGGTGTCTCGCAAACAGTCGTGGATTGAGTGACCGCATATTTTTTTAGATTCAATCGTAATTAATCAAATTAATCGAGATAAGAGCGTATGAGAGAGAAAGAGAGAGCAGCAGGATTGACCCTTGAACTTGTCTCTTGACCGCAAGCCCCTCTTGTCTCCCCCCACTCCCCCCCCACCCCCCCGCCTTCGCAGGACCCTCACTCTTCGATGGGGACCTTATTCCAGACGCTTCAATGTTGCTCCACCGACCAGGACGTTTTCCGAGCGCTTCAAACCCATGAGCTGAACCTAACGAAATCCAGGATCCGGGAATTTGAAACAGAAACCGAACGACTGAAGCAGTATGGGGTTTGGCAATTCCGGAATGTTCCTCTGCGCTGAAGTTCTCACTATAAGGAACTTTGAGATGCTCTTATTTTATCCCTCCTTGTTTTGAAGCCTTCACCGCTCTGACTAATACAGTATTCCTCCTCTCGTTTAGTTTTTCCTTCATCCCATCAGTCTTCCCTCTCTCTCTCCCCTCCTCAGTCTCCATTACTTCTGTACTTCAGTCACCCTTTGGAACTCCATCCCACAGTCCCTCCGCCTCGCTCCCTCCCTCGCCTCCTTCAAAACACAGCTCAAGACCCACCTCTTCGCCCTGTGCCTTCGGTCACCCTCCTACTCCCACCCACCCTGCCCTCCACCTCTGCCAATCCCAGCCCTCTGCTCGAGTCCCAACCCTCTGCTCGGGTCCAATTCCCCACCTGTCTAGCGCCTTGGGACGTGAAAGGCACTATGCAAACATAATGCGCTGTCGTCGATGTTGTCTTCTCTCCCCTCGACCATCTGCTGGCTTTTACATCCCGATTTTGGTGCCGATCAACAGCCACTTGCTTGATCTCATTCACCTCTTCGCTCTGCAGCTCTCTCTCTCTCCCCACCTCCCCGGTGTCTCGCTCTCAGACTTTCGTGACCTCCTCCCTCAATGAAACTTCTCAATGAGAAGAATGGAGGTGACCGAGACCAGACTCTCTCTCTCTCTCTCCTGTCCCCTCAGGTGCATCGACAAGTGGAGGAGACAAAACAACCGGCTTTGCGCGGTGCTGGACGAGTGCAAGAGCGACGGCGAGCGTCTCAGCATGTTACTGGGCAAACACGAGTCCAACAGCACTGCTCTGCAGCTGGCCTTGCAGTACACGTAATACAGGCCGACCTATTTAATTTGGTCGCTCAATCCGCGACTGTTTCTGTGCTCACAAAATATACAGTCAATTCACTTTATTCTGTGATTCGAGGGTTCGACTCGCTCTCAACGACATTATAAGGAGCTATATCAAATGCAATGATTATTATTAGTAGTAGTATTATTATTTCTCCGTAGGCGTCAACCTGGCTCGGTCAGTCTGATGAGCACTAAGTTGGATCGGAAGTGAATGCAAAGTCGATTTGGATTTATTTAAGAGAGCGAGAGAGTCACAAAATGTGGGGAGGGGTGGAAATGAGTCTATCGCAATGTGTGAATGATTTGAGGGGCTGCTCTGTGGACTCAATGACCTGTTTCTTTCCAGCGAGAAGTGCATTGAGGCCTACAGCCTGCTCTTGGCCTTGACAGAAACCAACCTGAAGAAAGAGGCAACCTCAGGACCCAGAGCATCAGCACCGAGAGGTAAACAGCTTTCTGTAAAGTCCTCCTCGGTTTCAATACCCCGCCCATCATTGGCGATCGGGCTTTCAGCCTTTCTGCCCCACCTTCCTCGCTGGAACTCCATCCCAGAGCCCCTCCGCCTCGTCCCCTCCCTTGCCTCCTTCAAGGCCCGTTTCAAGACCTTCCTCTTTGACCGTGCCTTTGCTCACACTCCTCCGACCTTCATCCCATCCCCTCCCACACGCCCCCCCCCCCCCCCCGCAGCTCGGGTGCAAACCCTCGACTGCCCAGCACCTTGTGACGTCCTCCAAGATAAAGTGGGACTGAAGAGCAAGATTGCGAGGCTGCGGGTGGAGCACGCTGCGGTGAAGCGGACCCTCCTGGAGCTGGGAGAGACCCCCGCCCACCTGAAGCGATACAGCGCCACGACAGAGGGCGGCCAGGCCAAGCCTCACAGGCTCGAGATCGTTCCCACAGTGACAGAGCGAGATGCTGGAGCAACCTCCGGTCTCCATTGGCCTGAACCTCCTCAGAGACCCAGGAAGGAGAAGTGGGAGTTGCTGAGGGATCTCGTGGATGTCAGGGTAAGTTCTCCCCAGGACGTGGTTGGGGTTGAGGGATCAGCGAGGAGGTGGGAACACCTTTACTTACCATGACTCAGAGTCCCGTAGAGTAGGGTCAGTGCGCTCACCTCGCAAGCGAGAGGACCCGGGTTTGATTCCTAGGCTGGGCGAAACCTTAGGCAAGTTTCCTTACTCCACGCATCTGTTTACCCAGCAGTAGGTAGGAATCAGGTTGTCGATTGGTGGATCAATTTTCCGGGGGTAATAAGCCCTTCACAAAAGTAAATAAAATTGGTCACTCAATCCACGACTGTTTGGGGGACGCTGCTGTACATAATTGGCTGCTGCGTTTTACCCACAAAATATAGTCAATTCACTTTATATAATATCCTGTGAAGCACTTTGAGACGTATCGAAGACGTGATAAGGCGCCGTATCAAATACAAGGATTATTCTTATTATTTCTTGCTTCTCGTTGCGGGAAATACCAGGAAGAGATGGCCGAGTTGAAAGGTCAGACCAGTTTGATGAAGAGAGAGAGGAGAGATTTGGAGCAAATCCTCTTGTGTCAGGTGCCCCGGGAATCCGCTGTTTTGCTCTTGATCGAGCACTGGCGCTCAGAGCGGGACGAAGGGATGGATCCACCTCCTCCGTTTGACATCACGGGCGAGACGGTTAGAACCTCCAAGGAGGTAAGAACAAGCACCACTATCTTCTCTCTGCTAGAACCTCTTGAGCCACAAGATGGTGGTAGAAGCTTTGCGGTAAATGTCAAGTGTAGGGATTGCTTTACATTGGCAAGTTTACTGTAAAGTGCATTGTGATGCTTTGACTATGATAAGAATTTGTGTAAAGGAACTGAGAGTGTGTGCAAATGACATTCGTATTATTGGATCACTGAACGTGGAGCTTTGCTTCTGTACATGGGCTTGCTCGGCTCCGACTGACAGCAAGTCAATCCCATCCTGTGTTTTCAGGTGGTGGGAGAGGGAGCTGACTCATCACAGGTTCCTGGACTTTGCAACAAGCAGCTGATGTCTGACCTCCTGGATAGCACCAAGGGGTAAGCACATGCTAAACAAGAGATGGTTAACACATTCTAGAAGGAAACCCTCTGGGCAGAGGTAAGCTCTGAGCTGGGTGATCTGGGAGGCTACCCTGTGTGAGGGGTGCTATACAAATGCAACTTGTTGTTATAATTTGACTCACTGCCCTTGGCAAGTGAGGGGAAAAAAATAATGTACCCTTGGTGACATGAAGGTGATGGGGCTGTGAGATCAGTATTGAAAGTTCTCTTGCAACAGAACGCAGCCAGAGTTTACAGGGCTTGGAATAAAATGAGGATAAGCAATGGTGTTTATTTGCCCCTCAGAGAGAAGCAGTTGAAAGTCCGTGCTGGGGAGTTGGCGATGTCACTGGAGAGATCGATACAGGACAGCAACAGCCAGAGCCACACATCTGCAAGGCTGGTCTCAGACCTCAGGAACACGCACAGGTAGAGTGGCAGCAAATCAACACAGGGAAACTAACTGATCTGGAGCGATCCCATTTCCTGGATGGTGTTCAGCCCAACAAACCTACTTTGCCATTTTGTTACAGCCCAACCCTGTTATAATGCAGCGATTTGAGTCCCAGAAAATTCAGACCTTGTTTTATAATGGGGCGCTAAAATAAAATGGCAATCACGAGCAATTTCAGGTTACTACAACAACAAAATTACGTTCATAGAGCGCCTTTCACGTCGGGAGGACGTCTCAAGGCCTGGACTGTCACTACAGCACTGACATGAATTCCCTTGCTCCTCACAAGCATACAGGAAACAGGCAACTGTTTCCCCGGGTCCAGTATTGTATGTCTGGCTCAAACATGGGGTGGGGAGAGGATTGATCGACCTCTAATTGTGAGCCTCTCTTTCCTGTGCCCATTTGCACCCACTCAGGGTTTGACAGCAACTTATTAATCTCTCGGTCTGCTCCCTTCACGCAGCAACTTGTCGACGGCCTACAGGACTGCGCAGAGGAAGTATGAAAACCAGCTGATGAAACTGGAATTCCAAATCTCGGCCATGTCGGAGCGGCACAGGGCACAGATCGCGGAGCTGGAGCAGAGTGCGAAGAAACTGCAAGAGGAGCTGGACAACAGCAACGGGACCCCTCTGTAAAGATCCCTCTCTGTCAAGAAGTTGCCAATCCATCCTTCTTTAGAAAAGACCAACCCTCAACCTCCCTGCAGAGGACCACCCCCAGACCACACAGGGACACTAAGCTTAGGATACACTCCTGCCAGAACTGGGAGGTCTGAAGCCCTTCACTGGTAGAATTCTCTACGTGGAGTTGGGGGAAGAGGGAATGGGTGTTCCTATGTTAAAGTACCTGTACAATTTAATGTGTTTTAACCATTTGGGAGCATTTAAATACTGTATTAATTTACGTTTTTTTGTCCCCTCTAAATGTACAAGCACAATATATCCTTTAAAATCGCACATGTATTATTTTACGGTTCAAGTCTTTTTAAAATGAATTTTGGGTACAGAAAAAACACTTGTGCATTCGTAATAGGAATTTGATTACAATTTTTATTCAAACAAATCTCTCAAAATCGTCACGAACTTTCTGCATACGAAAATACAAATCTGTGAATCAAACAAGAGGCCTGAAACAAATTTTAAGACCTAATTAGTCCATTGAAAAAAGCAAGGAGGCCGGGAAAGAGAGTGAAGCCAGTAATCAAATGATCCCCACACGGTCTCTTTACGGTCTTCAGGAAGAGCTAAGTCACGGGCTCATCGAAAATAACTATAATGCCAATATAAACTGACATCGTCTCGTTAGAGCTGCACTTGGGACACTACGCTGCGAGCAATTCGAGATGCACAACCGCCTTGAAATTGGGAGTGCGGACGGACGGACGGACTCGACGATGACGTGCACTGCTCCACTCGGAGCCTGGATATAGAAGGGGCGCCGTGGTCCACCAACAAGGCAATTCCAAGACCCGTAGCTTAAAGCAACTTCCCCAGCGTCCCGGCTCTTCACCAGTCCTCCTGCGTCTTGTTGGAGTCCTCGGGCTGGCCGCCCAGGCGCCGCCGCGGGGAGCTCGGAAAGTTGCGGTCGGACCGGTTCAGCTTCTCCAAGAACGAGGAGAGGAGGCGCTTGTTGAGGTGGTCGGTCTGGGTGAGCTCGATCCGTGGCCCCTCCGGCTCCCCGTCTGGGTCGGGGCCACCCGCGGGCTCCTCGGGGGTTGGGTTGGGTGACGTTGGGTTGGGGTGGGGGGTTGGGGTGGGGTGGGGGGTTGGGGTGGGAGATGTTGGGTCCGGGCCCTCCCCCTGACCCTCTCTGCTGGACAGGTTGAGGTGGAGGCTGGTCTGAAGGGCCACGTTCTCCATCTCCTTACACCTCTTGCTGTCGTTGCTGAAGGGAGGCCGGGCACCGCTCACTGCTTCCTCCGTCGGCCTCTCCATACCACCTCCCCCCCCCCAACCAACCCCCAACCCAACCCCCACAGCGGCTTCCCGGTCAAGCGCGGGCCGGGGCCATCTTTGTGCGGGGCAACAGGCGACGGCGGCTGCGCATTGACAACCTGCTGTCTCTCTCTCTCTCTCCCTCACAAACATGGCGGCCGCGCCCATTGCCCCACCCGTTATGTGCCCCTCACAAACATGGCGGCCGATGATCAGGCCCCAGAGGTGTCACAGCTATCGGTGCACATATCCCAAATACCTTACATGGTTGAGGGGGGAAAAACGCATAAACAAACACACACACACACACAGAGGCCCGGAAAGCGATAAGATCTTGTTATCTCTTGATCGTGACGAGCGAAAATAGGATTTCTGTCCAGGCAGTGGCGCGGGCAGCCCGGTGACGTCATCAACAGGGGTCAGTGACGGGGAGGGCGTCAGTCCGTCAGTCGCTCCGCTCAGCTGTTGCCGCCGCCGCCGCCGCCGCTCTCCTCACAGTGAGTGACTCTTAAGTGAGAGGAATCCCCGCCATCACCGGAATAGCCGCACCGCAAACCTCTCTGTTTAGCAGTAGGGTTGCGGTCAGGAATAATCGCGCGTGAGGCTGCGGGACAGAGTGAGTGTCCTCTCACCCCCCCTCACCCCACCCCACCCCCACCCTGTGTGACACTGGGCCAGGCCTGGCCTGGGTTGGGCAATGATCCTGACCTAATTGTTGCAGTAACAATAATAACCCTAATCCTTGTATTCGCTGTAGCGCCGCCCCACGTCTTCGAGGCGCCTCGGAGCGCGGGGCAGACCGGAACAGGACCAGGCCATTCAGCCCCTCGAGCCTGTTCCGCCCGCCCTTCTCTTAAATCCCGGTCGATCTGGTGCCTCAAGTCCAGCGCACTGCGAAGTGGAAGTGGATCGACTGCGGGCGAAAGGGATCCCGGGGGCGGGTGGGCGGTCCTGGCTGATCGAGACAGTCGGATGGAGGGATGGATGGATGGAGGGACGGAGGGACGGCGGTTGCTATATATAGAATATCGGAGTCGCTGTTATATTTAGAATATCTTTCCACGTGTAATTGTAAGTGAGGGGTTCAAGTGAGGTTTACATCCTGATAGCAATCCTTGAAATTTGATGCAGAGCTTTTATCGCGTCGTTGAGACGTCTCGAAAGCGCTTCACGGGAATGTATGGTACAGTGGGTTGACTGTGTTGTGGGCGAAATATATATATATACTTAGAATAAGGGATCCCGCAGCAGTGAGGTACAGGATGGAATCTCGTCAAAGGCTTCGGAGGGACAGAGCTGCTGTAACGGTGATGATAATAACTTGCACCTTTCTTATAGAAAAAAAGAAATGCCTCGAAGCACATTACAATTGATCAGAACCTAATATCACGCACAGTACACAGACACCTTTGTTATCGCAGATCGAGGAGCTGGTAGTTCTTAACCAATGATCTGGGTTTTTGAGCGGTTGTCAGGAGTTTGGTTTGTACCAGAACTTTCTTTGTTATGGAATTGCCAATGGAGGTTTCTAGAGTTCAGTTGTGCTGCTGTATTTCCAGAGAGAGCATACTTTTGTAGTGTTTAAAGTGGGTGTGAGCATTGTGTGTAGACAGGCATCTGTCGTATAGCCTGGGAATACAATAATAATCCTTACATTTGACGTTATGCCTCATCAGGTCTTTGAGACATCTCAAAGCACTTCACAGAATATACTGTAAAGTGAATTGACTGTATATTTTGTGGGAGAAACGGCTTTAGTGTGGCTTGTTATATTCTTGCCGTCATTGTTGTTGCTTTTATTAGTTCAAATGAGAGGTTGTATTTTAATTTCTATAAATCACCACATGTTGGGCTTATAGCACCTTTTTTTTCTGGATTAGTGACTTGAGGCACTTAACAAGGACCTTGTGGATCACATGGAGGAGGAGGAGGAAGGAGACTGGACGTATGATTGAAGACATAGGTGTTAGGAGAGTGGGACTGGAGGAGATTGTAGAGGTAGGGAGGATAAGGCAAAGGTGTTGAGGGGTAATCTTGATGTTCAAACACACAGAGAAGATGTGGTCAAGAAATGGGGAAATCTACCCCAGGTACAAAGGCTCATAGTGCAGGTCACTGAGAAAATGAGATGAATCAAGACTTTGTGGTTTGGTGATAGAAAGTCTTGTAGATTGAAGCAGGAACGGAAGACTTAGATGGGACGAATTCCACAGACTTGGGGAAAGAATATTGGAGCATAAGATTGCACCAGAGTTACTCGGTGAACTGAGTGCATCAACAACAACAATAACAAGATGTCATTTTCTGTTGCGCCCTTCGAGTGAAGCGTAGTAACTGTTAAGGCAGCAATCCCCGCTCTCTCTGACCTCTCTCTCACCAGCAGGTGGCGCTGTGCAGCAGGAGGAATGCCCAAGAAGTTTCAGGGCGAGAACAGCAAGTCAGCAGCCGCCAGGGCTCGGAAGGCAGAGACCAAGGCAGCGGCAGACGCTAAGCGGCAGCAGGAGCTCGAGGATGCGTACTGGAAAGATGACGACAAGCACGTGGCAAGGAAGGAGCATCGCAAGGTTTGTCCTTTTTTTTTGTTTCCCCCTCCCTCTTCACCCCCCCCCCCCCGCCCGCCCCTTCTCTCACCTCCCCGCCGTCCGCCAATCTTGTCCCCTCTCCTGGATGCTGACTTGTCAGGTACTGTTCCGCATCCACCCTCCAGTAGCCAAGTGTCTGTCGTTCACGTATGATCCTCAGCAGTAAGTGTCAGCAGCTTATTCAATCGCAGAGGGCACTACAGGCTGAATCCACCACTGCTTGTGGGGACGCTGCTGTACGCAATTGGCTGCTGCATTTCGCCCACAAAATATACAGTCAATTCACTTTACAGTATACTCTGTGAAGCGCTTTGAGACTTCTCGAAGACGTGATAAGGCGCTGTATCAAATGCAAGGATTATTATATATTATATCCCCAATCCAGTTCTCACTCAATGTCCACACTTCTGCATATTCCACCAGGACCATTCACATCTGCGTGGCTCAGTTCCACATTGGGTTGTCAATGCACCTCTCTGAGGTTTAACCCAATCCCCAGGGACGGCCGTGCTTGCAAAGTGTAGCGGGTGGCGAGAGGACTGTTCAGTGTCAACCAGGTTATTCTTTGCTTGGTTATAAATAACCTCAGAGCCTGGCTCAGAACCACCCACCCCGAGTAATTGGAAATCATTTAAAAAAAAAAATCTTATCCCCTCTAGCCCTTTAGTCAGAATCGTACATTTTCACCCATTCATCACCTACTGGCGGGTGTTCAACCGTGGATTACTTGTCAGAATGAAGTATGGCGTTCTCACATGAATGGAGTATAGTCACGCAATGCCATTTTCAAACCACACTCTTTCCTCTTCCCTCTCTCTCCTCCCCCCCCCCCCCCCCCCACAAGCGAGTGAGGACTTTTCAAGTGTGGGGGACTGTTTTAATCTTGCACAGTCGGGGGTCAGTCGGCTGGAGGAAGCAGGAACGCTGTTAATATGACGAGGGCCGTGACAACAACAAATACTTTGGATCTTGTTTTTGTGTGCTGATGTTAAGATCACGCTGATGAATGGGCTTCTCCGACCAGACTCATCATTTATCACACAGTCCCACACACGAATGCTAAGAGATCAAAATTCCCCTCCTTCCCTCTCGTCTCTGAATATTTCTACTCTCCTAGAGGCTGACTCACATTGGGCGGGGGGTGACTACAGGCATTGAGCACAAGCACCGACTGTTGGTTGGGTAGTTTGGGGAGGGATGAGAAGGGGAGACAACAAAAGCTGACCTCTGATACTCTGCTTTATTACCCAGCAGGAGAGGGTAGGCCTGGGCATCAGTGCCAAAAGGGGAGCATTGATTATAGTACCTAGAATCTAACATGAAAAGGATCAAGGCCTTTACAGGGATTTGCTGTCAGGTGGAGTGACTGCAAGCAAACACAGCGGTCAGCTAGCGCACATCATAACCCCACAAACACAGCCATGAAACGAATAAACAATTTATCTGAAGGATGGTTCACCAGAAGAAACTGCCTTCTCTTTTAGTGCCAATGGGATCTTTCACACTCCCTTGAACAGGCAGACAGGGTCAGTTAATCATTTCGTTCGAAGAATAGTTTCTCTGCCAATCCACCTCTGACTCTGGGCTCAAGTCCCAGCCAGTACGGGTCTTGAACTCACAATCTGCTGAACCAGAGAGGAGAGTTCTGCTACTGAGGCAGACTGACCCACATCAGCAACGTGTTTGCTAATTTTTCCCAGGAAGACTCTGGTATTTAGTCAGCCTGAGAGAGCAGCCAAGCTTTAGCAAAAAGTATTGGAACGATCAGCCCCCATAGCAGCATATTGAATTGGTGCAGTTACAGAGAATCGCCCATAGGTGACAGAGATACTCCATGTGCTCAAGTTGTGCACAGTGCATTTCTGGGCAACGTTGATGTGAGTGAGATACAACTCTTTTCACTGAGGGACAACCTAGTCACTTTGGTTGTAAAGCTGAATAATTTTTGGTTTGTGTAGTTTTAATTTCTGAGACTTGATGTCCAGTAGATTTGCCCACAATATACAGAGTCAATTCACTTTACAGTATATTCTTTGAAACGCCTCAAAGACTTGAAAAGGCGCTGTATCAAGTGCAAGGATTATTATTATCACAAACGTCAGCCTCTGTGGACCTACACAACAACGTCTAAAATGTCTGCAATGGGGTAATTGGACCTTCTGATTTCGTTATGCGTTTACTCCACCATCAATTGTGGCAATAAGCCCTACAGACCCACAAGTTCCTGATAAATTGTTTATTCCTTTCATAGCTTTGTGTGGGACTATGATTGACCTGACCAGGATGACCTAAGCCAAGCAATGGTTAGAGAGCTGTTACGATTAGCCTTGTGTGTGTACCCGAGTTTAGGCAGGGAGAAAATCAATAGGGAACGACTTGGGTTAGGTACTTGAGTGACTTTCGCCATTATCGGAAGGAGGGAATGTTCACTTACACCTGGATTCAGAATAGCTTCTGAACTAGCTTTGTTGTGTGTGTGTGCCTGTTCATGTGTGCAGCGTGTGCAAGTAGGTGTGTGCATGAGTGTGTGCCTACGTGCCTCTGGGTCCAGGCGAATTTTGAAGCACCCGTTTAGGCAGATGGTGACCCTCGCTTCAAGGAGCTCAAATCTGCCATTCAGCTGTTTCCACACCTCATGAGCAGCTAAATGGAACGTGAAAGCAGCTTGTGTGTAGAGGCTGAGAGGAGGGGGGTGAGGAGGACAGGGAGAAAAACTGACAGGAGAAACATAGCCATTAACCCAGTCAGTACCCTCCTCACTGGACTAAATGAGGTGAGACCTTGTTATAGTGGCTCGGTGAGAGGCTTTGCAGTGGGAAGAGTGGGGGTAAGAAGGAGGGTGAGGGCACAGTGCCACTATCATGAGTCTTTGTATGGTATAGGGAGGGGACCGGTAGAGTGGGCAGGAGGATAATGAGAGTATTGCAATGGGTGAGTCCCTGTCCGTTACGCTTCCTGTTAAACAAAAGCAGAAGACTTAGCTCCCTATCTGTGTAACTGTGTCTGCTGCTATCTCTTGTCCGTAAATTTTTCAGAGGCTGAAGGAGGCCAGAGTCCGTGCTCGCTGCATTAATCGCAGTGTAACCAGCGCCTGCTTTAATCACCCCACAGCTCAGAGTTAAGAAACAGCGAGTACAAAACACCACTCGCGTTTCACCGTACTCCATGCAAGCGATACCCAACCCTCATGAATATCCAATGCAGATTGCAGGGCCCTTCCCCACACATTCCTTTCTATCAAATTAAAATCCTGCAATCCAACACGGACTGGGCATGATGCCCCTTGAGGTGGCTCGGGCACCTTCTCATCCTGCCCTGTAAATTTAGTGCCCCCCCCCCCACCACATACACACATACAGACACACACCTACCCCACCCCTAACCCACAACCTTGCAGCATTTAATGGGGCAGCTCGCAACCCCGAAAAACCCCACTCGCTTTAAGTTCTTCCATGCAGCTGATTGCAGATAAGATGCGAGGCAGAGAGAGGCACAGGTTTACATTTCCTCCACATCCCTTATTGCTCGGAGACAAAGTTACAATCCCTTTTCCATTGTAAACTGAAACTCTGATCACTAATTCCCTAACCCCCACGAGGGTTGTTGGCAGATTGTATACTGTTTCTGCCCAGTGTGTCCCCCGTAAACAATCTGCCAACAAACCTCGTGGGGGGTTAGGGAATTAACCTTTTAAAAGGTTTTTAAAGCTCCTTACCCGCAGTTCTGCAGTGACCAGACTTACACTTGAGGTAACGCCTAGTGGAGTTCTGTATCGTAGTGGTTAGCGTGCTCGCCTCGCAAGCAAGAGGGTCTGGGTTCGATTCTCAGACAGGCAGGGCAAAACCTTAGGCAAGTTTCCTTGCTCCACACGCCTCTGTTTACCTCGCAGTAAGTAGGAACCCGGTTGTTCGTCGATTGGCGGTTCCAGATGGGAAACTCTCCCTTATATAAAAAAGAACAATTGATCACTCAATCCACAACTGTTTGGGGGACACCTCTTGAGCAATTGGCTGCTGTGTTTCGCCCAAAAATACACAGTCGATCCACTTTACAATATATTCTGCGAAGCGCCTTGAGACGTCACAACAACTTGATGAGGTGCCGTATCAAATGCAAGGATTATTATTATTAATTACATTGAACCAGGCCTGGGTTGGCAAGGCAATGTTCCTTTGGACACAGTTGATGACTTTGTTGCCCCTTTGATCTCCCCTCTGCAGGTGGAGAAGGAGAAGCGGCGTGTGGAGCAGCTGGAGCGGAAGAAGGAAATCCAGAAGCTTCTGGAAGAGGAGGACTCCACACTGAAAGCCAGAGTGGGCAAGCCTGCCCCCCCTGCCAAGGTCACCCGGGCACAGATAGAGGAAACCATCAAGAAAGAGAATGGGGTCAAGCAGACACTTGAGCTAAAAGGTACCGAAGCAAGGGATCTGCCATCGATGGTTTGGTTAGATTTATCCAATAAGAATTTGTCTTTTTACAGCGCATTTTCACCCCCAAAGCAACTTCTTGATGAGATGGGGCTGGCCTGACTTTTTTTGTTTATCACTCGGGTGTCTGCGGAAACCCATCAACAGAATATCCAAGCCGTACTTAAAATTCCACGCCTCCCACCTACACGTGGAAATTCCAGAGATAGATTGTTGGAATGGAACACGCACTCTCTCCCCGGGGGGGATGCATCTCACTGGCACCTCGCTTCTCTCCTTCTCTCCCAACTTGCCCCCTCCCCTACACACTCCCCCAAGCGCATCAGGCTAAATGGAGGAGGAAGATCGAGCAAGAATGAAGTACTTGGGAGCTGGGGAGAAAGGTCCATAGAAACAAGCAGAGGAATTAGCTGCAGAGAAATTAGCTGAGGAGAAAGGTTCTGATGTGGTGATGGAGGGAGGTTGGAGTGAGTGAGTGAATGATCACCGCTCATTGTAGTGCAGTACAGATAGTCCTTTTGATCAGAATTGCTCCAGTACTGCCTCTGGGAGGACTGAGACCTCATGTGAAACGACACTCACTGCCTTGCCCGGGACAGGGAATTAATTCATCCCTATTCGAAGGGATACCTCGCCAAGTATTACAGTGAGGGCGCAGTGTCATTAATGTAATGCATGTGTTTCCTTTAAAAAGCTCCGAGACAGCAGAGCCACTTGGAGGTGCCTCTGGAGGAGAACATCAACCATATTCTCGCCGAGGAGGGGGCTGTGGATGCCAGGAGTATTGAGGACGCCATTGCTATCCTGAGGTGAGTTGCGAGGCTGGTGCTGGCGTCCTCTGTGTCAACAGCGTCCGTGCACTGGAGCTGCAAAGCAAAAGATGATGTTACAAAATTTGCATTTGATCTCTTAACCTCGTCACGTTGAAACATCGCAAAGAGCTTCGCAGAGTTTCCTGTAAAGTATAGCCACTTCGTTTGTAGGTGAACACAGCAGCCGATTTGCACGTCGTAATAATAATCCTTGCATTTGATACAACGCCTTATTACGTCATTGAGATGTCTCAGAAAGTTTCACAGATGAAGCTGAATTCTCCAGCTTGCAAAATTAAGCAGAAGACTTATACTCTTGGTGACTTGCCTGGGAACATCTCCTCTACTTTAAAACTAATGGGGTTTTAAAAATATGAGAGGATTTAATAATCCATGTTCTGATGTGCAGATTTAAATTACAGGAAATGTTTCATTCATCATCTGAATTAATGGCACAACCGCAAATTGGTACAGAGAGCGTCATCTTGAGGTAAAAGCACGTGAGCATTGGAGGGAGTTGCCATTAATCAGGTCCTTAATAGCCAATAACACCAACTTGCATTTAGGTTGCACCTTACACGCACAATACAATACGAAATGACATTTGTATGGCGTCTTTCATGTCAGGAGGATGTCCCAAGGGGCTAGAGTAGAGTTCTCCAATGCTTTTCCTTTGTGAATTAGCCCCTCTCAGGTGGACATAATCTGAATGGAAAAAATACATAATAAGTAAGATTTGCCCCCTCCCCCAAGGCAAACAGAAAGCTCGTCACTTGACCACAAAGTAAACTTGACCCTCTCTCTCCTTGGGTTTCAGCACGGCCGAGAATGTGGACCGTCACCCAGAGCGCAGGATGAAAGCCGCTTACGAGGCCTTCGAAGAGGCCAACATGGAGTGCATGAAAAGGGACAACCCCAACATGCGGCTGTCACAGCTCAAGCATCTGCTGAAGAAGGAGTGGATGAAATCGCCGGAGAATCCCTTCAACCAGAGGCACTTGGCCTTCAACTCGAAGTAGGGAGATGGGGACTGGGAGAGCGTTGACTGGCTCCCCAGGCCTTTCCCCATCATCACCCCCTTTAAAATGGCAAAAAGCTGAATTTCGAGCTGCATTCGGTGCAAGGAATCCCGAGAGATTGACGACCTAGTTTGCCTTCCGCACGGACTTAATGGCCTCCCCATTTTGTTTCAGTGACGTTTCGATCTTATACTTCTGGCTCCCTCCATCTCGCAACCCCCCCCCCCCCCCCCCCGCCAATCAAATAGGCAACCTCTTCCCATCTTTGACCACTTTCCTTTGGCAATGAGTTCCCATTAAATGAACCTTCTCACTTTGGACATTGGCTGAACTGGTGTGTTGTGAGTTTTTACTCCAAATAACGTGACAGAATTGGGAGCACAACCTGGGAATGTTCTTCCACATTGGAGTCAGTATTGGGAGAGATGATATCTCTTTAGCCCGTCCTCTTATTTTGATCTTTTGTATATTAATATTTGGGGCAAATGGGGAAATCACAAGCCCCATTCTACCCCTATCTTTTCTTACTCTTTAACACCTTTTTAATAGTTTCTACACGATTGCCTCCCCCAAGAGGCTGAACTAGAGATGTCCTGGGCGGAGGGTAATGCATTAGAGGCTGACGTGGTTAGTGACATTTAATTTATTTCAATAGCAGTGTGCGTGTAAGCCACTCTGGTGTGAGGTTGGAAATGTGTTAAGCAGCGTAAGCTCAGTTTGCAACAGAAATCCTCCACAGTACCTGTAACTTGGCTGAAACCTTCCGCCTTCCTGGATCTGTGTGGTTTGGGAAAGGTTCTTCCCACCCACTCGAGCTTTCTCTCACTGCGTTTCGCACTTGTCATTTTGTTAACTGGGGTTTCTGCACAAATACGATGACTTTATTGAACCAGGCGTGCAATGAGGGGGGGAAGAGGGAAACAAAAGAGTTAGTTGAGCTACAAGCGGATTTGGTTTGTTTGGAGCAAAGGAGTCAGGTCCTTTGCCTTGCGACCTGCACCTTGCGGGAGAAAGGAGGAGAATCTTTTGTATAGGTGGCTACATAGTTTTTTTTTAAAAAAAACTAAATTTGCCCTTGTATTGTGATTCAGTGACTATTTCAAACAAAGAGGTAAATAAAAAAAATTACAACCAACTAAAACTGGGTATGATTTATACCTGCGCCAATCCCCAATACCAGACGTTTGATTCCAAGTTTCCTTTTGGTAATTTTTAACCAGCTCAATTTTGCCCAAACAGTTCTAGGCTGGGTAAGAGGTGGGTAAGACATTGCTGAGAGGACTCGGCCCCAGTCAGTCGTGTCAAAAATTCCCAATAAAGACAACATCAACAAAAACTTGCATTCATACAGCGCCCCTCACCCAGGGTAGCGTCCTAGAGCTCTTGACAGTGGTGGAGCCGGTGTGAAGTGGGGGAGGTGACTAGGCACGGTCGAAGAGGAAGGTCATCAGGCTCAACCTGACGATGGGGAAGGAAGATACAACGCCGAGGGATAGAGGAAGAGAGTTCTAGAGTTTCGGGATGTAGTGGCTGAAAGCGCGGCCATAGCGATAGTGGAACGGAGGAGGGCATGAGGGACATGCAGGAGGCCAGAGCCAGTCGATCGGAGGCAGCGGGCAGTGGTTTGGGGAGTGAGCAGGTCGGATAAGGACGTCAAAACTCCAGGTGTCAAACCGAGTTGGGGCCAGGTGTACAAGTCGGTTGAGAAGGAATGACGTGGGATGTTGTGTTGACCTTTCATTTGAAATGATGTCCATCCCAAGCACTGGGTTAGTTCACCGTCTGGCACTGCACCCTGGGACCGTGATTCTAGCCTCCTTCACACAGTCGGGCATCAATCTTAATGAGCTACAGCCAACAATAAATGGGCATCAGTCCCCAAGGGCATTGTTAATGTCCATTAGTGGAAGGCCAGCTGTTGTGTATATAGGCCTTAATGGCTAAATGATTCACAAATTGGAACAAAAAAGTGTGTGTTTTGAAGGAAGTAAATGCAGAGAGGAGGTAGACACGTTTCCTTAAGAATGAATTCAAATCTGTTGGGGGGCAGAGTGCCGTCTCGGTGTGCTTCGAGGGAAGGAACACGACCCTTAGCCTGGTGGGAAGGTTTGTGGATTGGATCATTGATTTAAGTAGAGTAGAAATCTGTGGTTCAAGCCTTAAGTTGGGCCTTGTCTGTAACTGGGTCTGTGTGTGTGGAATGGAGCCCCAGTCTGTAGCGAGACTTTGTGTAGTATTGAGTCTAATAACTGACCCAGAGAAAACTAGATCGATTATTTTGTATGGGAGATGGAGTGTGGGGTGGAGTAATTCTTCCAGGAATTGGTTTAATAGTTTTCTGAGTCATTATATGTTTTTAAGTATCTTTTTCTTTTCAGTGGTCACTCAAGAAACATGGTCCTGTTATTATTAATAATAATAATAATAAATGCAAGGATTATTACTAAAAGGCACCACCAGCTCCCGAGACGTGCATTTGCGTGTAGACCAATGCATGTGCCGTGACCCTCAAGTCGACATCACTCAAACAGCAATTAAACACAGGCTTATATTTTCAAAGGTGTCGCACGCGAGAGAGAGCGAGCGAGAGAGAGAGAAAACGTTTCTTCTTTCCCCTACTTTCTTTTTGACCTTCGCCAACAATTAAACAGGTAGCTGCTCGACAAGCTGGAATGGAATTGAGGTTGCGTCCTTGCCTTGAGCTTTTTTTTTTTCCCTTTTGAAAGAATTCCCTTTGGTGGCTGATGACTTAAGGGTCATTAACCCCAGATGGAAATTTCCTCCGGCTTATAATAAGAGGCATCGGAGAGGATAATGAAACCGGCGTATCTTCTCCAGCAGGTGGGAGAGAGGGGCGCGGAATAAAACCTTTGGGGGTCATCAGCTATTTCTGAGAGAGTGTGCGTGACTCACAAAAGGTTGCTTTGTCGGTAGTTTATTCTGCGTTGAGGAAAAATGTGTGTGTGTGTGTGTGTGTTTGATTCGATGGCTTCGGTTTGTTCTTTAAATAGAATCTGCTGGCGTGCTGGGAGTTACAAGGGTTCAAATCGTGCAGTTAAAAAACACAAGGTTGGCACTAAAATTGCCTCCGAGGCCCCAAATTCTACATGGTCTTCACCTCGAGATCTATGATCTCAGATCAAAAAAGAATTTCACTCTGAAACTGGACCCCAGTTCGTTTTTTTCTCTTACAAAACAGTTTCGGAATTTTTTTTTTTCAAATCCTGCCCAATTTTCCAATTGGAAGACTATGCCCATCATCATAATAATAATAATAAATGATAATAATAATCCTTGCATTTGATACCACGTCTTCGAGACATCTCAAAGCGCTTCACAGAATACACTGCAAAGTGGACTCGCTGACTATTTTGTGGGTGAAACGCAGCAATTAGTTAATGCTAAGATCAAGAGGAATTTCAGGTCTACTGTCTGGAGGGAGATGAACCCACAGGCACCTGGTTAGGCGCAGCCCAGATCAGGAAATAAGACTAACTTGTGAGATGAGGAGGGGGAAATTAAACTCCTTCCCTTGTGTTAATATCCTACTTTCTAATCTATCTCACGAAGAAGCAACTTCAATCTTAATACCCTGTGCTGTTCACAGAGAGCAACAATGAATTATGCTAATCCAGCCTCATTTACATGTGCACATTCGTTTAATTAAAAGATAGATTTTACCCTGTAATTAAAAGGGAGGGAAAAAAAAAGTAATTATCATTATGTATTTTAATGTGACTTTCCCACGTAAGACATTTCTCTGCAGCTGAGACCAGAAAAACAGTCTCTTCGTACAGACAGTTGGGGGTTAAACTGCCCTTTCCAATTCAGGGGGTTTCTGCCCAGTGTCCCAGACAATTTTGCCCCCCACCCAAATTCACCTTAAAAAAAAATCGCCAGATTAAATTTGCTCTTCACATTGTCGTTTACGTGATTCACATTACAACAACAGCAAGATTACATTTGTATAGCGCCTTTCACGGCGGGAGGACGTCCCAAGGCGCTGATTAGCTGCATACACCAATCAACGTTTTATAAATGTATATAAACAGTTGATTCAGTGACCAACTTCTTGAGGGATTATCACCCCCGGAAAATGATCTGCCAATCGATTAACAATGGGTTTCTGCTTACTGACAGTTGGACAGAGGCGTGTGGCGTACGGACACTTACCCAAGCTTTCACCCTGCCCGGGAATCAAGCCGATCTTCTTAAGGAAATCGATTTTCTTAAGGAACCCATTGTGTGCGGCCCTGTACCGAATACAAAAAGTACTGGGTTTTATCATGTCTTGTGCCAAATCTCCCAAAGCTCTTTACAAGCTACTACTGTGAGTGTATTGACTGTTTATATAGGCAGGTGTAGTGGCTTTTATACCACAAAGCACCCACAAACAGCCATGATATAAATGACGAATTAATTTGGACAATTGTTGGTCAGGACCCAGGGGAAACTCCTTTTTCTTTTTCAATAGGGCCATTTAACATCTCCCTGAAGAAATAGCAAACATGATCTTTTATCCAAACCTCTCATTGGAAAGCAGGCACCTCCAACAATGAGGCAATAAATATGCAGTCAATTTATTTTGCGGTGTATTCTGTGAAGGGCTTTGAGACGTCTCAACGAAGTGATAAAGCGCTATATCAAATGGAAGGATATTATTATGACTTTACCCCATCCCTAACTGCGCTGGAGTGTCAGTTCGGTTTACCTAGCAGTAAGTAGGAACCTGGTTGTTAGTCAATTGGTGGATCGCGTTCCGGGGGTAATAAACCATCCCCCCCAAAAATTTAAAAAATTGGTTACTCAATCCACGACTGTTTGTAATGTGCTGTGAGCTCAATTCCTGATGTGGAATGTACAAGGTTCCAAACCAATGGTGAGTGAGAGCTACCACTGAGCCAAAATATCTCACACACACACACACACACACACATCGGAAGCGTGGCATGAGGCAGTCGGCAATGGAAGGGGTTTGTATCAGCAGTCTTGCCTCTCCCCAGGCTGCCTAAGGAGTCTGCCTGGAGGTGCCTTTCACGCCTGCCATTGAGGGTCACCAGCTTCTAGCCGAGAGAGTCCAGAAGCTGAGCTCAACATGTTTAACTGCTATTAAGCTCGGTGTGATGAACCCGTTTGAGTGTCGCGACTATACCGTTGCTATAGAAGCAGGTATGATTCTGCCCTGTTTTGCCATCAGTTTTTTTTTTGTTGTTGTTGCATTGAGAAGAAATCTGTGCCGTGGACTATTTCAGCATCTCCGGGCTCACTTATGCAATAAATTACAAATAAGCCGTGCTCTTAAGAGCTGAGTGCACTCCCATCTGT